AAGGGTAGATCTGCACCCAGAATGTAAGCAACATGATGACCTGAACCACTGAACCGATCTTTTCCATACGTGTTTTAAATATCTACTAGTGCATAAGATTCGTGCCCCAGGTGGTTTTACGTCTTGGTGTACTTTATTGTTTAAGGTTTACAAACATCGATCATGTCGATCTCTCGGTCCTAGCACAGCTAAAGCAACGTGAGATGCTAAGGTATGCCTTTGCCCGTATTGCACCAGGCTACCGTAATATCCGGTGTTCTATGTGGCGGGCCTTGTCTATTGTAGCGCTTGCGGCATTTGCAGTGCTTGCGGCATTTGCAGCGCCCTCCCCTGCTAGAATGTTGACGTCTTGTTATAGTTTAAGGAGTTCGGGCTGTTCATGGTTCTAGCCAGCTAGAGCTGCTACTGCAGCTGCCTGCTAAGAGCCTTGTCTTATCCAAGGCCTGTCTAAGGTCTGCAAGGAAGGTCCTGCTAATTGTCAGATTCAAGCGAGTTCAGTGATTGGAGGGTGATTATTGCTGTCTTGCATCGTGTGTTGTATCTGTTCTGTCTGTTCAGGTGCCCCTGATTGATTCCCAGTTTTTGGTGTTGGTCATTTCCGCCGTACCGTGGTTTTTCTGGTCGGACTCGGCTCATCTTCATGACCCCTGTTATCCAACACTAATGTTATTTCGACGTCCTTCTTAGTGTTTATCTAAGCAGGGTTATCTAGGTTAATTCCTCTTAAAGACTTAAATATGCTTAATATACTAGATAATATATAAGTTAGTTAAAAGTTAATATTTAAGGCCCGTTTTTTCATTTATTATTAAGCTTTAAGTTCATAATATTAATATAAATGGTACTTTAAAAATTAATCCCTTATATAAAGTTACTTTATATGAAGTCGTCTTATAAGAAATTACCTTATAATATTGAGCTTAGGTTCTGCCGTTATTAACTAAGGTTATTTATACCGGCTAAGTTTATTTCTTTTAGGGTTGTAAAGTTCTCGGTATCGCTTTGCTTTAATGATAGAGATTTTGGAGTTTTGCACCTGTATTGCTAGGCGGTGCGTATCTGAGCATCTTTGCATAGTAGAAGTAGATTTGGTAGTACACTGGATCTTATTGCAGAACCCGGGCTTATAACCTGTTTAATTGATAAGTAGAGAAATTGTAGCAGGTATATAATCCTTAACTGGATTGAGTAACTAGTAGTAAAAGTACCAAGTAACAGCCAATATAAATACCTCTGGTTACGTGCCATCCCTGTACTAGAAACCTCGGTTGTTACGATATGCAACAACGGGCACGCCCATTATAGCACAAACAAGACTTGCAGACAAACCGACACCTTAGCGCTCTTTCCGTTTGCCTCGGCACCTGAGATGAATTCTCATGCATACCAAGCAGCTCTTGTTTCATGCCTGGATATCGGCGCTTAAAATAGATAGCTGATTGGACTCTCACCTATGCCCTGTTATATCCTTATCATGTCAGCGCTTTAGCTGGGCAGCTAATGGGACACTCACTTATTCCATATGTTACATCCCTCTCCGTGTTTGACCAACCGACTGGTCATGATCGAAACGGGATGCAAACGTGAAAGATGTGAGGTGTGTCCGTTTCTCTCTCGGTATAGCCGCCCGCATGCAGCTGGCTCGAGGTCCGTGCTGTGTGCTCTGCCCGAGGCAACCGGTTTCCAACTCAATACCACCATAGATGAACGGTCATGATCCCCACAGACATGTCTCAATACCGCCGGATTAGTAGTTGGGTCGGTGACGACCAGCGAATCCCCGGTGTTGTATGTTTTCTTTTTGGCTCGTCGTCTTCTTTTTTCCCTCCGTCTCCATGGGAGGGAGGCCCTGTGACTGTGGACAAGAAGAAGGAGCGGACAATCATATTCTTTTTGTTGTGGTTGTTCCACTCAGGTGAAGTGCCAAGAGAGGAGTCATGACTGGAGTCAAGAGCAGGCCAATCGCCAAGTAAATGTAAATAGATGAGAGATTGACAGGGCGAGATAAACCGACTCCTCCTAGTAAGGACATAAGGACCGTCTTGTGCTATATACGTGATTGAAGCGAAGAAGTGCACCCCTTGCTTTGCTGTAACTAATCAGGTAGGGTGTACGGAGACTTGTGGACGTTCTTTGTAGCTAGCATTGCTAACACCAAGGACGTGCAAGTACATCACTATACGAACGTAAGTATTAGCCAATACTTCGTGAAGACAGTTGTGTTTCCAATAGCCTCTCAAAGGTAGATTGGGAGGTATGGAGAACTTACTCATGGAACGTCGCCGTCTGGAAATTGCGCATAAACCGGTGGTCCTCAGATTGCGACTTGATAACCAGAAGCAGAGCCCGGCAGTGTTCTTCCAGACTGTGTCCGCTCGACTGAGGCGAGCCATGATGACGCTCGTACCACCGAAGCGCCGTTTCGAGACTGAAGATACTCACCAAGGGACCAAAGCTCTGCCACAAGTTCTGACAGCAAAAACTGCCGTACAGAGCGATGTTGTCTGCAAGTTTGTTGGCCTGTTCTGCCATGAGCGTGGCCATGGGCAGCTGAACCCTGTCCTGGTCTATTGAAAGGCCGTGTATGAGAACTGCACTCGCATCGTCAAGTTGCGAACGAAGAATCGAGTTATCCAGCAGTGTCATGTAGAGGATCAACATCACTGTCCAATACACATGTATCAAACGGGCACCTTGGAGGCTGTCGAAAGTTGCTTCTGCCTGGTCGGGAAGTTTACTGGGGTACCCGCGCAGAGAGGCGCGCTCTCGCAACTCTTCCATGGCTGGAGGGGATTGTATTCGTAAGGGGCCGTTGATCAATGGGATCGCGCTCTCTGTCTCCCATTGCCTGAGTCTCTGGATGACGTCGATGAGTTTTCTGAATATCATCCCTGGGCGGTCGAGAGCCGTGCGAGGAGAGGGAAGACCAGCTATAGGCCTTTCCAAGGAGTCGGCGTGCTCCAGTAGCTCTGCCACTTCTGCAGCCAGATCGAAAAGCCGATGGAATGCATTCTTGGAATGGGTTCTGTAGGGCACCTCGGTCCAAAGGAGTGAACCAGCACAGACACGGCGTCGACGAGTCACCCCTCGGACAATCTAGCACGTTAGGTCCCGAAGAGCGTCTAGCTACGTGAGCGAGTACTTACATGTAACATCCGACAGAAGGTGAAGATCTGTAAGTATGGTTCAGTCGACACCATCTCTGGGCCGAGTGTTTGTAACAAGGCAGAGATGCCAGTCATGTGGCAAAGCCAGCCCTGGTTTGACGAGGAGCCGAACTCGCATAGCTCGTAGACAGTGAAAACGGCCGTAGTGGCAAGCATCTCGAGTGGAGCTTGGAGGTTTATTTCGCTGCGAAGTTGCTGTACGGCAGCGTTATAGAGCTGCAACCCCTTGTCGACGAGCAGCGGCTGGCGGTTAACGTGGCCTGCCCATCCGAAAGCTAGTGCAGACATGGCCAACGGCAGAGCGTCGACTGTCTTCTGCATGGGAACCAAGGTGCGGATCCATGACAAGGGGGCTTCCAGGGACGTGGATTTAGGAAGACAGTTGTCGAGAAAGGCTCCGAGTATTGAGTCGACGGACCAAGTTTGAGAGGTCAGACAACGTGGAGAAGGAACTGGTGTCACGTTTGACCCCTGACGGGCCAGCATACTGGTAGGCATAGCTCTGCTGCTTTGGCGCTTACTTTGAACCTTGGTGACTTGACTAGCATTGGTCCGGTTCAGCCAGTCGAAATCGTCGGTGAACTGGTTCTTGAAGTGAAGCCCCTTTTTGTTGGAGGCATGGCTGCCAAGCCCATAATCTCCACCCGAGGTGTTGAGAAAGATGGCAGGGCGCTCATATCCCTCACAGACCCTGACGCCCTTGCGGCATTGCCCACATGCAGGTTTCTGTTCATCGCACTAATGACCACGTTAGTTCTGAAGTGAGATACAGGAGAGATAACTCCTCTTCGTAGCACGTACACTCAGCTCTCATAAGTCTCCGTACACACATGTTGATAAGACTCCATATTACCAATGGGAGATTTTCAAATACAGGAACAAGCAGGTCTGGTTCGATATGTCACTCTCAATGCTTATTCCAATCACAGTGAATATACCGTTATATGCTGGACGGGTAGTGTACGGAGACTCATGAGGGTTCAGCGTAGCATACTGGGTAGACCAACCTTGATTTTCTTCCTGCGACAAGTGTTGCAACCTTTTGATCTCGGGATACCGACCATAGTCGGGACAGCCCTTCTGTTCGGCCGGCTTGAGAGATAGATACTCGGTATTCTGGCCGCTAGAACCACGAGTGGCTCACCACCTCTGCCGTGTCTCTGACCTGCTTATCCGAGTGGCCTGACTAGAGGCAATCGACCAATAATGACAGATAAATCGGCGTGATGGTATGAGAGCACAGGAAGATAAGATGCAGAGTCCATTGTCGTATGAAAAACGCAATTGCTGCCCTTTACGGACGTGGTCTGCATGGTATCAAGGAGGGTCGAAGAGTCCAGCTGAATAATGCAGGGGGCTAGAGGAGAAGAGGAGAAGGGGTTACAAGCGACGCTATTCCCGTTCTGGCTACAAACAGCGAGAGCTGCAGGTGGTCCCTGCGCAGCCCCATTTCACTTTCCAGCCCACTACCACATGTGCAATCGTGAGACGGTCTGACAGTCGAGCCCAACATAACCCTTCCGTCACCACGGCTTGGGATGATCACATAATAACTTCGATTGTCTTACACCCGTAAGCCAATGATGTAGATCATCCAAGTCTCCATTGCTGTCGAGTTATCTCCTTGGTCCGAAGCCGAGTACCAGAAGCACGACTACATATGTACGTGGGACTCTGCTCAGAGAAGGTGATAAAGGTAGGGCTGCATTCACCTACGTGACTGACTACACGCGCTGCCTTCTCCATGACGGATATCACTCGTGACTGAAACAAGCAACCGTAAACACGAATTGCCTACCTCTTTCCCAGACCAGACAGCTTGACATCGTCGCAATGGCACCCCTATACAAGAAAGTCCTCATCATCGGCGCCACCTCCGGCATAGGCGAAGCCCTCGCCACCAAGCTCCTCGATGGCGGTACCTCCGTGATAGTCACCGGCCGCCGACAAGAGCGCCTCGACGCCTACGTCTCGAAACACTCGAACAGCACAACCAGCCCCAGCCCCAGCGCCACTGTCAACTCAATTGCCCTCGACATCACAAACCTCAGCGCAATTCCCTCCTTCGCCGCCTCCGTCACGCAAGCCCACCCAGACCTCGACAGCGTGATCCTCAACGCCGGCATACAGCGGCCGTTCGACTTCTCGCGCCCCGCGACCGTCGACCTGGACGCCTTCGGCAAGGAGCTGCTTACCAACTACACGGCCTACGTGCACCTGGTTACGGCGCTGCTGCCGCACCTGCAGGCACTAGGCAAACAAACACAAACGCACCTCGTGTTCGTGAGCGCGTCGCTCGCTCTGGTGCCGACGCTCGTGCGGACGCCGGGTTACAACGCCAGCAAGGCGGCGCTGCACTCGTGGATCACGAACCTGCGGCAGCAGCTCCGGGACAATGGCGATAGCGTGCGGGTCGTGGAGGTGTTCCCGCCGGCGGTGCAGACGGAGCTGCACGATACGAGACACCAGCCGGACATGGTCAATGGGGGCGAGATCGGCATGCCGCTTCCGGCTTACATTGATGCCATGTATAAGGGGTTGGAGAAGGGGAATGACCAGTTCGCCATCGGACATGCTGATGTTTGGCTCGCGGATGGGGGTTTTGAGGCTGAGAGGCAGAAGCTGTTTGAGGAGGGACAGGTTGCAGTGAAAGGCGCCTTGGCGAAGTACCTCAAGTGAGACATCATCGGTAAGACGCACATGGGCAGGGTCTTAGACAATCGGCTGCTTACGCCAGCGGATTTCGAGGAGCTGGAGTTATGAGCAAATGGAAGAATGGATGATGAGTGGATACTTGTCCAATGTGAACGATGCCGACGATTACCATGTTATTCACGACGATGATGATCACATACTCTGCTGGGCTACAAAATGGAGTAGCTAGCTGTGGCTGATAGTAGACAATGAGAAACATGTGATGACATGAGCATTGTGATATCGAGCGTGTTGTGTGAGTGCAGAGCCGGTTGTTGGTTCTGGTAAGATTTTCGCGCCAGGCGTTCCGTTCCCAAAACTCCCACTACAACACTCCGAACTCACTTCGACACCAAAGAAAACCATCACCTCATACAATAACGATATCTGAACGAAGAGCGAAGTGATACAAGTTACAACTGGACTCGGTCTTCAGGTGCGTCAAGGTACCTATCCGTCGAGTCCGTGCATGCGACCGCGCCGAATGCTTCGGGCACACGGCATTCGGGAATCTACTGCGGTCGGGCTGTCGGGTCGCACCACTTATCTACAGTATCGCAGCACCTCACTCACCAAGATTAGCTGCATGCTTACTACGACCTCGGACTCGCTGATTTCTTGCCTTGCTCTCAGCCAAGTTATCTCAGCGACATCGTCAGAGCATTGATTTTCAGGGCCGATTGGCAATTGGCAAGGGGGGATATTCATGCGCAACGCAGTGGGACGTGTCTAGGTTAGGCTGCCGGTACCGCCGTCACGGAATTGGGCGCATCGCTTGCTCATCCGCGGTCTCGCCTCGCCTTGCCTCATCTCATCACGTCTCACAGTTCAAGATTGTACATTCACCACACCGTCGACGCAACTTCCAGCACACCACACCACAAACACCACACGCACACCACACGCACACCACCACACCACCACACCACATCACACAGCAAAGATGCTAGACAACCCCTCCCTCATCTATGAGGGCCCCGATGACCACAACCACACGCTGGCGCGGCCGCGTGCTCCGCTGGTCCTGCTGCACGACGGCGGCGGCACCACCTTCAGCTACCACTTGCTGGACCCGATGGACCGACCCGTGTGGGCTATTTATAATGCGCGCCTCGACGAGGGCGGCTATTGGGAGGGCGGCATCCCGCAGATGGCGGCCCACTACATCGAGCTGATCGGGGGCGTGTTGCCGGAGGGCGGGGAGATACTATTGGGGGGTATGTGGTTATTTCCTTTTCTTTTCCTTTTTTTTCGGCTTGGGTTTCTTGGGACTTGTTGGAGTTGCTGTTGTGGGTTTTGAGGGTGCACTTCGGGATCAGTAACGGAGTGGCCCGCGACGATCATCACGAGACGACCGTCGCATAATTCAACTTCATCCAACACCGCCTTGCTAACAACTCCATCCAGGCTGGTCCCTAGGCGGCATGCTAGCCCTAGAAATGGCCTGGCAGCTCGCCAACCGCCCTCCTCCCACCACCACCAGCAAACCGCGCTTCACCGTGATCGGCATGATCTTCATCGACAGCGTGTACCCGAAGCGGCTGGGCGAGCTGCGGGGCAACGCCATGCCGTCGCCGTCGGCGCAGCCGATTGTCAAGACGGCCGAGGAACTGAAGGCCATGAAGCTCCGCGAGAAGGTCGACCTCAACATGACGCATGCGCGCTTGATGGTCGGCCGCTGGGAGATGCCGGACTGGCCCGGGCGCGAGGGCGAGGTCCCGCCTACGGTGCTGCTGCGCGCTAAGGAGCTGGTTGTTGAGGCAGAGGAGGAGCGGAAAGGGGGGAGTGAGGTCGGGGCTGGGGTGGTTGACAAGAAGCAGGAGGAAGGGGAAAGGGGGCCCGTTGTCAAGAAGAGCTTCGTGGATTATACGCGTGACTTCAAGATGCTGGGGTGGGACGAGTATTCCGAGGCCCGGGGCGGCTTCATCAAGAAGGTGGTTGATATTGAAGGGCATCACTTCTCGATCTTTAAGACTGAGCACGTAAGTTATGATGTCCACCTTCCTTTTCGATATCAGGATATGCTAATGATGTGGTAACAGCTCGAAGATGTCACAAACAAGATCATCGCGGCGGCAAAGTTCTTGGATGAGCCGAACTTCTAGCTGAAGAGGGGTGGATCGCAGGCACACTGGTTTGCATTCATTAGGTTCGACCTTTCATTCAAGGTTAGGCATGGCGTTACGGGAGGGGTATATACCATTGACACACATAGAGCATCTGTCTAGACTATATAGAGACTCTCGAGGCAGTGGCCTTTACCGGCATCGAGGTGGTTCTTATGCGGAGTCTGGAGACCTGAGTGTAAATACCTGTAAGCCCGTCTAGAGGAGAAATCCAACTCACCAAATGATGATAAATGGTTCGCTTGGTATTTGTGCCATTCGTCATGGCACATACCTACTAAGTACACTGAGCCCTTATAAGTCTCCGTACACGACCCTTCCAGTAAATTACGGTAAATACATCAAATTAGAATAAGCATACCGGAATAAGCAATTAGATCTTTATTAGCCATTCTTAACGCTTATTCCAGGGTGCTTATTTCAGTTTTTTCAATTATCTTACTAGTTTGCTAGAAACTTGGCAAGATGCGCGTATAGAGACTTATAAGGGCTGAGTGTAGCTTAAAGCACAGGAAAGCATAAACGCAATGTGAGACCGACGCGTGACGGGAGCGAAATGGCTGCCAAGTGACAGCTGCTTGTCAACTGCCATCAGTGACCTGTAGCAGCTACGCCAGAGATGGTCCGTGCCCGGGTATCCGTACCACCCCAGACAAAATGGAGGGCCCGTGCAGCGGCGCATCGCTTTCATCCTTGAGCCGCGTTTCTTCCCCACTCCTCAATTCCATTTGTCCCTCCAGGCGGGTCGTTCTCAACGCGACGGCCCTGTTTGCAGATCGAGAGACGCGCCGTCACCCTGTAACAATCCCATTTTGGACGTGACAGATTCACCTGAACGGCGCAATCAGTACACTCCCTCGCCACCTCTCGATTATCTAGTATCAAGTGTTACCGAACCCTCCCAATCGCCTCTTGCAATGGCGCCCTCCGCCAAAGTGCTCGAGAAGGAGCTCACCGACGCTGTTCGCGACATCATCAGCGACAATCCATCCGGGGATGGGTTGACCGTCAACATTGTCCGCCAACGCGTCGAGAAGAAGTACGACCTTGAGCAGGGCTTTTTCACGGCTCCAGAATGGAAGTCGCGTAGCAAGACAATTATCAAGGAACTGGCCGTATGCTTTCGCAAATGATCTACCCCTCCCCACACGACAATTGCTAATAGCGACATGTAGGACAAGCTCCTGGGCAATGATTCTGAACCTTCTGCGCCCGTACCTGTAACCAAAGTCGAGGAAGAATCCAAGAGCGGAGTCAAACGTCAATCCAGCGAAGAACCGTCCCCTGCACCGAAGCGACAGAAGAAGGCAACCAACGCCGCCGCCGCCAAGAAAGCCAAGTCCAAGAAGGAGGAGTCCGAGTCTGCCCTGAGCGACCTCAGCGAATTTGACGAGCCGCCGAAGAAGAGAAAGAAGAACAACACCAGAAAGAATGCTCCCAAGAAGGAAGACTCAGAATCCGAGCTTAGTGACCTGGATGTGTCTGAAGACGAACCCAAGAAGTCCAAGCAGAAGACGGCCAAACCCAAGAAGGCAGCGCCGCGACGCATGTCCAAGAAAGAAGAGACCGAATCCGAGCTGAGCGACCTCGAAGATTTCGAGGACGAGCCCAAGAAGAAGAAGAACATCGTCAAGAAGCCCGCACCTCGACGCAAGTCCGAGAAAGAAGAGACCGAATCCGAGCTGAGCGACCTCGATGATATCAAGGAAGAGCCCAAGAAGAAGAACACCGCCAAGAAGCCCGCACCTCGTCGCAAATCCAAGAAGGCAGACTCTGATGACGAGAAAGAGGAAAGCGACGTCCAAGATTCTCCGTCAGGTCAGAAGCGCAAGCGGGCTGGCCCTGCGAAAAAGCGCGATACAAAACGCACCAAAGTCGAGTCCGATGATGAGGACAATTCAGGTGAAGAGACGAAGGTGGTATCCATCGAGCATGACGAGGACGACGAGCACAAAGCAGAGGTGGACGACGAATCCAGCTCAGAGTCCAAGCCCAGGGGATCAAAGGCAGCCAAGCACGAGGAGTTTGACAAAGACACCAGCGAGATCAAGCCCGAAGACGAGGAGAAGAAGCCCAAGAAAGCATACGACTCGGGCTCGGAACTGTCATCAGTTCTGGATGAGCCGCCCCCCAAGAAGCGCAAGTCCAAGTCCAAGGAATCAAAGGCGAATGGATCCTCCAAGCCCAAGGCGTCTGCCGCAAAAGAGCTTTCGGGAGATGAGGCCGAGATAAAGAAGCTCCAGGGTTATCTGCTCAAGTGCGGAGTGCGAAAGATCTGGGCGTTCGAGCTCAAGCAGTACGGCTCGGACACTCGCGCCAAGATTAGGCATCTCAAGGGCATGCTAAGCGCCGTGGGCATGGACGGTCGTTTCTCGGAAGCCAAGGCAAGGGAGATCAAGGAGAAGAGAGAACTCTTGGGCGAACTGGAGGCTGTCACCGAGATGGACGGCCTTTGGGGACGCGAAGGCCACAGTGGTCGAGCGTCTCGCAGTCAAGCGTCGAAGAAGACAATGAAGGAAGAATCTGATGAGGACGACGAGGATAACGATGCGAAGGACGAAGAGGATGAGAAGCCTGATGTCAAGGCCAACCCGCGACTGTCGAAGCGGATGGCAGACTTAGCGTTTCTCGGGGATGACAGCGAGTCTGACTGAATTGCCAGGCCTGCTTTTTCAGTATTTCTTGGCAACAAGTCAGCCTGCTGACCACAGAAAAGCATCATCACAAAGGTCACCCTCGCCGGCGCCTCGTCAAGATGGATGCTAACAACGCCGGTAGCCTTCTGGGTTCGATGCCGCAACCATTACAGCGGCCACAGTCCTGGTGGGAACCCCGACGACACTGGAGAGAACCCGTCTGGGATTGTATGTTACGACTTTTGATTCGAGGTTTCTATATGCGAGAGGGCAGGAGCTTTCGCATTGAATTATCTGTTCGCATTCAACCTCTGAGCTACAAGGCCGAAGACGGCTACCGAGCCGAAAAACAACACAGCATTGTAGAACTAGGCCATGTTAGTCGGATAGTCTGAATGTCATGATACCCAGCAACTGATTGCATCATGCATGTATGAAGGTGATCTTACAGCACGCCGTGAAACCTCCCTCTCCTCGTCATCCGACCTCGCCTCGATGAACAGGCGTCTCAGGTTTGGGAAGCTGGCCTGCTTGACTTGTGAGTAGCTGTCTCTGAAGTTGACCTGCGGTATGCCGATAGTGTTGCGTACCATGTGCTCTCGCCTAGGCGAATATAATGAGATATGTTTCGGTGGTATATTGGGGAGTTTCGCTGCTTGAGTCGAGTCTGTGAAGCCTTCGATTGCTGCCTTGTGGAGTGTAGTGCGGAGTAACGAGGGACTTTGATGACGACTAGGTAGCGGTGATACCGGTGGTAATCCGCAATGCTCTGGTTCAATGTGAAGTGGTGGTTCGTGGACGCAACTTGCAACCTCCTGAGATGAAGCTTGAGGCGCTCGGGCCAAGCGTTCTAAGGGTCAGTGTCCATGACCCACAATCATCAAGTGCGTCTATTGGCGTATGCAGTTAGCCGGCTATATTCGTTTATGGGGAAGAGGCACCCCACCGCCCCCTGACTGCACCAGGCTGAAATTCCAAGAAGGGCGGGCTCGCGCTTGCTTGGCGGTCGACGCTTGGTGAATGAATGAAGGCCAGCAAGCATTCTTTCCACAGTCACCAACCACACCCTCGTCTTGGCGACACAACAGACCCTCTGCGCTCCTCGAAAACGAAGTACAAGACGAAGCACGCACACGAGCAAAGTGACCAACAAATCAGCGAAGGACCTATCGGATGCAAACACAATAGCCCTGCAAGGGCCCCCGACTCCCTCCACCTCCAGTTCACCATTCTGACCGCCGCTGCTCCTCGACGACTTTCTTTCCCTCCTTCTATGTCTATCCCTCTATAAGACACAGAGACACACGCGATGGCCGTCAATCGCGTTCGTGCGGCGTTCGCCGCACCTAGGAAGGGTGAGACGTTCGAGTTGCGAGCTGGGCTGGTGTCTCAATATGCCTGGGAGCGGAAAGAGTCCATTCAGAAGACCATCATGGCTATGACGTTGGGCAAGGATGTGTCGGCGCTGTTCCCGGACGTGCTGAAGAATATTGCGACGTCGGACTTGGATCAAAAGAAGCTGGTCTATCTATATCTGATGTGAGTCGATTGATTATCCAAGATATTCTCCCGCTGCACGTAGGCTTACCCAAGGCTTAGGAACTATGCCAAGTCGCATCCCGATCTCTGTATCCTCGCCGTCAACACATTCGCCCAGGACTCTGAAGATCCGAATCCCCTCATACGAGCACTTGCGATCCGGACAATGGGCTGTATTAGGGTGGACAAGATGGTGGATTACATGGAGGAGCCACTGCGCAAGACGTTACGAGACGAATCGCCCTACGTACGGAAGACCGCTGCTATATGTGTCGCGAAGCTTTTCGACTTGAGCCCGACTATGTGCATCGAGAATGGTTTCCTCGAGATACTACAGGAGTTGATTGGAGACCCTAATCCGATGGTCGTCGCAAACTCAGTCCAGGCATTGGCTGAGATAACCGAGACGGCTCCCGAGACAAGAGCATTGGTAATATCTCCTGCCACCCTCAAGAAACTGCTTATGGCTCTGAACGAGTGTACGGAATGGGGAAGGGTGACGATCCTCTCGACTCTGGCCGACTACCCTCCACAAGACGTCAAAGAGTCTGAGCACATCTGCGAGAGGGTGGCGCCTCAGTTTCAACATGTCAATCCCAGTGTCGTACTAGCTGCTGTAAAGGCTGTCTTCATCCACATGAAGATGATCAACCCCGACTCTGTGCGGCAGTACCTGAAAAAGATGGCACCACCTCTAGGTTCGTCCAGTCAACTCACCCTGCCAGCCGTTGCTAACGAGCATAGTGACCCTCATCGCATCAGCTCCTGAAGTCCAATATGTTGCGCTGCGGAACATCGACCTTCTCCTACAAGCGAAACCCGATATCCTAAGCAAGGAGCTGAGAGTGTTCTTCTGCAAATACAACGATCCGCCATACGTCAAGCTCCAAAAGCTCGAGATCATGGTCAGAATAGCGAACGAGAAGAACTACGAGCAGCTTCTGGCCGAACTAAAAGAGTATGCCTTAGAATTGGATATGGACTTTGTCCGGAGAGCCGTGACCGCGATTGGCCAAGTCGCCATCAAGATCGAGAGCGCAAGCGAGAAATGCGTCAACGCGCTGCTGGATCTGATCGCCACCAAGGTCAACTATGTGGTCCAGGAGGTTGTTGTTGTGATCAAAGACATACTGCGGAAATACCCCGGCTACGAGGGAGTCATCCCCACACTATGTAACCACATTGACGATCTGGACGAGCCCAACGCAAAAGGGTCGTTGATATGGATTGTTGGAGAGTATGCCGAGAAGATCAACAATGCCGATGAGATATTAGAAAGCTTTGTGGATACCTTCATGGAAGAGTTCACACAGACACAACTGCAGATCTTGACGGCGGTTGTCAAGTTGTTCTTGAAGAAGCCAGGAAATACACAGGTTCTGGTCCAGAAGGTCCTCCAGGCGGCGACGGCCGAAAACGACAATCCTGACATCCGGGACCGAGCATATGTCTATTGGCGTCTTCTCTCCGGGGATTTAGACGTTGCAAAGGTAAAGATGTTCTCAACACCCCTATCTTGCATTTACTGACGGTTACAGAGCATCATTCTATCACAAAAGCCGGCCATATCAACAACCATGACCAGCTTGCCGCCCGCGTTGCTAGAGCAGCTTCTCGGCGAGTTATCTACGCTTGCATCCGTTTACCACAAGCCACCGGAGTCATTTGTTGGCAAAGGTCGCTATGGTGCCGACCAAATTCAACGCGCCGCTATCCAAGAACAGCGCCAGAATGCAGCCGAGGACCCTATTGCAGCCTCCATCGCGACAGCCTCTGGGCAGAATGGTACAGCTCCGCGGGGGGGCATGGAAAACCTGTTGGACATCGATTTCGATGGCGCTGCGCCGGCTTCTCACGAGCCAAACTCGGTATCAGCCACACCGGACCGCGTGGCAAGTCCAACGGGTGGAGCTAACCCTTCGGGCGGAATGGCGGACATGATGGGTCTATTTGACGCGCCTGCACCACCTCAGAACAATGGTTCAAGCTCCGGTGGCACCGACATCATGAGTGGATTCGCGGGGCTGGACCTGGGCGGATCGAGCAGTCAGCCACCTCCACCTTCAGCCCAACTCGGTCACGGGGGCAGTGGGCAAAAGAAAGACACGAATGAGGATCTACTGGGCATCTTCTAGGAGAAGGGGGACCAGCCTCAGGCAATGCTGCCAAGCCAAAATCCATGGCACGATGATCAGGAAGGTGGCGGAGGAAATCTTTTGGATCTATGATAGAGCGGCCCGGTCTCTCAGAGAAGTGGATTACCAGGCGAATGATGGTCTTTCGGCAAGGCTTACTGTATGCATCGACATGAACGGGCGCTGGGAGTATAAGATTCAAGACGCAGAGTTGTGCCCAAGCTAGCAGTATATGTGAAATCGAGACACGAATATGACATACCGCGCGCCTTCCTTTTGTGTGTTATTACATTGCCTGCATGTCATACTCACGTTGCTCGCTGAACGGAGCCTCAACCTAGAGCTTGGACGAAAGCCCTTACATCTCGGCAATCATATACACCGTGTGTATCAAATTGTAAGCAATTACCCAAGCAGCTTGCTTTGTGACAATAGAAGCAACAGCAGTGAATATGTCACTGCACTAGACAGCCCCACAGGGTCAACCCCTATATATTCCAGATCATGTCTCCTAGCTAGTTTCATAGTTCCCTTTCTTCTTCACCTGCAGCAGCAAACCCATTTCTGGAGTTACCAGCAGTCGAACTTTGGGTCCAACCATAACTTACTGATCATTATAACAATAGGTCATAAGTTACCCCAGACAAGTTATTGCCCCAGTCCCGGGAGAATGCCACTCTCTTTCCGCATCAATATACCTCAATGTAAACCATCTATTCTTTAATCGTAACAACTTAGTCCCATATCAATCTCATGCCGACTTTGCTATAGACATTGCTTTTCGACACTACCTATAACGCATAGTTTTACACTTCTACCTTAGCTTCACTAAGCTCATTCATCCGACACACCATCACATGAAATGGTGTAGTAACTGATTCCCTTGCATCGAGTGAAGCGTCTATAGAAAGGACGGTTTGAAGATCTCTCCTGCCCTGGACCATCTGGCTGCTGTTTGTGAGAAACAGGAAAAGCTAGACGAGGAGCCTCTTTGCAACGCCCTTCGCATCGAACATAAACCCAGGGTCCGCGAAGAGCTCCGCGATGAGCAATACGATAAAGTTCGGGAAGAGCTTCGCGTGGAGATAGGAGACAAGCTACGCCGAGAGGAGAGAGCTTCTTTCATCAAGGAATTATAGAGTGCTGAGAGACTCGAGCCGAGTAAGTTCCGAAGCTGCGCAGGATGACTTTTCCGGTTTTAGAAGTTCAAACACATTGAGCAAAATATACCACCCCGTAGACGGGCGCCAAGAAGCCATGATGGAACGGCTGCTGTTTGGGCGTAGCTGAGGAAGACGTGGCTCTTGTGCAAGGCAACGTGTCGACGACGTCTGGGTGGTGGCCGTAGCTGTTCGGAATGTTTGGATTCTCTGCTTGCGTGCTTACAGAACGATATAGCAGTGGGAAATGTGAAGGCTCCAGTTATACAGAATTGCCTACGTAACGTTATACCCGTTCAGGCTCGTATTGTCTGTCTACTAGCATTCATTCCATGCATTTTTTAAGCAAAAGAAGATTCAGGTAAGCCAAGCCTACCCCCTTTCCAAGAAGCTTATAGCGACAGCAAGTTGCGTGGGTATCGCTGCCTTGGGTAACTACGCAGCGATTTTTCTCTTGCAAAATCCATTGTTTTTGCTTGATTGTTCAATGCGCTTGGTGCATGGAAACCTACCTAATTAGTCTATCAATGATACCCCTATTGTGACGACAAGCGCTACCACCAGCGCTATTCATTCGAACGCAGAAATAATGGTCACTCAATGGAAGCAATTACTCAAGCTTGCTTGTTAATTACAGCACTACATTCAGTCAATGGCCTGAACAATAGTGATCATTATAACAATGGGTAACGTCCCAGGGGTGTCATTGTCCCAGCTGTGGGAGGATTTCTCCCACTTTTAGTATTAATATACATTCATGTAAGTATCTGATTCGTGACGACTCATCCCACGTAGCAACCTTATTGCTATGGACATTGCGTTTCGAAACACCTTGCAACCAATAACCACTTCTACTACAGCTCTATCAAGCTCATTCATCTTACACATCGTCCGCCACACGAGATTACCCTTCTCCCAGGATAAAACAACCACGATGTCTCCGACCACGAGCACTACTCCGGGCCAGGAGGATAATTCCAAGGCTTCCAAAGGCGGGAGATGGCAGCGGTGTCAAGAGCACCGAGCAGCGCCACCAGCATTACCTCGAACCGCCGTCTCACACCACTGAAGAAGGAAAGGCTGGAAACAATTGGCCGGTAATGCACAATTGTGAGCATTACTAGTTGCTGTTTGGTTGTTATAAAGCTGACTATGACTCAGTGACGGCGCCGTATGGCACCAAGCAGCCATACGCGGCTTTCGCCGAGACCCACGCCATGGCTCGCGGCGAAGAGGGCATCTGGGCCGGAAACTGGACGCAGAGACTTGCTGAATACAAGACGTCTTGTGCGGCGAAGGAAGGAAGGAACTGAATGGAGAAGGGGAAGAAGATCGTTGCGCATCGTGAGGAGATGGGTCTTTACGCATAGGCATAGGGGAGATATCAATGAAGAAGAAACTTTAACGTATGACATAATCACAACAATGGTGATCATTCTAACAATGGGTAATGTCCCATGGGTATTATATCCAAGCTCTACAATCACGGCTCATTCTCTTTGTACAAATACTTCTCCGCGTATACCCATTTAACATCTGGCTTCTACTATCTCAGTATCCAAGACAGTATCACACTTAAACACCTTTACCAACTTGCACCATCAGACAATGTAAGATGCACGCCCTCCCCACAGCTACACAGAATGCTCTCATCTGACACAATACCAGTAGCTGTCCACTTCGCAGGAACTCCGCAGTTACCATGTCCCAGACCGAGAACATCGAGAAGGCCGACTGCCCAGTCTACGGCAGCAGCGGAAAATTGTCACGTGTCAGCGTCGACCAGACGGACGAGGCGAAGACCGTGCAGAAATATCTCGAGAAGCCTTCCTGCAAGCATAGATCGGACTGGCCGGCTGAACACAATAGTAAGCACTATTACTCGCTGCTGCGAGTTGCTATATACCTCAGTAGCTAACTACAATCCAGGCACCACTCCGTACAGCGACAAGCAGCCCTACGCGCCGATAGCCAGTGCGATCGCCATGACCACGGGCAAGAAAGACATCTGGGGCATGGAGCCCACTGAGGAGAAGAAGGACGCCCATGAAGAGGGAAACGGAGCGGGATATGATGAGTGATCGGCAGTGATGGGAAGCCAGGAGGACCGCATCGTTTAGCGGGCTCTGTCAGACGTCAACCACGGCATCCAAACGGCCCTGCGTACACTGGACACAGTCAACTTCCCGGACGAGGACCCCGACGAGGACCCTGACATGTACATGGATGGCGGCAGAGTTTTCCACGGCGAAGAGTAGTGGGGGTATCCTGGGACCATGAACAGTTCATAAGATAATGGACACACAACCGATGATTACGAATGCTGTGTTCTCGTGACTTCTTAGGAATTTTCCCAAATTCTCCGGCACGGTGATAGGTGTGAAACGGATACATTCATCAACCATGGCTGATGGTATATAAGTGACTTCGCAATATATGAGCAATTAGTCTACATTAAGTAGTGACTCGGCCCCTTATCCGCAAGAGAGAGAGAGACCTCGCCGATACGTTGCTACAGTCCTAGCATGGGGAGGCGACACTACAGAGCAGCAGTTGAAACTGGGGTCACACTTGTGCTGATGCCTATGTTTGCAGTACGCTCTTCAGGACGTTTCAATAATCTGCTTGGGCATGTACAAAGCAGCTCGTTGAAGTGATGATCCAAGCCTCCACTCGTGGCGGGAGATTTTCTGAGCGACCTGCCTGAGGCCTCTCACAGCCTGAGTTAGCTGTAGACCAGTAGATGTGTCGCACAGGGCTCACGGCGTGTAAAAGCCCATAAGTGAAAGAAAAGTGCAGGAAATAAAGCTCGTTTGATCCGAGCAAACATATAGGCTGACTCAAGGGCGGATGCACTGGCGGTTAGTAGCCTTGGTCGAACATCCCTTATTATAAATATTCCAGTGTAATTAATAGTGCAATGATACTAATAGCGAATGTTTCTAGCCTTGTGAGGGTATCGTGGAGTAACCAGATGCCTCTGGCATCTTTCATCTCTGTTTTAGTGTCTAATGAGCCTGCGGCTTGACATTCTAGTTTGCGAATGCTGCCCCTACCTGTCGCTAAGCTGCACTACTAATGATTTATGTGCAGTATAAGACGCTAGTCTCACAGTAAGCATATACACGGGTAGCTTACTTGGTAACAATAGGAAAACTAGCAGTGAATGGACCTGCAATGGTGATCGATATAACAATGGGCACTGTCCCGCGTGAGCTATTGTTCAAGCCTGTCCTCTTTTTGTATATATTTATATCGACTTAAAAACCTCTGATCTCTGATTCCTACCGAACCGGGCTCGACAGCAATACCACATTCAGTTTTGCGATTCGATCCTACTGCATCACACATCCATTCAGACACACTTCGGACAGATTCACCAAAGCCTCACATCATCTCCCATCACCTTAAACTTCCGATATATTCCAGGACATTATCGTCATCATGCCTGAAACCACAACCACTGATCCGGGTCATAAGGACCACCATTCGGCCTTGGACAACGAAGGCCCGCAGCAGGTACAGCAGGTCAAGCCGCAACAACACTACCCGCAGCCTCCCAACCGCGGCGCTGGCAGCAGCGAGGAAGGTTGCGACTGGCCTGTAGAGCACACAGGTGAGCATTGATAGTTGCTGGTGCGAGTTACGGGACGGCTGATCATGACCCAGGTACGACTCCGTACAGCGAGAAGCAACCGTGCGCTCCGTTCGAGGAGACCAAGGCCATGATTACCGGAGACGACGGTATCTGGACCATGAAGCCCTCCGAGATCAAGAAGAACGGCTTCGGACAGGGCAATCGACAGGGAGACAACAAGGAGTAGGGATAATGGAGAATGTATGCTAAAGCTTCAGCTTATCGGAGCCATTCTGGGACGATGAATAGTGAGAAGATAACGAAGACACAACCGGGACCATACTACGAATGCTGTGTTATTTTGATTTCTTAGACATGCTGATGAAATCATTCTGTTCTTATAACTTCCCTCATGATTTGTTATATAGCTGATGATAAGTCGGAGAGCCAGAGACCACGCCTATCAACGAGCAGCAAGCAGCCTTAAACCAGGGGGTGGGGACTGGATTACGAAGCTCAGTAATTACGAGAAGGTTGATTAAGTTGATTCCTGAGCACCACCAAAACGAACATTGTTAAAACAATAGATTTGAAGCAGCATTGTCCCCAACAATGGTGAATCCTTATAACAATGGGTCAGGCCTAGCATGAATGGGATACCAGCCCTGGAATCAGATCATCTCACTTTTCCCATGAATAGTCCCACACCTAACCCTACTGAACCTTTAATTTCTAGCTGCTCACTCTGCTCACCAGCAACATACCTGAATTCTCGCTTCGCACCTACTGCTCAGTCACATCCAGCAAGGACACCTAGCCTCTTTCACCCGATCAAGCTACCTCAACGAAGGACACCATGGCTCCTAAAACACCCTACGACCCTGGCAAAGCCAGCACCAGCAACAATGTCTCGCCGGAGGACGCAGTCCAGAGCACTGGCTACAAGGAGGAGGCTCAGCAGGGATCCTCCACCCAGCGCTATCTGGAGCACCCGTCGAGCATTGCCGCCAACAACAAGGACGCTTCGGGCTGGCCCATGATACACAACAGTAAGTACCACTATATTTCCTCATCTGCCTTTACACGCTATCAACTAACTTACTTGTCTTAGATACTACCCCATTCAGCAAGGAGCAGCCGTACGCCCCCTTTGAGGAGACACAGGCCATGGCGACTGACGAGGGTAGCACCTGGAGTCAAGACTGGAAGGCGAAAGGCGCGGAACCCGAGGAGAAGAGCTCGGACAAGAAGCCCGAAGAGTGATCGGAAAGTCGGAACGGCGAAATGTGATGCGGCGAGAGACATAATGCTATGCCGACGGGGCTGGGAAGAGAGTGCTTCTCTGAGGCCGACATAGATAAAAAATGACATCATTGCACGGATATTTCTGGTGTTATGAGTGTTGCAACTACATGAGTGATAAACTGATCCAGGTAGGGAGGGATTAGTCTGATAAGCGGCAGCCGGAAAACCCCACAAATTAGGAGAAAATGTAAAATACCTCTCATTTTCAACAGAGCACTCGAGGGTTACCACCGGCCGAGTCATACTCACTCTTAAGTCGGATGTCAATGTGGTTTCTTTCCACCGGCCGCAGACGAAGTTGTAACTGCCACATCTTGATGAGAAAAGTACTAGTAGAAGTTCAGGGATTGGGAGTTTCAAGACGCAATGAAACACCCCTCTACCTCTAGAAAAGTGTTGGGAAGCTGTATGAGAGGTTCTGACCCCTGAGAAAGCGAGCCAAACGTAACTATGCACTCAACTGGTCCTCGTTGATTGACCACAGTACTATCTGGCGACACTAGTCTCAAGTCAACCAGGGCCGTATAAGCACGTCCTTCTATTCGACGTCGCGAGCCTCTGTTAGTGGAAGCAAGTCTGCTAGCCCTTAGAATCGTTGCCAATGACCTGCCATAGCATGAGGGTTAAACAGATCGACCAAGACGAGCAACATGAGCTACTACTAATGTTAGCATTGAGACTTCTTGGTGGAAATTGGATGAATTAACCTTTGGTATAATTTATTCGTCGAGCTCTTGAAGAGTACGCTTGCCCAGGAGCACCTATACTACCGGCAGTGGGTGCTAGTAATCTCATCGCCGGTGCCCCACGCGTGTACCAACAGCGCGAGCCCGGTGTGTATATCATCGTACACCACGTACCATACCTCCCCATATCCCAACCTCCTCTCCCGCTCCTACCTCCCACCACTACAGACCCCATCCCTCGCTGCATACCCCACACCATACCCCGCCCCATCAATCACGCATCGGTCCCCTCCACCCGTCCGCCCACCGTGCCATCCATAGGCGGCCCCTCGTCCCCGCCATGCTTCGCCTTGTCCCGCTCGCACTCCTCAGGCGTCTGGCACTTGGCGCTCCAGGCATGGATGGCGGCAATCTCGTCTTTCAGCGCCGCATTCACGGCGCGGTGGCGCTTCAGGCTGTTGAGTCCTGCGAATGTCGGCGAGACTATGAGGGTTGTGAAGGATTGGCCGCAGCCGCCTGGTTGGGAGGGTTCCAGTGGTTAGCGATTACTGTACGAGGTCTGGGACATTGGTAGGGTCGTGCTTGTGTAATTTTGGTCAAAGGCTGGTGCATTAGGCTTCTGTATGGACTTGGCTAATCACTGCTAGACAGCAGGAAATATGTCCAATGCTGAGGACGGCGAGGTAGGTAACAGTGGTAACGTACCGGACATATCCGTGACCTCGACATGGACAGCCTTCAGCCGTTCCGTCAGGGCCGCTTTCAGCGACGTTTCTGTTATTGTCGGTTCGCCCATATTGAAAGTACTCGGACGTCCATACAGCAGTTCGGTAATTGCGGTTGCGCGGGCTGATTTTAATACCGCGTATTTCTTTTGAGCAGTTTACGATGATCAATTGGAGTGACGAAAGCCCCACGACGATGACGTTGTATCTTGAATTTGGAAAGCAATCTTTTATCGATAAGAAACCCCGGCAAGGGGACGTGGGGATGTGGGAATGTGGCTGAAGCTATCCCTGCTGTGGCGGAAGCTGCCGCATTTGCATTCAATGTCGCATCCCATGTTTTTGAGGAGGACAGACATCTGGTTTGCAGCGAGCACATAGCAAAAGGTCTATCGACTAGGCAATGTTCATCTCCCGGAACCTGGCCTTGAATTACCGCTCCGTAACCTTTTCTTTGACGACCAGGGCCTTCTCTGCTCCAGCTCCACAGGTCCGCCGTGTTCTCAACACCGCTTCTCAAGCCCAGCGTAGAGGCAGGTCCCATCCGAAAGTTGCTCCTGGGCAGTCTCAGAAAGTGGGCTCAAGGACACTCAACACCATGGCGGCACCTTCATCATTCACCGATGCGGTGGTGACTGCAATGAGAAGACTGTAAGCACTCAGCCATCCACATACTACTTGAAATAGTTCACTGACAGGTAGCTTGTAGCTTCCCCGAAGAGCTAGCAGACAGTGCCTGGGACAATACTGGATGTGAGCAGCTGTTTGGTTCAGGTTGAGAAGTCAATCGAGTACTGACAGTCACTAGTACTGCTGGAACAGGCACCGTCCTTCAAATCCAAGGCGGAAACCGGAGCTGCTCCCACTGTTCTCCTCACAAATGACTTGACTGAACTGGTGGTGGACGAGGCTCTGCAAGAGGGAGCCGACATGATTGTGTGCTACCGTATGTCTAACCCTAGATTTCTCGGGTGATTCGCTCTAACAGCTACCTAGACCCGGTCATCTTCAGGCCTCTCAAGTCCCTGACGACAAAGGACCCCATGCAGACCCAGCTCCTCCGACTGATAGCTGCAGGCGTGTCTGTCTACTGTCCACATACAGCAATGGATGCAGCGAGCGGGGGATTGAACGACTGGCTCTGCGACATTCTGCTAGCTGGCTCGCCTCAGGTTCAACGAACAGTCGTTCAACCTATAACACGGCCGGTGCCGAAGGACCACGAGGGAAGTGGTTATGGCCGAACCGTCGAGTTGAGCGAGTCCATCACATTGCAGACCCTGATGAGACGGCTGTCAGCTGGTGTCGGCGACCAACGATATATGATGGTCGCCCTTCCGCCGTCCCTCAAAGGCCTAGGCAAGACCCAGGATATCTCCAAGATTGCCGTTTGCGCCGGTTCTGGCGCAGACATCCTCAAAAACACCGACGCACAGGTGTTGGTGACGGGCGAAATGGCCCATCACTATGCACTTCGCCACACCCAGCTCGGCCAGATCGTTGTCACTGTCTTCCACAGCAACTCGGAGCGCAAGTACCTAGAGCAGAGATTGAAGCCGATGCTCGATGTCCAGCTGGAAACCACCAAATACGGTAACGCACGAGTGCTTGTGAGCAATGCTGACCGCGATCCGTTTGAGATAGTCGACGTCCAGTCATTGTCATAGTGGAGGTTTCGAGGCGAATTTGGTCGGCCGGTAGGGAAGGAAATATTTAGAACTTCGGAGATACCTTAGCTTCAGTTGCTCTAACAATGAGGGCCGAGTGGACGTGGCTCTTGCGTGGCCAGGGGTCGGGTTCCATGAATCAGAAATGCCTTGTTCACCCGTTTCCGACCTGAAGTGCCTGATCCTGGATTGATTCAACTTTGAACACTTTCAGCATCTCAAATGCTTCAGTCTTCATCTTTGGTGGTGCGGAGCTCCCGCCAGCTGCCCTTGCTCGGCTCGCCTCGAACTGCCGCATCACCATCTGCTATGCAGTCATCCACGTCAACACCCCCCACCCCCTGCTCTTTCCAGATAAGAAGTAGCTTTCGCGGCGTCTTCCACGCTTGTCTTGCGTCTTCCAGACGCCCTTCATTGACGAGTGTTCGTATCCTATCTGGCGTATCCAAAACCTCAATCGCTAGCTTCTTGGTCCGTAGTCTCCTCTGAGCAGCTTCTTCGGCCTGCCTCGATGCATCCGGCTGCGGCACTGATTTGCGTAGCGATTCCCGTATCGACGAAGCCTGCGAGTATATGTGGGCGATAGCCGGGTCGAGCGTCGAAGCCATTGGGTTCAGAGGGTCCATGTTCACTCGCATCTGCTACCTGTCAGCCCTGCATCCTACCACCAACCCCGGCCGCCCTGCCAGGCCGGGATATACCCAATGGTAGGATCAGCACCCACCTTCCGTATAGTCTCCGTAGCCGTGATCAGCTTGCTGTAGTTATCATAGACCAAAGCCTTCTTCTCGGCGTCGAGCGCCTTCATCTCCCCAAGCACGCGCGTGTACAGACGCAGCAGCTCCTCCATGCCGCTCTCAGCCAGTGCCCGCTTAACAAACGCCTCGGCGTCGAAATTGTCCTTGTCCATTTCGCTGGGCGGCACCTCGGAGTTCTCGTGCGCGGCGTGTGCGTCACCCGTCTCCCCTTCAGGGTCGGTCACCTCGACCTGTGGCGGTGGTGTGGCTGTGCCCGGAGGTGCCCCCTTGCGCAGGTTGTAGTACTCGCGCAGCGCGGCACGGTTGCGCTTTGGGTTTGCGGCATTGGGGCCGGCGAAGGCGCTGCCATTGTTGGGGTTCGGTGAAGTCACCGGGGAGCGCTGCATGTCGAGACTGGGACGGGTCGAGGATGTCGGTGTGGTGAGGGAGTTCATGCGCCGCGGGAAGGGCGCGCTCGGATCTCGTGGTGAGGCTATTGTGGACATGGTCAGGGTATGTATCGAAGCCAAAGGAACAAGTCGAGGCTCTTGGGTGTACGATTGGGAGTTGAGCAAGCTGCTTTGGCGCCAACAAGGGGTGTGGGATCTCCTTCTCTTGGTGGGCACTGGGGCGAAGTTGACAGGCGGGAGCGCACGGACGCTCGAACCCCATCTCAGTGGTGATCTCCAGGGTCCAACCGCGCTGATACGCCACTGTGGCGTTCGGTGTTAACCCAGCGCTACCTGACATGCTAGCGCACATCGCGTTCTTCAACAGTTTAATATCATCAAGAAAAACTCAAACCTGCAACAACCCATTTTCCCATCGACCCTCTGCAACCACCAACCTACTCTCAGCCTTGTCTCTGTTCCTTGAAAGCCGCGACTTACACAACCGAAGACGACAAGAAGATGCCCATCGATCGTCAACATCCCATGCAATGCAGCGCCCACACGCCATGAGCTTGACCACTCAAATCCGCTCTGGCCTTCAAGCCCAGGGTCTGCCTACTCCCACGTTGTCTTGGATCCAGAGCGCCATGCCTAGGCACAATCCCCCACCTCCTCTGCCAGCCTTGATAGCTACAGTCAAGACGCGTCTCTTGATCGCTGACCTGACCAATCCGGCCATCTTGGAGCTGCCAGTCCCTGCATTCCCGCCTCACCTGAGCAATCCAGAGGTCAAGGAAATCAAACTTACCCAAGACATCCCAGTGCAAGTGTTGGACATAGATAACTTGACTAAGAGCAAATGGGATCAAATCGAGGAACTCGAAGCAATCGCCCGCGGGGAGCAGACGAGAGGAAGAGAGATTGTCCGTCTTCCCACCGGCAACGAAGAAGATGACGGTGCCAGTGAGGGTGCATCAACTGCATCAACTCAGTCCATCTCTAGCGGGCGACCAGGAGTCCAGGCACGGGGTGCTTCTGCTTCTAATGCTGCCAGCGCAGCATCAAAGACTTCTACGCATCGGCTGGTGTTGCAAGATTGCAAAGGCCAGAAGGTGTACGCCCTGGAACTGAAACGCATGGAGAAGATCGGTGTCAGCACGCTCAACATTGGTGAGAAGATAATGCTCAAGAGGGGAGCCACTATTGCCCGAGGCACGGTTCTGCTTGAGCCCGCAACCTGTGTGATCCTTGGTGGAAAGGTTGAGGCGTGGCAGAAGGCATGGGTTGAAGGTCGTCTGGTGCGCCTGAAAGAGACTGTGGGGAGTGGAAATCAGAACTGAGCCAATACTCGACACGCATCACCAGTCAACACCAACCAGATGTCAAGGCGTTTGTACAGTGCATTCACACCATAGATGTCTATTCAGACTCCAATTCTCGCCATCAGTCTCTGTATCCGGTGTCAAGCTAGGAGTTGACAACGAACGGACCTTTCTAACATTGGCCCTCCTGGTTGTCCTGTCCCGGGTGTAGGCCTCTATGTTCGTGCAGTACCATCTCCCGATCATGGACTGGACGCTCGGACATTGTCTGGGTCTCGGAATGGTTTCACCGCATGGAACCTGGAACCCTCCAGCTCATCGGTCATCAAAGAGTCACCTACTTAGGTGACAGTGGAGTTCTCTGGATCGGATACATACCCATCGTGTACGGCAACAAACAAAGACGGCTCAAGCACAGAAGATCACGAGACAACGTGAAAGCTTCCATTGATCAAACAGCCGGCTTGAGAAAGCCAGCTTCGCCAGGCCCGACAGTCCGAGATTACCGACAGCGCTGAGAACTTTCACAGAAGCACACGCTCAATAGAGGTTGGTGTCCCTTCGAAAGACAGCGTCTCTCTAGTAGCTGCGTGCTCTTACATCTCTGGATTTTGGTTGCGGGTGTAGCCAGTCACGTAGGTAGCCACCATTTTCCATTTCACAACCACGACGTGCAGATCACTGACGAAGCCCAGAACCTGATCTACTGGAAGGGTTGGCCCGCCTTGTCTTGAGTATCCACTTGGCTCGATCCTTGTTCTATTCCGACGTTGCCGGCTTTGAGTACGATATCAGATAGGTAGAGCAGCCAAGGGTGGAGGGTCCTGGAGTGACACAACATACCCTCGAAGCCCTCTGGGCCCCGTTCATGTGGTGGGACGTGGATACCATCCTGGATATCGGAGACATCGGGGGCGAACGGTCCGTGGTTTGGTACCATTTCGGCAGCTGGCAGTGCAAGGCCGTTCCGCAATATTGTTGACTGTCTGTCAACAGCTCTACCCGAAAGGGCTGGGTGTCATGCTCCGGGGCTGATGGAGTTATTGCGGGGCCTGCTGTGGATCAGGTGTACGCGGGTAAAGGGCGTATATATGTAACCACATCAGACCAGTGAAGCTATCGCGACTACACAGGAAGATGCGGTTTGTGAGATCTTGTGGGGTTGGAAACTCTTCCATCTGCACCAGGGCACTGCTGCATCTTGACACAAGGTACTCCTGGAACAACCCGTCAATCCGGTCATTTTGGCAGCAATACCCGAGCTCGACAAAGTCACCGACATCACCATCGTACCCGAGCTCATTTCTCGACAAAGCCGCCAAAATCATCATCGTACCAGAGCTCGACAAAGTCCAACATCATCATGCGCCGAACCACCCGCAGCATGGCTGCTGCGAACGACCGTGGCCAAGCTGATGCGCAACCCCGAGCCCAAGCCCAAGCCCACGCTGCCAATGGTAAGTCCTAGGCTCTGACTCCCCCCTGAAATAGCCATACACAAAGGGAATTGATCTCATATGTTCTTGGCTGTGAACGGACTGAGAAATCTCAGATGCTGACTATTCTTAGCTCCCGTCCCTGTCGGCCCCCTTGCCCAGGGTCCTCTTGGTCCTGCGGCCCCGGCTCCTGTCGCGCCTGTTGTCCCGCCCGTCAGCACCAAGGCCATCATTGATCAGTACGCACTGTCACCGTTGTTCGTAACGCCGGTTGTCGACAACGCTGGCAACGCCACTGGCATGTACACTTGCAAGGCATGTCAGAAGACCCTGAACAAGAGAAGCATGGCTGAGCATGTGCCCAACCTGCATGTTGGCAAACAATGCATGATGTGTGCCTTTGGCGATCCTGCCGGTGGAGATGTCCGCGAGCATCTCCTGAGTGACCACCCCGCCGTCAAGCAAGGAAAGAAGTGGTCATGCACCTGGCAAGGCTGCACCAAAGTGGGAAACGATGGATTGGAGGGGGAGCCCGAGGCGCAACGCCATGTGCGTTTTCACAACTTTGGCGAGGACGCGGTCTGGCACCACTAAAACCCCTAGGGCCGAGACGAAGACGAAGACAGGGACGATGTCGGCGACGATGTCGGAGACTACAACGATGACGATGTCAATGACTATGACGATGACGATGTCTCGAGAGACTGGGAGCTCTGCCCTTCGCCTATCATCCTCATACCAGTGACGTTCGCTTGTTCGTTTGTCGGCGGAGGAGGCGTTAAGGAAGATTGGAATAAGGAAAGCTTGGCTGCCCTTCGTGGCAATGAATCAAGAGTTTTCTGTTTGGGTTTCTGCAAAAGGCGTTGATAGGGGACATATTTCCTCGACTGCTGTGATGTGACTACTTCACTTCATGACATCGTAACGCTGCAAGTGACTGAAAGAATAACTCGCATAATCGTGTGGCATAAACACCATGAAAGGGGCAATCGCCTGGAATAAGCACATAAGCTGCTTATGTCAACTTGGCTCTGTGGCAATGCGGATGTCTTCCGTATTTAAAGCCAACCAGGTAGAGGGAGCGCAATGCCCGTTTTCAAGGGTCTGAGGAGCCCTCCCTCGGTCCAATCCGGACCGTCCAAGTTGTTCGTCAGAGTACTGCAAGTAACCACCAACACCAGTGGAGTTCTCTTCAGACGGGGCGACCACGCGGGTATCTCCATCGCCATTGATGCCGGCGAGGAGAGCCTACCGTCCCCATGGAGATCCCGAACCTGGAAGAGCAGTGAAGAGCTCATATAAGGTTCTATTGGCATGCGCCGGAATTAGTCTGAGTTAAGAGGATGTCGTGTTCCCGAGTTCCACGAAACCGCAAATGCACACGTCGTGAAGGCATACATCCAGCACTGACACCTTTGGCTTGTGGTATAGCACGGCTAATGCAGCCTCTCAACACCAGGCTGATGCCGGCGACGAGGCCTGAGGCGGCACCCGGCGTAGGATATCCGCATAAAACCCGACCACTATCATCGGGCAAAGGCCCATGTAGCCAGTGTCTTGTAAGGATAGCCAGTGCTTATGATGTCCGATCATGTTATCAAGCCACAAGGATGCCGACTCTGATCCTGATGAAGAGAAAGGGGTGCCTGACTGTCACCGCTGACATACAGGCGGGACAGGCCGCCGAAGCACAGGGGTCGGTGCCAGATGGGTCCGCTTATTATGGCCAATCACCATTCCCCTAGACTTGGCCACTTCGCGTCGAATGCTCCTTCCTCAAGTGTACAAGTCCAGGAATACATCAAATCCCTTCTCTACGAGTCCGAGTCCATCTTGTCACTACCTGCATGTGCAGAGTCGAATCAGCTGCGGGCTCAGTATCGAGATCTGTGACCTTGGCTTCGGCTGCCCCGCGCGAAGCACGTCGCCAAGCCGCATGATGAAGCCTGAATCCATGCCGTGATCATCAGTCGGCTGCTCTTGACGCGAGCCTTGACGAGCTTGCCGATATGTCTTGGGTGGTAATTTCTTCGCTTGCCCGATTTCCCGTGCTTGGCCGCTTGTTCCGATGGGACGAGGACAGGCGCCTGACACCGGATGATGGTCAACATCTCCTGGAGGATGACCCGTTGAGTATTCCACTGGACCAGAGTGGCTACTCAACCACTCATTCTCCTGTACGAACCCTCATCACTCCGAAGAAGACGCTCTGGAATCGATGTCAGCACTGTTCTTGGAATGCCTTCGGACGTGCTGTGTCTTGTTGGGTCTTAATGGCTGTGTCGGTGATACTGGTGGCGGCGGTGCTATGGTTCAGACCAGCCTCATCTTCACTCAATGACGGACTCTTTCCCTGTGGCAGCTCAAGATACGACATCAACAGCGTAAGTACTCACCGTTACCTCCATGACGAACAGATTTGTCTCTGACTTTATCAGCACACTTGCTACGGTGGAAATTTCCTGTGCCCAGTCGTCGACAGGCAAAGGACGTTGAAATGCGGGAGCGACTGCTACTTACCAAGTGAATTCTCGTGAGTCGTCCCTGTAACATCTTGGGTGACTCCGCTAATGAGGCGAAGCTGCGCAGAAGGCCAACTAGTACAACTGAAAGATCAGAAGTCCCCCAGCCCACCAATCGAGGCGGAATGTTCGGCGAGCTATCTCCATTTGAGTGATCCTCCTTACGAAAACTACTTCATCTCAGACTGTAGCAGCGCGAGTCAAGTGATCATCACAAGCCCTGTGTCAGGTGGCGACCTGGAGCTCACTAGCCCAAGACTCCTCGTAAGAAGCCATCTGTGTTTCTGGTTATGGCACATCCATCCGAGCTGACAAACAGATCAGATAGCTTGGCCTGCTGGTAACAGTGGCGTAGTTACGTATTTCCTGCCCGAGAACAATGTTGATGGAACTCTCGGCATCTCTCTCGAAGTCATCGTTGACTTCAATCGCACCCTCAACCCGCTCATCAGCGGTGTGACTGGGCTTATTTCCCTGAATTCATCAGCAGTACTTGATCTAGCTATCGTTGGAAGCATACGCACCATCCGAAACTACGTCGAGGGTGGGAGCTTGGATACGAAGATACAAGATGCAATCCAGACCCAACAACTAGCTGATGGCGGGATCCAGCTCAATCGCATCTGGCTCGACGAGACAACCGAAACGTTCTTGACCTTCCAAAGCACTACTGGAGTCGCAATTTCGATCCAGCATGGCCAAGCTCACTTTGAAGCAGGCACCTACAGCCTTAACGCGTGGTTTACTTACCCGCAGCTGGACCAACTATGTGCGACAGACGTACTAAGCCCTACGTCACAGGACCTCTTGTCGCAGAATCCTGAGGATACACAGTCCCTGTCGTTCTTCTCGTTTAAATCCAAGATCGTGGCGGGTGGCTGGAAGTTTCTCACTTATTTTGGGCGTGACAGTCTGATCACTCTGCTCCTACTCCAACCGGTTTTGAGCGAGGGCCAGGGTGGCGCAATTGAAACTATCATCAGCGCTGCCGTTGAACGAATTGATCTGAATGACGGCAGTGTATGCCACGAGGAGACGATTGGCGACTATGCCACCTACCTGAACGAGCAACAAGGGATACACAGTACGGATGCGCAGTGCGACTACAAGATGGTCGACACTGACTTCTTTCTACCTATTGTCATGGATCAGTACTTCGTCCAATCCGACGTAGGCAAGAGTCGACGAGACGTCCTTCTAGCCACGAATGCGTCGGTCATTCGCTCAAATCAGGGTTCAACCTACATCGACTTGGTCTTGGCTACAGCAGAGAAAATCATGGGCCTCACCGCAGCCTTGGAGAAGTCCGCTACGAAGGAAAACCTGATTCAATTGAAGCAAGGCCAGGCGGTTGGACAATGGCGAGATAGTGAAAGTGGCCTAGGCGGAGGTCGGATTCCGTATGATGTGAACACAGCTCTTGTCCCCGCAGCGCTCAAAGCCATTGCTTCGTTGTCGAGTAACGGCCTCTTTCCATCCCATCCTAAATGGTCGCAAACCGCTGCCGACCGGGCGGTTTTCTGGGAAGACAATACGCTCGCAATGTTTGAGGTTCACATTCCGGCGGATGAAGCCCGCAGTCTCATAGAGAACTACGTCAACGCGAGTTCATTTTCCGGACCAACCGACACTGGTGAAGCTACATCACCCGTCCTCTTCCACGGACTCGCTCTCGACGGCAAAAACCAGCAGCCCATTGTGAAGGTTATGAACACCGACGACTGCTTCCGGCTGTTCCTCCTGGACCCAAAGAACCAAATTCAGCTGACCGCATACATCTCGCAGGTGGCAGATAATATTTTACACCCCTTTCCCATTGGTCTTTCTACCTCGGTTGGGTTGCTGGTTGCAAACCCTGCGTACGCCGGAACCTCGGCCGATATCGACGACTTTTCGTCGATTTCATACCATGGTACGGTCGTCTGGAGCTGGCAAATGGCGATGATGGCTGCTGGACTAGAGAGGCAGCTGGGGCGTTGCAATAACGAGCAACTCGAGTTTTGCGCCAACGAAGTGAAGCAGAAGGCCATCAAAGCCTACAATCACCTTTGGGACTTGATCGAGAGCAATCGCGAATACTTGAGCAGCGAAGTATGGAGCTGGGTTATGGAAGAAGGGGACTTCCAGTACGCGTCTTTGGGTGCTCTACCGCGACCAGATGGCCAGGGCTCAATTGGTATGGTCAATTCCAAGGAAAGATGTGCTCAGAGTAATGGACTAACGCGAGTATAGAGAGCGATATCCGGCAGCTTTGGAGCCTGACCTTTCTGGCGGTGAAGCGGAATGACGCGTACGGACTAGAACGAGCGGCTCAGTAGTCAAGCGGTCTAAAGTCCTAAGAGGATCAGTGCGAGACAAGGCTCTGCGCGGCAGCCTTGCCTGATATTTATGCAATGTACTGTCTGCAACATTGGTTGCTACTTTCGCATCTTGGGGCAACGTGTACTGACCGACCGGGCATCCCAAAACCTCGCCCAAATGATCGGACAAATATCTTGGCCTGCACAACAGGCTGGCATGGGCGGTCGTTCCAGGGGCAATTGACGGCATCACCACCTAGCGCCGCCTATCCATCCTACTGCAAATTTTCTCACGTCGAAACATTCCGTCAGAGAACGTGCATCGAAGAAACGTAGAATGTGAGATTGCTCAATCTCGCCAGTGAAGACAGACGCGCATGCAGGGGAGACCCGCAGGTCTTCCTGCAGCTTTTGGTGGCCTATCTCCAGCTGGCCTCGGCCACCACCATCAACGCCGCCCACGCGCAGCCTGCAGCATTCAATACGACACGAAACGCCACTGACCACGCAGGCCGTCATGTGCTGGATTTTTCCCTCGCTGTCATCTGACCTGGTTTCAGAGAGGTCGCATTTCACTTCACGTGGAAGATGAGTTAATCATCGGTCGCCCCTGGTGCAGGCTGTACCGGGTAACTTGCCTCACGGTAGTTCTCTCGCCTCACGTGCCATGATGCCGGCTGTGGTTTCAGTTTCAACTCATGATCACCGTTGACGAATCCTGAACTAGGGCGAGTCGGAGTTATCTCTCACGCCTATTCAGCTCGATGATCCTCATCACCGCCTTCGAACTCGAACGGCCCCCACAACCGACAACAAGGCCGGAAAGTTCGCTAGGAAGCCCACTGACCCAGCACTCAACGGCACCATGGGCGGTCGGTTATTACCATCGCGACGCATACCTGGCTGCCTGAAAATCGCGGCCAGGGCCTCAGAGCACGCGCGTTCCTCAGTAAGGCCGAGGGACGATGTCTCTCTGGCGAACTGGTTCGCATTCTAGCTGGCCGCCCACCACTTCATTCTTCTCCGGCTTTATCTTTGATTTCTCTTGTCTTTTCACCTACACGACCGGGGCCAGTCAGTCGTAGGCCATGGACTACCACGAACCTACTGCCACATTGGTTTACCTTTAAATTCAGATTATGGGCCCGGCCGTTAAGGGATGACCAGGTCTGCTACTCAGGCCCAGTGGCCAGGGGTCACAACGCCCGTAGCCACCGAGGCCGGTTAGTCGTCATGCCTCGCGTGTAACTATATTGACAGCGTGATATATGCAGCTGGATGTACCGACGTCTTGCGTTCTACGCGTTGGCACTTGCAGTCTATGAGCTGTTGAAGACCGGTCTTCCGCCAACGTTGCCGGTGTAATTTCGTCAAGGACGGTCGATCATCTTCTCACATGGCCATTACGGCCCCGTTCGTCAGGCCGATCGGATCATTCCTGCCATTGCGACGTCGTCTCACATGGCACTGACCACACACCTCTAGTCCACGACAGATCTCAGGGTCCGTATCCTTGTCTGAATCTGTCGGAGCAAAGCCCTCATCTCTGGCGGTCTAGTCAATCAGTACCAGGGGTTAGGTCATGTGCGTGATGAGTGCCTGGCCTGGCCAGATCGGATAGCCGAGCGTTGTGAGCCGCATCCGGAGCAAACTATGACAGTCAGAGTTTTCCGACATTCGTCCAACTCTGTTCACTAATAAATACCCTCTCGGTTCTCGACGTTATTGCTCCTACGGACTATATTGATCTTCCATTACTCTTCCCATTCCATTCCCTGCGACGTAGGCACATCTGCAACAGTTGCCCCATTCCCTAGACTCGAGAAGATCCTTCTTCCATTCGCTTACTCCTGTCGTCTCCCCAACTACTAGATTGTGCCGCTTCTCTGCGTCCGCCCCTCGTTACATCCCAAGCGAATCCCCTATCCATCAACAGCTTCATCCTTCTGCCACGCCACATCGTATGCGATTAGGCAGGTCGACATGCCTGGCACATCATCATCAGTTGGAGTGAACTTGGGTGGGTGCTCATCTGACCCGTAAGCCACTCTTCAGATATGCTTTTGCTGTTTACTTTTGAGCTTCGCAATCTGACTGTGGACTTCCAGCCACACCGCCACCGGCTCAGCAGCAGAGCATACACCGCAGCAAGAGTACCAACCTCCACCGGTTCAGCCACGAAGCGAGGACGTCGTTGATCGACTCGTCCACGAAACCCCTTACGACCACCAAGCACACGCTTCGGCACATATCGCCACCTTCGCGGATCAGTTCAGCGGCCCTGGTGGCTCAGACTGCAGCGGCGGAAACAATACCGGCCACTAGTACCAAGACTCACGACCATGCTCCAACGACATAGCCACCCCCATCGACTGCATGGGCTGGCGAGGACGTGCCTTGCGCCTCGACAGTGGCACTTTGTACCAACATGGCGGAATAGAACTTTAACGACGTAACGAAACCACACAAAAACACGATACATTTCGCCAGATCCTATCCGGATATAATGTTCAACATCAAACATGCAGATGGAACGGTCGCTCGTCTTACTCTACGGTAGTGGACCATCCGAATGCACCATGCTGACCAAGCTGTGCCAGCCGCATACCTCTTTATATACTATTTGTAATCAAGCTTCGTGTACAACATAGCACTTTGGGCTCCGGAAACGGTAAAACAGGACGTCTGTGGGAAAACGGGGAAAGGTTCCGAAAATGAGGGACACAGGCAAGAGCGTCCGGATTTTCGGTTTGAACGAGTACGATAGCAGTATCTGGCGCCGAAGGACAACGTAATAGCACAAACTGTACCAGAATGTCTGGGAGGGTGTCACGCGAATGGCTCTGGCAGCTTATCTAATTGTATAATATTATGCCCATATACCTACGTATCATGAGTGCAACATCGCACCGCGTCTTAAACGCAAACTACAGGGGGATGGATTCAGCCATCACGCCACTCCAATTGACTCCCACCCCGGACACAATGGCATGAATGTTCCGTTCCACGAACCTGGCCCCGGGGTTGCCCAGCACCTTGGCAACCACGTGTGACTGCCGACAAGGAAGGGTAGTATCTATCGAATCATGGCGATGCGATCCCGAGATGATCGCAAACTCCATCACTTCCATCACTCCATCCAAGGCAGATCGAGCCCCGGTGAATGGAAACCCAGGAACGACAATCGGGCTGGCTGGTAGGATGCAGCGTTGCACCCTGAATGATACTTCGTACCCATTGTTCAGCATCTAGGGGGACAGATGAGTGACGTATGAGATTTGACACGCCGCCGTCGCAGTATGCTTCTGGCCAACTCAGCCCAACGTCTTGATATCCCAATCGATACTCCCCGACAATAGCTGCAAAGTTCTATTTCAGCCCCTTTAATTCCTAACCCGTCGCAGAAGAGTGTCGTAGTCCAAAAACAGGCAATATCCATCGCTTATTTTGGCTCGGGAGGCGTATTACGACATCTTCCGGGGAACGCCAGGCACTCACTGCAGACAGACTCAACCGTTTATTCTAGTATCACATTCCCTTTCGAGTCGCCCCGCCTGCATGGCGTCGCATGGCGCCGCTGCAGCCACGGCGCTGCCGAAGTTACCGACCCACGAGGCGCCTGCCATCCATCCACCATCCTACTATACAACATGCACATGCTGTCAGATGCGGCGGGACATCACAAAAACGCACTTCCATACTCTCATTGGCCCATATTCGGTTTCATGTTAAAGAGTCGAGTAGCATCCACGACAGCCGCACACCCTCTACCAGCGGTGATTCGGCGGCGCGCGGGGATGCTACTCTGCGAAATGAGGTCAGCGTTCCCAGCCCCTTTGAAAAATATCGCTTGCTTGTGCTCCCACATCTTATAAGTACTGTGCAGGACTTAGGGTAGGATAGCAGTCGGCGGATTACGGTAAACATATCGCTCGGTGCCACCGGCAGCGGCTTGCCTCGTGGTGATGCTGCTTATTACCCCGTGGGCATGTGGGATGAGGCGCAATTCTCTGGGAGTAGCACGTAACTAAATCCCAGACACTATCAGAATCCCTCCGCCGCCACAGCCCGCAGGAATTTGAGTCAGCTCGCCCGTCGGTCACATCCCTAGACGCACGTGGTGACCTTACCCTGCCAAAGCCTAAGAAACAGGCCGGCCTGTCAGGCAGCTAGGTGGTCGTAGACTTCATGATATCATGCCAACCTCCGAGAAGACCAGGTCAGGCCGTTGACAGATTCAGGCGCCGAGCTTAGACGATACCCGCATGGCACACCTTATCAGTGTCTGACATATTATCTTTTTCTCGAGCTTCTAGAAGCCCTTCTTCGCGTACCCTGTCAGTCTCTGCTTGATCAAACGAAACCCCCCGTCAGGGCCTTACGCGGCGAGGCAGCCAGCACGCCTCCATTATACGTACACATCACATCGATATGCTAGACTAACTAGCAGAACTAAGTGCGTTCCTGAGGCGAAAGAGTGAAGCATAGTTGCCTCCTGAATCGATGTCTTCGCCGATATTTGTAGACCTGGAATTTTTCCACTGCAAGTCGCACAGTTTGCATCGTTGCCAATCGGTCAAGCGTCAGCATCAGCGTCAGCGTCATCGTCATCCCGCAAAAAACCCTGCGAGTTTTTACCAAATAAAAAGGATATGTTGTACTGTTGGATGACAACGGGCGGATGACACATAGATTGGTATCTGCAGAGAGCCCCCACCTTGGAGACGTTGACTCTCATCCCGTCTGACAGCTCGTCAATCGCTATAGATCCGGACGCCTACCATGGTCACTTCAATATTCTACAGAGGTTGAATAAAAACACTACAGGGCGTTTAAATCACTCACCGCCACCGCAAGTCCCCAGAGGGACGACGCTGAGCTGATCTCCGGTCCCTGTATGTCAGTACCGCGTTCGACCACCACTCGCTACAACCACCACCATTCTCGCACGCCCGCAATAGCCGCCATCTTCACACGCCGTGCTTGTGTCTTTGCCGATAAAGAAGTCATGGTCTGTCGAGTCTTGGGCGTACAGGTGCACGTCTAAATCAGGAACTCGAAATGGAGTGATAATATCTCGATATCAAGGCGAGCTCGTTTCTCTCGCCATTCTGGGGACCTTTCCTTGTTATTTCCACCCCAACTGTCGTAGGTCGTTGGTGCAATCCGTTCGTCCATGTCTGTGCCCTTGGTATCCGCAGCTCGTTTCTGCATTCGTTTTCGTTGCTCATCAGAAAGCCCGTGGTTTTGGTATGGCAAACATCGGGCGTTTTATTTGTTTCTGAGAGATGCCCGAATTTGCCTCGGGACGTCAAAGACAAGGCAGCGTACGACCTGACATACACAAATAGAATTCGTCGTAGGGACATAGATCCACTATATCCAGCAAATACCCCAGAGGCAAGGTCCCATCAATGGTGGGAAGAGAAGATAGACGAAATCATCGTGCTGTGCCGGGCGAGGGACGAAGAATTTGAGGAAGCTGAGACAATCGTGGAGGAATCCGGGGTAAACAGCGAGCCGGACGATACAAGCTCGGAGGAAGTTAAGCCAACAGTAGAGTCAGATGAGACATCACCCGAGCCAGAGGAGACGGGGACGGATCAAGGCCCCAACGTTGGTATGCTCGGCGGCACACTGGAGTTCTCGATGTTCCTGTCAGGGGTCGAGACTTGTTTGGGTATGGTCTCTGATCTGTGGGCTGCGGTGTATAAGAAGGAGACCGCGTTGTGTGTGGCTACCGTTGGTATGTAAACCCCTTCTGGTAATTAATGGTGGCCGCTGACTCCAGCAGCGTCGAGCTGTATGACTCGGTATCTCACCTCGTATATCAATGAGGCGCAACTCCTAGTCCCCGAATGGTTCGAACAAGAAGACAAAACACCCAGCCCTTACCCGGGGTTGAACTCGCTTTTTCTAAGCGACCTGGCTCGATTTAATGGGTTTGCTGCCAGACTGCGCGACCTTGATCAATTGGAAGAGCTTAAGCAGATTGATGTGTGAGTTTCCTAGTTTCGTCTTAGGACAAGATGTCTTTTCAAGGGCACAAATCCACTGTCGCAACTTATGGTGATGCAGTGACTTATACTTTATGCCTAGGACCTATAACGCCACAAAAAAACTCTTGGCATTCGTAGACACTAAGTATGCTTCAGGGCTTCTATACTTTCCACAGCCGATGGCTCGGGATATAGAATTGTTAAAGACGGGGACTGGTATGGGCTTCGAGCAGACGATTTTACGTCAACTGGCCTTCAACACTAATACTATACCTACGGCGCAAGATCTGCGGGCAGCCAAATACGAAGTTCAAGCCCGACTTCTCACAGTTTCCAGGTTTTCGCTTTTAAAGCAAGCGATAACCTCTGAGGACCAGGAAGACATAAAACAAGTCATCGCCGCGGTGATAACATCTGTAATGGCGCAGATAGACTGTTGGGGTGTTGGCGTCCTCCGGGTGTGGTGCGAGGTACTCATCAACAAATCTTCGCTAAACTACATTAGGGACTTGCCATTGTGAACGGTCGCCCATATGTACGAATGTCACAGCATCCTCGGAGTGGCGAACAACTTCGTCCAGAATGCTGCAAATCTCGAGGCCTTCTGCAACACGTACGCCAGATATCTATACTGGAAAGGTACGCGGCCGACCACAATCCCACAGCTGAAAGAGTCGCTTCGAACATGGGTTATAGGAGAAAAATCTCCAGCTGCGCAGTCCTCACGTGACAGCAGAAGGGAATGCACTGAGTTTTTCACCATTGACATCGTGAGAAACAGCTTCGAGAAGGGGACGAAGGTTGGCACACTCCAAGCACCCAGCGATGAATGGTGGCAGGAATTGCAAGGCAAGACCCACCTGGATACGACCAGGCCCAACATCACGGACGTCCATCTGGCGCTACTTGGTAGGAGGCCTGTTCCTGTATATGCGGCCTTGCAGTCTGCAGCTCGCCAGCTGATGGCCCTCGACCACGTCAAGCAGAGGACTCAAGTTCTCGCGGCCTTGGCAACTGTACCAATTGATGGGGCGCTGTTCCATGAGTTGACAAACATACCGACCGCTGGAAGCTGGTAACCATAAGGATCTTCTCATATGGTTCTGCTCAGCACGCGCACGCAGTATTTGCAGGGCCAGCCATACTTTCGCTGGACTAAGCCGCAGCAAATGAAGCCCGTGATCTCCGTTCGACAGTGTGCCGGATCAGGATTCAGTTCCGTGTTGACCCCATGGCGTCAAAGCGCCCAAGATGCTTTGGTGGATGCCTATATACAGCGTTTCCTGCTGTCGTCGGTCTGAGCCTATGGAAGCCATGATCAAGGTTATTGTGGACGGAAAGGCTTTGACTGTGCGTATAGCACGGGGGCTCGGCTTTCTGTCCAGTTCTGGGACATTGGGGGTTTGCACTTCCTTTACGATTGAGGAGCTTATAGTACGAATAAATTGTAGTTATTGATGCGCACACTGCTTGCATAAGTTGAAATTAAGAGAAAAGGCAAAAGCAAAAGGCAACCGTCAAAAAAACATATAACACTTTTCTTAGTCATTTTGAATGGTTATAAAAGTCTTCCATGGAGCTATCCCTCCGTCCGGGTGGTTACATGGTCATCCGCCCTAAGTTATCGTTTTGAACACGTGAAGCTTACTCTGGACTATGTGACTGTCAGTCAATGACGATCAACGATCAACGAGAAGGAGACAAGCCGGGAATACCGCCGGGCTGCCTACCTATCCACCTCTGAAGCAGCAGAGGCCGGTCTAAGCTCATAGAAGACATAAAACGTACAAGGCACTGCCATATCAACAGCACCCTTCACTCGTAGTATCACGCAAGTACGCAAGTATCCCGAGAAAAACCTCTCATCTACATTAGTAACCAGCATCGTCAGTTCGGAAACCACTACATATGCCCATCCTTCCTCCCTCCATACGATGAAGAAAGGAACACGTCCCAAGGAAACAACGTCTCCAGACCACAGCTCAATTAGTCTCCTACCCATTGATGTCTCCCTGACAATTCCCAGTTCCACCACACGTCCCAATAAACGCACCTCACTTTGACGCAGGGCAGGGCAACCCGATCAAACAGCTGGCATCAGACATCCAAGACCAGACATCAAAGATCAAATATCCAAGATCAACATCCAAGACCAAACACCAAACATCCAAACCCAAACACCCAACGATCAAAGATCCGAACTGAAACATCCAGTGACCAGGTCTCTCTCGCACGAACCCATTTCCGGCCCAGACCCAAGGCCCCGGAATGCTAAACCCCAACCCGCGGTGCCAGCTCACTTGCTTATTTACACCAACAACTCATACAGGCCGGGTGGCTGCCCAGACCGCCAGAACCGACAACGAGACATCAAATCATAACTACCTAGCCAGCACCCAAGCCCCAGCCAGCGCTGCGGTCTGGCATCCCATAACGTTACAATAGCACACTTCAATATCACAAGCCTCATCAGACGCAGCCCCTTAAAACGCCTACCTAACCAAGTACCCCCTATCCGTACTACAAGGGTCTGAACGATCCAGCACTCACAAGTCACACCACGAAGCAAAGAGCCAACAATTTAACTAGAGCGATGAGCCCATCCATCTCATGGAAAGGTATTTCTATTGTCGAATACCGCAAACCCACGCGATTTCCGGTTCTCCGCATCTCATTACCATCACACACAAAGCAAGCAAGTCGCCGAGCCGTAGCAAGCAGCCTCCTTGCAAATTCTCCCCGGCCGCTCCTCCGCCGTGCATCTATTTAGTCTATCGCGCGAAGCATAGTCTCGGGGTAATGTCCGCCATACGCTCTCAGATTCGCCCACAAAAGCCGCAAGCCGCAAGCCGCCTGATGGATATCGCACCGCAGCAAACCAGTCTGTCTAACACGTCGGTCTAATCGCCTTGTATATATTGCACTCGCCTCCCATGAAGTCACTCTGCTTGTCGTGTTTGCCGACTGTAACACATGCGACCGTCCGAACAAAGCAAACCCAGCGCCGCGCTTTGTCTATTTCATTCCAGTTCAATTGCTCGCAGCAGTCATGACTTGGTCAGTGGTCGGTCACTCGGGCACCTTGCCGTCGACCCCAGCCACGGTAGCCATGTTGACCGCGCTCAGCTGCTCGCCAGGGTCGCCGCTGAGGCCGACGCCGGCAAGCAGTGCCATGCTCTCGAGGACGTCTTCAGGTTCCAGCACGTGCCACTTGGCGAGAGTGACCTTCTTGCTGGCACCGACCGAGACCGTGAAGATGTGGTCTCTGACAACGCTCGCGTCATTGACGCCGTTCAGGGCGCGGAACATGTCTTCGTCGGTGAAATCGTCACCAGCACAGAACACAAACTCCAGTTTGCCTTCTACGGGCTTGCCGGCCACGTGGGCGATATCCGAGCTGTAGTCGCGGACGAGGCGCTTGGCAATCTCCCCCTTATTGATGAAGGTGGGCCGAACTTCGAGATTGGCCTTGCCCTTCATCACGTCGACGTCCCATTTCTTGCCTACTGTTGCTTCCAGCTCCTTATGAACCGCATACGATGTCTGAAGGCCTAGGTCGGCATCAGCTTGGCGGTAATGCCAAGTAAGCGCGCAGCGTTTGCGCTCGATGAATGACCCTAGCGCCTGGTTAGAATCCTGGAGGTAGACGCGAAAAAAGCACAGCGAGACTAACCTGGAACGCGATCCGTGTACTTTTGGAAGACCTCCACAACCTCTGCTTGCCAGGCCATGTCGACTGTCTCGGCCAAGTTCTCCCAAGTGCTCTCGCCAGGGTGTCGAATGAAACTTCCATGCTCCGCGCTGAATCCCAGTTCCGAGATGTGGCCAAGATGCTGCTGCAGGAAATCCTGATCTCTGCCAGAGATAATCCAGACGGCATTGCGGTGGTCCGCTGCCAGGGCTTTCAGGCTCTTGATGACCCGTTCCGACGGCAGCGCTGACTGGGGGTCTCTCACAATGGGGGTGAGCGTGCCATCGTAGTCAAACATGAACAGGCGCTTTCCGGCCGCGCGATACTGCTTGAGCATTACCGTGGGGTCCAGCAGAGGCGTCGAGTTGTCGTTCTTGGTGGACGCCAGGGTGCCGACAAGCTTGCGAAGGAACTTGGCGATCCAGCTTTGAACGGTCTGCGTCGTGACGTGGTGGTAGAGGTTGGCTTGCATGGAATGGCGCTTTTCGGCCGACATGGTCAGAGCATTATTGATCTGCTTGGCGACGTTGCTGAGGTCCCACGGGTTGATATGGATTGCATCCCGCAGACTTCCCGCAGTTCCACTGAACTCGGACAAGATCAGAGGGCCGTGGGTGTCACGTTGGCACATGACGTACTCAAGACTAGTAGTGTTCATACCGTCACGCACCGAGGTGATCAAGCCCACGTCGGCGGCCCGCAGCAGCGCAAAGTACTCGTCGGGTGCAAGATACTGCGGGTAATGTTGCACCGGTGAGAATCCCAGACTGCCGTAAGCGCCGTTGATCTTCATGACCAGCTCGTTGACGCGGCCTGCAATCTTGTTCTCCTTGTCCTCTCGCTCTTCTTCGATGCTGGTGGGGGACGTGACTTGGATCAGGACAACCTTCTCTCGCCACTCGGGATACAATTCGAGGAACCTCTCGAATGCCATCAGTTTCTGGGCCACGCCGCGGACACTATCCAGACGGTCACGGCCCACAATAATCTGCTTGCCCTTGTAGAGCTTCTTGAGAGCTTCGTACTTCTCCGTGACGTCCTTATCCCACGCCATTTTCTCGATCCTCGGAGCGTCGATTCCAATGGGGAAAACTCCAAGTTCAACGCGCGTCCCGTAAGCCTCTACGCCAATAGAGTCGGATGGGAAGTCGAGGATGCGAGTGCAGCAGCTGGCGAAATGACGCGAGTAGCTGTACGACTGGAATCCTACCATGTTGCTTCCGAGGAGTCCCTCAAGCACCTCCTTTCTTCGCGGCAAGCAACGCAAGAATTCGCTACTCGGGAAGGGGCAGTGCAGGAAGAACGAGATATACATGTTGGGCAGCTTCTGGCGCAGCATACCAGGGAGCAACATAAGGTAGTAATCGTGGATCACGACAACATCGCCTGGCTTGTAGATCTCGAGGATCTTGTTGGCGAAGGCCAGGTTGGCTCGGTAGAAGTTGGCCCATTCGATGCGCTCGGATCGTCCATCGGTAGGCTCGTGTTGCTTGTAGTGCAACAAGGGGTATAGCTCATGCTCGGCGTAGCGCCTCCAGCGTCCCTGATCGTTCAACGTGATACCCTCGTCGCTCATCTCGTCCTCATCAGCAAGCCACACGGGAACGGTCTTGATGCGCTTATCATGCGAGAGCTGGTGCTCGAGCTGCTTCTGATGTTCGCGCGAAATCCACAGGCCATCGACATCAGGTGGTGTAGGAGGCATCTCCCCGCTGAGTGGTACCGGGGCGGAGAGATGGCTAAGACCGGGAATGGCGGTGGTGTTGTCAGGTGGTGTATCAGGGGGTGACGAGCCGTCGAAGGGGGAGTCGATCTCGCCGGTCCAGGCGACTACGGTATTGTTCCAGGGGGCCTGGTCGGAGGAGAGGTAGGCAAAGGAGTCGGACAGGGCCGACTGGCCATGGCGAGAACCCAAGTCCTAGTCATTGTTAGTATCCCTTTACGAGGACGAAGAGAGAGACAGATGCTGAACTCACCCATTGGCCATTCTTGCGGTACTTGAAGGCGCGCGGTGTTGTCCAAGTAGCCGAGATGATGTTGCCGGTCAGAGCCAGATCCGGGGCGGCGGACTGGATATCCGAGATAGATTCTCTGCGGCGAGAGGTCAAGCTCATGCGCTTCAGGACCTCCTCGCCCGTCATGACACCTCGAATCAAGTCGGTCGGGGACGTAGGCCTACCCGTATTGGCTATTTGGCCAGGAGAGGTGACTATCCGGTGCGGTGTTTCGGCAAAGGAGCGATCGTGTCTGCTGGGGTTCTGGGTGAAGTAGCTCGGACTCTCAACCTCTCTCGAACCTCTTCGCGACGAAAGATAGGTCGAGAGATGGATACCCGGTGTTACAGGGATGTTCGTGATGGAGGGCCGCTGATGCGGTGGTAGTTCGGCCGAAGGCGTATCCTCGCCTGCAGAGCCAGGCCGTTCGCCGAGGGAACCTCTTGGAGAAAGCGAAGTCTCTTCGGCCTCGTGCACGATGGTCTGGACTCGAATGCCCTTGAGGGGTTCGGGATTGTCTGCCATGACTGCTTAGCTTTGCGCGTGCGAAACTGAAAATTGAATGCGTCTTGTGAGAATTGCAGAGTAAAGGTATATGACAGCGCGGAGTAGCAAAACGCAGACGAGGGCAAATACGACAACGAAGGGCTGAGGGCAACTAAAGAGCGGTAAGAAGTGCAATGCAATGTTGGTGGAGCTTGTGACGAGGGATTGCTGCAAGAAGGACCCGGCGGAACACTGGAGCTGAGACGAAGCTCCGGAAGAACAACAGAGCTTGTAGTGAGGTTTGCGCCCTATGATGGAACAAAATCTGGGTATCTTGGTGGGGCAATGGAGCGGTTTGGCGGTTTGGACGCAAAGCTGGAGGTTTTGCTCCTGGGCGACGGTTGGGATGGAGATGCGACGCCTATGGACCAATGATAAAGCCCTCAGCTGCAGCCTAACGAGCGACGGTCGGTTCGATCCGGTTGTTCCTGGATTGCAGATGCATGTGCTGTGCAGTGTGCAGTGTGCTGTGTGCTGTGCAGGCCGATGGATAGGTGTTCAATTGGGCAGGGAATGGGAAGAGAATAAACGGATGGTTGGTCTCCTCTCGTCTGTAACTCTCTCCTCTTCTTTTTCTCTTCTGTGTCTCCGTCGCCTGCGTTTCTGACACGAGAAGTGAAGCTGAAGATGCGGAAAAGCACGACGGGGAAGAGACAGACGGTGAGATGAAGAAGGGCGGGAGTGAATGAGGAAGCGAGGGAACTGGTGATCAAGCGGCCACCTTTCGTGTTGCCCATTTCAAGAACAAGAATCCCGTAGGAAGCTCCCCCGTCAGCTCGACCCAATCCCATTGGCGACGACGGGCAGGGGTACCGGCGTTCTGGGAAGAGCACCGACCAATGGACCAATGGACCAGAGCACGATGAAGCCAGAATCACGAATGCCCCAGAGACAGGCCCAACATAGGCAGACGCATGCAACATGCAACATGTCACACAGACCTACGTACCTGAAGGAATGACGTAGCCGATGTAACAGCAGTCGCGGTATAAATAGATCCTGGTCAGATCAAAGCGAGCGTCGGGGCTCAGCCGACAAACAACAAACAACAAACAACGTCGTCGACGATCGAGTCTGGTGTGACAGCAGCAGGGAGAGTGAGGTCGTCACGATGTCGTGTGGGCGGAACAGACAGCAGCACGTCGGAGGGGACGGGAGTATGGCGAGAGAGGTTGTAGGACTAGAGGTTAATAATAATGGATAAGATTGGATAGGTAGAGGGCCTCCTAGGTTTTTAAAGATGAACTATGACACGGGAAAAAGGGGGACACCGGTCCAGTTGACTGGAGAAGGGCACAAAGAGAACAACTGGCGACTGACGCTTGTCTGGAAGTAGCACCGATGGAATACCGGGCACCTTCTCCACCGCAACCGCTCCAGGTCTTTCCGGGTCTTGCAGGTCGTCGAGCGTACCTAGGTATTTTTGAGTTCGAGGCTCTGGCCAGCAGGTCGGGTCGAGGCTGCTTGCTAATGAAATGCTAAAATGCTAGAACCGTTTACCTGCCACCATGGTCAATGTCTTGCCCTGAACCATGCGCAACACTAACCGGTAGCAGCACGACTCGGAACATTGAAGCTTCCAAGGTTGACTCTCCGCCCTTCCGTCCGTCCGTCCGTCAAGCCACCAACGTGCCAGCGCGGGATGCCAGGTAGATATCACAAACTAGCAGTCAGTAGTATCATGGTCATCACACGCCATATGCCGTTCTCATATTGTTCAAGTCTTCTTGGTCCACCCCGGTGTGAGCCACGAGAATCTAATTCAATTCGTAGTATCGTCCCTGAACCCGCAAACAGAACAAACAGAAGCTGTCTGCCTAGACATGTCCGTATACCGACCACGGGACGTGTGGAGGCCTCGTGGATACTGTCGAGAGATGGGCTGAAGAAACGAGCCAGGCCCATGATGGTCTTCGTGATGACTGCCGTGTATGGGGGACTGAAAGCACCAGATACTACTTGGCTTGGTCCATATTTAACCAGTCTTGAGGCATCCGGGTCGCCGTCGTTGAAGTCGGTGTAGTAGGACACATTATTGACAGCTACTTCCCCAGCGCGCTCGATCGTGAATGAGTAGGACGTCAACCAGCTCGCACCAATTTCTCATCACCGGCCCAGATTGCCCACGACGCTGCCAACCATGACCGCCACCTCGCGATCCCACCCACCGCTCTTCTCCGCCTCTCCCTTCGCAGCAGCCCGACCTTTGTTCGTAGCCACCGCACTGGGAGGCTGGCTGCCACGGATAACGCACTCGCGTATAGCCTCTCCCACACCATTACGATTCGACTTCAACGTCCGCGCCGACACGCCGCCCCGGTTGACGATCTCCTGGACGCGCGGCGCCAGGCTGCTCGCCATGGTCCTCCAGAAATACGACGCGAGCGAACCCGTCTCGAGGTAGGTCAGGAGCGGCTGCAGGAGGTTGTCCTTCTTCTCGGAGCCGGAGCCGTGTTTGGTAGGCGATGGCAGTACGAGCGGATGGGCCGGGGCTTTGGTCGTCTCGAGGATAATCGCCAGCGCGATGATGTTCTGGCAGCGCGCCGCCACTTCGGCTAGGGTTCGTTCAAGGGACGGGAGCGTCGCGAGGGACCGGGCCAGTGATGCGATGGAACTTTGTAATGCGTTCCGCAGGTAGACCTCCAACGCCTGTAGAAGCAACTGGGGAACCCACCTGTCGGGTTTCGTGCCGGAAGTTGGTGATATCAGGTACAGTGTAACGGCCGCCGATATAGTCCGCGCCTTGGTCTCCTCGCTCTGCGCAAACGTAGTCGTGCCCGAGGCGGATCCGATCGTGAACTCCCGTATGATCTGCTCGGCGGTCCTCCTCACCGACCGCTCAATCGGCGCGATGACAGTGTCTTGCAGACTCCCGATGGCGTCGACCTTCTCCAGGCCGTGCCCTTCTTCGTCGGGTGCCCGGTACTCGAGGATTTCTCGCAGAGAGATCAGGGTGTGGGCGCACCGCACGAGAGCGCGGTGGTCCTCCTTCTTCCCGCCTGCCGCTGCGCTGGCTATCTCTGCGTGCTGCACCTCTAGCTGTCGGCCCAGTTGCAGACATCGACCGACTGATCTGCCGAGTTTGAGGGTGTCCCACAGGCGCGAGGCGACCTGGCGCACTTCGTCGGCTTCGGCATGTTTCTGTATGACCTCCTTCTCCAGCTGCTTGTAGCTGTCGTTCAAACTCTTGACCTGGCTGTCGATCTCGGATATTATGCGCGTGCTGGCTTCGGTCTGGTCTCTGGTATGGGAAAGGAGGGCGACGGCGGAGCGGGTTGTGAGGAGGTCGATGTGCGAGTCGACCTCTTGGGCGTCGAAGAGGACCTTGGAGAGCGGCGTCGACAGGTCTAGCGGGGTGTCGGTCGGGTTGTTTGTCGCAAGCACGAGATTGTTGGCGAAAGAGGAGGGGCTGAAGCCGGGGTCGAGAAAGGTTTCGTAGTCAATGTACGACACGTCTTCTTCACCATTGTCTTCCATCATGGGTCAAGGGCGTGGTATTGCTGAAGAACGGAAGAAGACCAACCCCGCGGACAGTTTGGACGGCGGACCGGTGGTCGGTCAAGCCACGCCTTCAGCCCCGATGAATACCACCAAGAAAGCCACACTGTTGGAATGGTACATGTATGTAGAACCACTATCGCATCATCAAGACGACCGAGTTATCGTTCGACCAAGGTTCTTGGACGGTATTCAATTGCTGATCGGATCATTTTAGCTATTCTCTTGTCATGATAAAACGGACTGTTGATTAGACACGGACCCTTCGATCAAACTCGTTGGGAATCGTTACACCTTCACTCATTGGAGAGGTCCCATGCTTCACGCGCGAATAAAAGGGGGGGGGATACAAGTCCATGATCTGCTATCCATAACACAATATATGGCTGACAACATCGGCGACGCGAAGGGTGCACCGTCTATACCACAGAAGACCATGATGGTAGTATGTAGATGTTGATTGCTTCACCTTATTGTCGCTTATATCCCCCTTGTCCAATCCCAGTACATTATTCGTACATATTCATGATACGTCCTGCTCCCATCAACCCTGTCCTTAGATACCGTAGCCCTTGAAGCCACCGCCCTGCTTTGAAGCGCCGCCCTGGCCACCAGCACCACCAGCACCACCAGCAGCGCCGCCGACGCTGCTGCCAATACCGCCAACAGCACCTCCAACACCCTTTCCGACGCCGCCGGCAGCGTTGCCGACGCCCTCAGTTGTCTGGCCGACGGCACTGCCGACGCCTGATGTGATTCCGTTCAGGCCCTTGCCGAGACCCTGGGTCGTGTTGCCGACGGCGCCGCCGAGGCCGCCGACGAGGCCGCCCTGGCCCTGCTCCTTCTCGCCGCCCGTCAGGACGTTGTCGAGACCGCCGAGGAGACCAGCCATTTTGATGTTTGATGGGTTTGTTTTGGTTTTGTGTGAAGTAGTTGTGTGGTGCGTTCGTATGAGAGAAATCTGACTGATTCTCTATGGTCGTGGAGTTGATTGATGAACTGTTTGTGTGTTTGATTGATGTTTGAATGGAGGTCAGAAAGAAGACTCCAATCTCGGGGTAGGGGCTTCGCCTTATATCTACAAGTCAGCCCTCCCTTCCCGATCTCTCGATCTCACATGCCACGGGGCCACGGGATGTGACGTAGCGAGCCTCGATGCCTCGTGAGATCATACCAGGCACGAGCCAGGCCCGCAGGCCCAGTCAACGTGTGTTGTGGCGGCCAACATGATGGAAGGCAGCGGCGGGTGTGGCTAGAAACCTGATTCAGCACCCGCCCGAAGACAGGCAGACAGGATGAAGCTGGTCCTCAGGTCTGTGCCAGGGTCCATGGAGGCCCGCCCAGACCGTTGAACCCCCCGTGATTCGTGGGATCCATCATCCTTAGGCGATGGCGGGATCTGCACCATCTGGACCTGCCCCAGTCAAAGGCCAAGCCACGCACTCCCGCTAACGTCATCCTTGGACAATGTCGCCTCAGATAGATCAGATGGACGGAACGGCGTCGTTGTCTTGAGGATAGAGTGAGGGGTTGCCGAGTCAAATGACGTGTCAGTGTGCGCTGTCTTTGACCGGCGTCTACGACGAAGTGAGGCTTTTTGTCGGGTGACGCGATAGTTGTTAGGTATGCAGTGGAAGTCTGCCAGTTACCGAGACACTGGTTTGACTTGTGTTTGGGTTTTCTGGCATCGACGTAACTTTGAGCCTATTCCTTCCCCTGAAACCTTGACGGACGACAGACCCCGATAACTTTATCCCTTTAACTTATCGGGCCTCACCCATCCAAATACCTACGTCCTATTCCTTCAACACGCCAGGGCTCATGGCTGGCTGAGAACGCACGTCTTGTAATCAGCCCCTGAGCCGTGCGTCAGATAGCTTTGGTGCGTCTTTCAAGTCCTCGACGTCGCTTGAGCCGAAGCACCTGATCGACCTGAGCCGTCCAAGGCCGTCCCAACGTGCCCCGTTCCACCGGATCTAGATCCAAGCTCGCCAGCCGCAGCCCTGACTCGCAACGCTGCACCGTATCACTATCAGCGCTCCACAGACCCTGAAGCACCTTTCACGAGCCGCCGACTTCGCGAGGAATGCGGCATTTGCGGTACGCTAAAGGCACCCCTCAGCGTCCTCAGCCTGCTCAGCTAGGAGGCTTGGTAGGTTGAGAATGCCCGATTCCTTGGAGTGTGCCACCCGTCTACTGCATGTGCCCGCCCATGGGTGATCTGTCGTCATCTCACATGAAAGCTAGATTGTTCTGACCTGGGATCCTTGTCCGAGTTAGTCCATCTTGCGTGGAGAAAGGGGGCTCGGTACCGCACTAACCTTAGTGACTGCGGAGTATCAGGATGACTCCCCTCGTGCTCTCCATGTCGAAGTACTGTACAACTGCCAGAATGTCACTTGATAGAGGTGTGATAGTGGCTTTGATATGTGTCCCACCTCGTATGATGCATATCCAATACCGAGTGCAAATACAGAATGAAGCCAGGCCTGGACATGGTGCTCGAAACCGTCAAGTGTGTGACTCAAATATGGCGCTAATTGCCCAAGATTATGCCCCTTAAATATGTCCTCAGCAATTCCTTCCCTGCTCGGTCCAAACATAGCCTTCGTGGTTGCACATCGGATGCCTCAGTTGTTTTACCACACTCCAATCCATGGCAATCAACTCCCAGGGAGACCATGGCCCTCCAGCGGGAAACCTTTCATTGCATATATAAGCCCAACCATCTGCCCAATCCTGAATTTACCCATCACGAATACACCAAGCCATATTTCCTTACTCAGTGAAGACCTACTGTTCAAGGCAGATGTATCAAACCCTTCTCTCCCCTGACATAATCACAAGATGGTGTCTCTTAAACCGGCACGTCCCTAACTCTTCCTCACCGGCTCCTTGCCTACCTACTCATATATACGTGCTGCCTAAAGGTTATCTTGGCTATTCAACCCGGCTTCATGGGATTTGTGCCCGTTCGAAGAATATTACATCGGAATAACCAATCTTACGTATGGGAGATAGAGAAATCAACCACTTGAATATAGAATTCACATCTGCCGCTATTCATTCCTAAATCTTAAAACCTATTATACCGGGCGCACATGCGTTTGACCCCTCTATAAAGCTTCTATTATTCTATGGAAGACCTCTGAGAGTTATATTAACTATGCCTTAACCGAAATGGGCTAGATCGGACGTTAATGCCTGGAAATTTATTGGATGCCTTATAGCTTATTCAAGGCACCAAAACCGCACAGCCTGCGCTCGTACGATTTTTTTTGTTTTGCACCGCGACCCTCTTCAAACCACCTACCTCTGCCGACTTTAATCATTACTTCTAAGCAATCGCATTAAGCCTTTCGCTTCGCTCGACTATACCTGAATAACACTCCACCACTCCACTACTCCACGAGGAACACGATGCAGTGCAAGGTACGAAAAATGCGTGATCATGCGGACTTGAATCAAGAGTGTTGGGGGCACGAGCACCATGTGTGGCTCCTGCAGCTAAAACAGGCTGAGTTAGAGAACTCTATTTTCGCTATGGGATGGCCCTTCACTGGAAAGGACACCGATAAGGAGATCGAACGCTCCGTTGCGAACGCTATGAAATCCCTAGATCTGGAGGCACCTGGCAAGCGAACTAATGCATATTGCTTCGCAGACAACCAAGAGACACCAGACCATCTACCGTTCTGCGCTCTCCAGCCTTTTCTACCTGTCTCATCAATATTGTTTCTCAGCGTTCATCCGCACCACATCGTATTCACCCACTCCATCATCAGCTCCTTGCCAGCTCATCTATATGGTTCGGCTGAAAATTCTGCTCACTCTACCCTTTCGTCAGCTACGGGCTATAAAGTGTCATTGCATGCAGGTGTGTGCATGCTGTATCCTTCATCATACGCAATGAATTGCAAGGTACGTAAAATCTTCAATTCTATGGCCATAAGAAAGTGGGCTCGCGAATTTCTAGGCGTACGTACGCCGACAGCCTTGCCAGCGCCGATCGACGGAAGAGCACAAGCTATGCCCTGGGCACCGGCACCAGGAACGCGTTACATACCGCTTCTTGAAGAAGCACGAGCTGGCATATGAAGCCGCGGCTTTTGACGCCTGGGGGTGGCGGAACTACAAGGCGATACACGCTGCCCACTTCCACCTTACGGTCGCGGTTGAAACGCGTATAATACATACCGACTGGTTTGACACCTTCGAGTACTGCGCCAGGCACGCATTCCAGGTGCAACTCTTGAAGCCAAGACTTGTTAAGATCGAGAATTCTATTGCTAATAAACAACTATTTACTGCGTCTACTGTTTATATTAACATAGCCTTCACCTGTACTGTTAATTCTAGCGAAATATAAAACAAATAAACCAGAGTGTATAACTAATAAACGCATTAATTAGTTACTGGAATATACATACTATTATATAGATAACATGGTTTCATACGGCATGGCTTACTATGAGTTCAGCTGCTAATTTCGCGGATGGAATATTCATGGTAGGAAAATTCAAGTGTGTGGCCACCGAGGTGGGCGGTGTCAATTATCGATGCCTTAAACCTCTGTTGGATGCCTTACGGCGATACCTAAGGTACTGGCTTTTCATGTCTTACTACTGCACGAAATCTCTTCTGTCTCAACTGCTGGCTTGCTATTCTCCACGCCCTCCCTTCCACTCTCTCTACCTAGCTACTCACAGACTTCTTCGTCACCGACCTTTACTTCGTCATCGATCTTCGCTTCGTCATCGATCTTCGCTTCGTCTTCGATCTTCGCCTCGTCCTCGACCTTCGCTCCGTCATCGAGATTTACTTCGCCATCGACATTTGCTCCGCCATACACTCCTTCCAAATTCTCTGCCGCCTGTCACACCAAAGCACGTGATGAACTGCAAGGTACGCCATACTTTTACTGCTATGGCCGAAGGGAGTAGGCTTAGAAATAATTAGGCGCGGGTGCGGTGGGCTTTCCTGCCAACGCCCCTCAATTACTAGAGGCTACTGCCTGCAGCATAATCACCAAGAAAGGGCTGCGTATTGGTATTAAAAGCACCATTAAAAGCACTACGATGCTACGGCTTTCGCTGCTTCCGGTTGGTAGGACTTCAGAGCTATACAGAAAGCTCACTTCCACCTCACGGTCGTGATCAAAGGTCGTATGATCCACACCAAATGGTTCTGTGATTACTGCTGGGGACATGAACATCATGAGCATCATGAGCGAAAATTACAGTTAAGACGCGTCGTGATGGAGGATTCGATTTTCCAGATGGGAATGACATTCACCGGCAAGGATGTTCACCGCGAGATTAAGTCTGAACTCTGGGCTCGACAGGGACCTAGCTACCAACCTCGGCCGATCCTGCTTGATCTTGATTTCACTTTCTATATGGTGGACACCGAGACATACGGAATGTGGAAACTGTCGCAGAAAGCCAAAAAGAGGGTTTGCCTTGCTGACGCCGGCTTCGTGGATTCAGCATACCTCTATGACCCTCCAAGCAAATCGAAATACCACAAGCTGTCTTGGCACGACTGGTTCTTCAAGGCCCTGAAGGTGCAACGCTATCCCTATCTAGTACTCAGCGACGGTGACCTTTCCGAAGAATGTAAACTGGTCGCAGGAAGCTTGCCCGGTGACTTTCCAGGATTCCTGGAGTACGTATGGAAATACCGACGAGACGAAGTACTCCGCCACAGCAGTGCAATCATGACTCTCAAAGATTTGGAAGTCCCTTGCCGTGGTGGTACATTAGCAGCCCTCGGGACAACCTACCTGCCTTGCACGTCACTAACCAGAATATGTGACGACTACATGCAGGGTGGCGAGTTATTTCCCTTTCTCGACCTCGGGTTGGACAAGAATGTCGACAGCCAGGTTTCTCGGTGGTATTTCCTGACCAAAGTTGGAGTCAAAAAGACGAAAGTCTCTCATTCTGGCTCGAAGTCCTTCGTCAAATCCAGCAGGCTAATCTGGAGCCATCCAAGCTTATTGAACCTACTTGCATCCTACAGCTGTATTTGAAAATTCAAACAGAATGCATGGCTTCAACCGACCTGATAGAGTGCAAAAAGAGACAGCGTATTGTACGGTAAGCGGACATGATATTGAGTCAAGTCTGGTCCCTACTGAACTGACGCCATATACAGAGAGGCCTTCCAGACTAAAGAATTGATTTTCATTCCTTCCTCAACGGGCCAGGGTGCTTGCTGGGCCAAGCCGAACGAATGCTTACTTGACGGTCTTATCAACATGGAAACGAAGCACGCTGTCATCACGATATACAGAGACGTATTCCCACAAGTGACCTTTGATTTGATCAAGAAATTCTTGACCGACACTCTGTGAATTGCACCATGTTCCTGGAGGCACATCGCAAACGAGCTCATCCATTTGAAGGCTGGCGGCTGTGAAGAACCCCACCGCATTCGGAGCTTGTACCAGCGGCTCAACAGTGCGAAAGTCATCGCCTCTTATGCCGAAGAATTAAGGTTAGCGATACCATACTGTGGGCATGCTAGTAGAAATGAGCTGACAGGTATGTATACTACAGGGGTGCTTTCGAGTCCAACGCCTTGATCTTTGTGCCATGCGGCAGCCGATCCTGGTGTAAGCCTCTGAATGTTTGTGGTCCGAACCGACACCAGTCCGAAACAAGATGAACCTGAACAACGGCCACAACAAGGAACTAGAGTCCTTCTTTGTCGATGTTCTAGGCGTGAGTACACTCGACGCTAGCATTGTTTACAATGAATTGATGGACCTCGCTGCAGGAGAGCCTACAGTAAAGGAGGTCAAAGAGCTTCTCTGGACTTTGAACTCTGAACTCGTATCTCCTGCTGTGGACTCTTCCCCAATGGACTTATTGCAGCGTGCTGTTCTGCCAGTCAGGGATGCTAGTGGAAAGGTAACCCTGCGTTCGTTCAGGGGAAGCCGTGTTTGCAATTGCTAATCGCAAGCGACTTGAGAATTATTTTGGCGCCAGAATCAATCTCCTCGATTTTATGACCAATGAAATCATCCAGCTCGGGCCTCTCATCAAGTGGGTCAAACTCGAGCAATACTACCTGTTGCGTCTAGTGAAGGAGACTACAGTGGTAGACGCAGATGTCAAATGGCCGGCCTCAGAGCCAAACCAAGACATCAGGACAAAGGCTTATGGATTATTTCGGTAAGTACTCACTTTTCCCAACGTGATCGAGCAACGACCTGCATGTTATGCAGCTGACAAGCTACCTCCCCAGGGTCGCGACTCATTTCAAGAGCCCCCGACTTGTAGGCGATGGACAGGTGTGGTACGACATGCTTCGCAAGTTACAAACTATAGAGACCGAAAGAATACCAACCACTCTCACCCTCGAGATGGTGGCACGACGATAACAGAGGAAATTGCAATCGATGATCTTCACACTGAAGATGATACCGATGGGTTCAAGATCTACGTTCCGCATGACGAGAGGTTGCGAGATGCGAGCTATCATTCGACTCTCCCGAAAGCCTTGGTCAGATGGCTCCTGTCTGGTTCTAGCTCTCGGAGTCTTGAAGATCCTGATTCGGGCGCCATAGCAGCCGTCCAGGGTATTATTAGTGCCAAAAATTACTCAGTGGAACGTATCCTCGACAACATGGGGATCATCGAAGTCGACATCCCCAATCAGGACCCTGTGGTGGAGGCGATCCCAGGTGCACTGAGCCTATACACGGCAATGCCAGGGGGCTCATTTTCCTCAAAGCCTAGGGCGCCGGTTTCGAAAGCTGAATCTGGCACTGAAGATGATATCCCGGGACAAGAAACACGAGTATCGCCCAGCCAACTCACCGCACCAACCGTGATACTACAAGAGCATGAAGCCCGAGAGTACAGAGCCCTCTTATCGCAAGTTTTCCTGGCGGCCAGAAGAGCGCAACATTTTGATGAAGATGATTTGCATTCGTCGGACTTTCCATTCGCGAGCTCGGGTGGTCAGGTACACGAGACCAGAGTGTTCTTCGAAGACCATCTGTTTGGTGCGGGCCTGGCCAGGATCGAGCGGGACCAGAGAGTGGGAGCCGCTGGGGAGCTATTCGTAAGTGATCATAAGAGCGGCAGAGAAGTATCTACTATTGACGACTCGTGGGTATTCGAACTTCTATCATCAGTCAAGCCCCCTTTGCGAGGGATTCTCCCGCGACAACAGGCGAAGCACCATCCGCGAATTCGCAAGTCACCCCGACTATGCAGACATGACCGGCTGGGCTGGCTTCGAGACGTCTGATATGGAGTACCTTGATTCAGACGGGGCACTGACCATGGCTCTAATACGCAAGGGCTACCTGCCGAGCTTTTGGGAGCAACGGAAGCCACACTATTATATCGAAGTGAAGACTACTCCGGGCAATAGGGACACTCCGTTCTTCATGAGCCAAATCCAATACGAGAAAGTAAGTCGACAGACTTCTACCGTTATGCATGCCAGCTGATCTCTCGTCCTGATGTGCCGGTTCACCACGGAAAACTCGGTCTACGTCATCTTCCGCGTTCACGACCCTTACACCAGCCGTATCGGCGTCAATATCTACGCTGATCCGATCAAGCTGGCCAGCGAGGGTAGTTTGAGCTTTACGGCTGATAGGTGGATGGATGGTGAGACCCACGAGGTAACTTACATATGGTCAAATGGGACTTTCGCCCACGTCATCATCGACAAGGGAGGTGATGCTGTTGCTGGTATTCCAGGTGATGATCTTGGTGGCAGCAACTTATCGGACAGTGTGCCACAACTTGCAACGAAGAAAGCCGCAGACTCGGTGGATTTCCCTGTCTTCACACCTGAACGGGTAGCTACCGAGCCAGGGGACCATGCCGGTCTCCATCTCATCATTTTACTAAACATCGTACCGCAGGGACCATCACAATGGCCGCGGTCAAAGTGCCAACAGAGCGATACTACGAGTCTCAGTGAAGCTAGTGCGCCGTACGGTTGAATTACGGCTGTCTGGGTGCGGATTCTCATGCATTGAAGCGAGCGAGATGTTTATAATGTTACGAAAGAGAGTGAGTTGATTGTATCCGTATAACCAAAAGCAAGACGTCAATATCCCCCCAAGTGAGCGAGACAGTATCGCACATGGAGTTTGCCATGGACTGCGACCGACTACACATGACCATCTCCCAGTGTGTCGTTGTAACGACACTTCTGCATTCTATCCCCTAATTGGGGCAATTGGCTTTTAAGTTCCCCGTTGTCAACTCGGTAGATCCCGACAGCGCGTTTGTGTAGCGTACCCAGCATTTATTTCCCTAAACGTTGTGTCAGCATAGAAGTTGGCTGGGATGTGGCGAAGAACTCACCTTTGTGGGTGTTTGTCCCCCTTTACATGCCTGAGCGTGCCATCCGTCTGTCGACTTACAAGAAAATACCTCTTCTCCTCTTTCGTAATCATTGATACTGTAGACCGTCTTTTTCGACGGAGGTATTAGCGGGTGTTTACGGCTACAACATAAGACCTTGGATTGATTGATTGATTGGTTTTATTTATCGTGGGTGCAGTCCCTCAACAGGGCAAACCACGCCTCCCAGAGCCATTGCATCGCAAGGTTGTAGAGGTGTCAGTCTAGATACATTCAGAACCGCGCACGAGCCCATCCTCGCTGTAGCGGTACCAACCTGGAGTGTCTGTCCAGATGGTTTTAATCAATACTCAAGCATGATTCTGTCAGAAAAACCTCCTGTCCAGTGACAAAGCGACCCAGTGGACCTCAGTCCTCTGGTGTACACATCGTTCCAGTAGCCGTTCGATATATGTCACATTGGTGGATGAAGAAGGTGTTTTGTCAAACAGCGCGTATTATGGTTGATCTTGTTGATAACTGTATTCTGGTGATTGTTTGTTTGTTTGTTTTGTATTTAACGTGGGGGGTAGCTCCTCAGTAATGCAGACCACGCCTCCCAGAGCCTCTGCATCGCAGGGTTGTGGAGGTCTCAAGAAAATAAGTACAGTCAGTCCCGCTCACGGGCCCATCCCCGTTGTTGCGGCGGTATGACCTTGGGGTCATCCATCTGGTCCTTCAAGAACAGCTATCTATCGGAGACAGATTGTTAAAAAGAACTTGCTCTTCTCCACGAATTTTGCCCATTCTGTGCTCCTCTCCCCTAAGTATTGTGAACAGGCTGTCCTAGGCGAGTACCTAGGCAACAACCGATTTTTTCCTAGCCTCTTATAAAAGAAAATATGTTGTGGTGTTTTCTTTTCACCACAGCTGCAGTGGTTGTTCGAGTCTGTATGCCCAAAGCGTTCGTGATATCTGGCAAAGTCGCCATGTCCAGATCTGGCCGCTAGAAGTCTGTGTAGAGTGCTCCTCTTAAAGGATATAAGGCCTCTTTCAGTTACTGTATGTGAGTATACTTCTTGATATCTAGGTTCTGATTGGTCTTTCCACCATTAGTTGAACTCTTTTTTGCCCTTTTTTTTGAGATCTCTCTTGACCCAAGAGATTATAGGAAGGTTTGTTGTGTCTGTTTCTAGCATAGCACCCTCTTTTGCTAATATATCGGCAGCTTCGTTACCATCAATATCTCTGTGTCCAGGAATCCACTTGACGGTCACTCCAGGAGTGTGTACTGTGGCGAGTTCTTAGAATCGCAAAAAAATTTTCTGTGATGTCTCGGGTGGAGTCCCATTGAGCCCATCCACCACTGATGTGTTGTCCAGGCAGACATATAGCTGTTTTCCGTGTCCAATTGCCCTGGCTGCTGCAAGACCTTAGAGAATACCATGGACTTCAGCATCCACTACTTCTGCTTGTAGAAGTCTGCCCCTTTCCCGGTATACTTCTTGTGTAGTGCCGCCTTTCCTGATGGTATAGCCCCATCCAGTGCGGGTTGTGCCTTGGTCGTCCAATTGTGATCTATCTGAATAGATAACAAGGTCAGTGTTCGCATTTCTTTCCTGTAACCATTGCTTAAAGAGCTCTATTTTTTTGTCTTTGTCTTTACGGACTGGGGGCTTCTTCCATAATGGCTTGGTGAGTATTGGTCTCTGGAAGTCAGGGACTAGTTGGAAGCTCCTTTGTAGCCTTGTTGGTTCTTTGTGAGCTTGTATTTGGAGCCTGCCAACAAGAGGGTGTCTCTGATCTACTCGTCCGAGTCGGAGGCCGTGACGTCTTCTTATTGACTCTGCAAGAATTCTTGCTAGAGGAATCTGTGATTCAAAGTGTAGGATATGTCCAGGGTGTGTTTTCTAGACTGGCAAGATAGCTCTGATTGCCGTTCGTAGTACAGCATCTATCGTTCTAAGAAGCCCTTTAATGCGACATGCTGATGTCCCACCTAAGCTCTTAATTTTTTCCATTCCTGGGTACCAGGCCTCCAGGCCATGTGTAAGAATAGGAATAACACAAGTTTTCACAGCCTTCTTGGTTGACTTTACTGGAAGTCCTTTGACTGTGTTGCATAGTCCTCGAAGGTGGTTTGCTACCTTACTAGCTTTCTTGGCCCAGTAGGAAACGTGATCTTTGAAGTTCAGTTTTCTATCCAGGAAGACACCCAGCCATCGCATGGAGTTCTTTGCTGTTCTGTTTATTGTCCCGTGGCGGACCGGAGGATTGTCTGAGTTCTTTTTCCGTGAGAAGTGTATGATCTCGATTTTGTCGGGGTCAAACTCAATAGCATTATTGTGTCCCCATTGGTTGAATAAATAAAGGTTTTTAGAAGCCTCTGTAGCTGTTTCCTTAAGGTTCTTTCTAATACAGAGAGTCGCTAGGTCGTCTGCATATCCAAAGCGTCTCCTTTTTATACCGAGTCGGGCACAGATTGACTCTGTATACAGCATATAAAGGATTAGAGAAGCTGGTGAGCCTTGTGGTAGCCCACAAGTGAGAGCTTTTATGTCGGTCACAATACCTTCAAACCGAACTCTTGCGGACCGTTCAGACATGAATGACTGGACCCATCTTATGAGAAAGTCTGGCCAGCCCTGTTCTCTCATGCGAACCACCAGCCGTCCCATTAGGGCAGTGTCGAAGGCCCCTGTCACATCTGCTGTGACTACCGTTGCAACAAGGCCTTGGTCAAGGGCCTGCTCAATATCGTGTATGAGTGCAGCTACCAAGTCGGCGGCAGAGCGCTTTGGCAGAGCTCCAAAATGTTGTGGAGCTAGAATTCCGAGTTTGATGACAAACCAGGTAATTCTTTTTGTAATGAGTCGTTTTAGCCCTTTGCCAAGACATGATAATAGCGATATTGGTCTGTAGGCCCTGGGGTTAGAGTAGTCTTTCTTGCCTGGCTTTGGGATCATCACCATCTTAGCTACTTTGAATGGTTTAGGGTGGTGTCTAATCTGTAGACAGGTCTGGAAAAGGGCTCTGATATGCTCCCCAATGACTGGCCAGCAAGCTTTCAGAATCCGTACTGTGAGGGTGTCTACTCCTGGGGAGTTGCTCTTGGTCCCTATAGTGCACCCTTCAGCCTCTTTTAGTCCGACATGGTATTCAAGGGGGATGTGTGGCTTGGCTTGTGTGATCTGAGTAGACCAGGGGTCGATGATATCGTTGTCTGGGGTATTTCGTTCAAGCGTGGCTAAGCATAGTGCATTTGCCTTGCTCTCTTGTGACTCAAAGATTTGGTCCCCTATGATGATTGGGGGGGAACGCAATCCTGCTGACAGCTTGTGTCAGGAAACAATTCTGTACAGGTCTTTTGGTTCAGTCGCTGAATCAATTAGAGTCTGCCAGTACTCTCTCTTAGCTTTTCGGACCACACAGCGAAATTCCCGTCAGGCTGAATTTCGCCCTTCTTGGCTTGTGATCTGTTTAAAAAGGGCCCTGTATGTCTGAACAGCTGCTTTGCAGTCATCATTCCACCAAGCAGTGGGCCTAGATTGACGGGGCTTCTTGCCCACTGTCCTGATACAGCCTTGAATCATATTGATCAAGCTTTGTGTAAAGGTATCCACCTGGCCAAGGGATACACCCAGCCGGGGGAGTTCATGAATCCTGGTTTGGACATTGTCTGCCAGCTCTTGTAGTTTATCGTCCGGTACTATCTAATGATTGGTCTTAGGAACTCGGTCCCGATTTCCCTGAATTGGAATGACTATTCGTAATGTCTCATGATCTGAGGTGCACTGAAGTGCATCATTAACTGAGGCTTCAGCCATAGGGACATCTGAGAACACCAGATTCAGTACATTTCTATCGTCATGTGTTGGGACATCTGGTTCAAAAATCAGATCCAGTCCGTGGTCTGCCATAGTCTGTGCCAGTATGACGCCACCGTGATATCCTGGATTGCTCGAGTCCCAGGATATATCGCCAGCATTAAAATCTCCAGCTATAACACAGCCAAAAGGTGGAGTCCATACTTCCAGAATATTATCCACTTCCTGTGGGTTATCACATGGCCGGTAGACACTGGCAAATGTGATGCCATGTACCTTGACCCAGGTGATGTCTCGTGTAGCATAGGGCCGAAGTTGATCCGCTTAAAGGTGTTTTTTCACATAGATGAGAGATCTGGGCCGTGTACTGTCGCTGTCCCAGGAATCCACTGGGGAGTATATATTGTAATTGGGGTGTGTCTTTACTCCCATTCTCCTGCCTGGTGGTATGCCAACCCAGGGCTCTTGCATCAGAATGATGTCTGCTTGTTCTCCTTTGTAGTCAGCCAGGTTGATGGCTAACTCTGTAGGGCCTGCACTCTTTTGTCCTCCTGCTGTATTCACAGAATGGATGACTAGATGCCTGTGTTGATATGTTTCGTTTGATGTACCTAACATTGACTGACAATAATGGTATTGGCATCTCTGGGATGAGTTGTATCTGTTGTGTCGATTTGCATTGTGGTGTCTTTGTTATTGTTGCTGGGTGTTGACCCAGCTTGGTTTCTGCCTGCTTTATTGAAGGCCTTGGATCTGGCTCTTTCCCCGGCTAGCCTTATTTCCTGGATTTGCTCCCATGTGTGCTTATGGATGGTACCTTTCACAACCTTGGGGCGGGCAGGGCATTTATTGAAATTGGCAGCATGAGGTCCTTTGCAGTTGACACACTTTGGGATTGGTTTTTCGCACTCTCCCTGGTGTACTGTGTTGGCGCAGTGTGCACATACTTGCTTTTCGCATCGGTAATTCCTACCATGGTATCTGAAGCAGCTTGCACACTGTGTATTCTGGTGATTCTGATGAGAGTGTGTGTATCTAAAGGATCTGCTGGTGTAAGCTACAGGGCCCGAAATTGCCCTAGAGCCCCTGTCAGTGCACTGACACCTCCCTGACTCCACTGTGGCTTGCGTGCCATTTGATATGTTTGTTATCTGCTGGCGAGGGAAATCACAAGGGGAAAAACCTCACAGGAGTGGGTGTTATAGAGACAAGCGGCTTGGCTATCGGGCTCTGCGATAATGGGGCCTCTCCACTGTCGTGTGCTGGTTGTCGACTCGCACAAGCCGGGTCAGAAAGGGGGCCATAGCAGGATTTGAACCCACTTGTTCTCGTCGCCCACCGCACAAACGAGAAAACAACCAGGCGCATTTGACCATTGCGCCATACGGCCCATAAGACCTTAGATGTTTCACTTGCCCCTTCTTTCTGGTGAACTTTACACCAGGTTTTCTCGCGATGGCGGCGTACCCGGCGGCTTCCAGAATCATCCTTCACGTCCGAGTCCGACAGCTCCTCGCACGACAAGTCGGAACGGTAGTCGAGATCACGGGGCACTACTTCAGATCTTGTGCTTGACCCATCCGATCCCATCACAGCGGCGTGGGCGCCAACAAGCGCAGTGGCGGCAATGAGAGCAAGGTGAAACTGCATATTGTAGAGATGGGATTCGCAAAGGAATCTGATTGAGTAGATGTGTATTTGTTTGGATAGAATGTGAAGCTAGAATGGTGATGGTCTTTGAGAAGGTTGGTGAGTCAGTGGCTTGTGGTTTGTTCAAGCACAGTTGAGGTATATGGTATGTAATATCTGCTCTTATATACGCTCTTTTCACTTCAGTGTTTAGACTTCGAAGGCCAAGAATTGCCACATGATCACCGGGGCCACGATCACTGTTGGCAGCCTGGTTCGGCCATCCCGCTAACTTGTGGGCTTGGAAAGTTGCCTTGAGACACGATTTAATCCTATCATTCGGCTCTTTAATAGCCAGGGCAGAGCCAAAATGAAATGCCTTATAATAAAACAGAAGGGCCTTTATACACACCGAGATCTTAAGATTGCTCCATACCTTTGGTTGACGTACTCTACAGGTCTTTAAGCGACTTGACCCACTTTTACGGTCGTTTTTTCTTATAGGTTGGGGATATTAATTCGGTTCCGGTTAATAATAGAGGATTTAATTTTTAACTAGAGATTAATAGTAAACGATGATTTTTAGTTGCTTTTTTATTCATATGTCGTGTTTTGTTTTTTTAACATCTTTTCTGGCCGCTTTTTTAAAGGCCTTTCGTCCATTATTACTAGGGTTAAAACACGATATATATGCGAAGAAGTGACTAGAGACTATTATTTGCTGTTGATTTTGAATCGCTTTTTTATTAATAGCGGAGAAAGTCGGGTTAAATCGAGGTTTATTAGAAATGTTTCAGGTTTATTTAATCGGCTTAAATATGTATTTATATACGAGATAAAGTGTTATATCACTTTTCAACCGTTTATAAAGGGTTATTTAAAGTATAATTACACCTTAAATAATTATGAGTTAGATAAAGGTATCTTTTTAATATTATATATTGTATATAAACATTATAGATAAGATTTTAAATTAAGATTATAATTAATTAACGATATATTTTTGATTCATTTATGTAGAAAACAAGTTGAAATAACTATTATGCTTACATTTTGCAAACGTTTTTTTACTTTAGAGGCTTAACTATTTTCTCGTTATCATTTACAGATTTTTCTTCTTTTAACTTTTAGTAACAACGTTGAAACGGCTAGTTTTTTTCGTACTCTTATAAATATTTAAATTCGAGCGTTAACCCGTTCAAACTTTATATACACTTAATACATTTTTTAAAAGACTAACAATATTATGCTACCAATTCCTAAAAATATCTTTTTTGTCGTTTTCGCTTCAATTAGCAGCGGCAAGACAAGTAGCAGCAATTTACTAAAATTAAAATTATGGTTATGGTTATGGTATAATTAAATAATATATTAAATCTTTTTTTCTGTATTTATAAGTTAAATAATCCTAAATATATTTGTAATGAAAGAATATTATTTTACCTGCTTGTAATAATAATAATACGTGCAAGCGCTATATACTAAATTTCGGCTTAAAAGCACCGAAAAAGATATTACGTAAGTAGCTTATAATTCATATCCTTTACCGCATTTAATATAACAAGGTATTTTAATAGGTTAAAAATTATAAACTTAAAAATATATAAAAAGTAAGTTTATTATTAAAATATTAATGAATATTTATCACTGTTGGATCTATGTGATTCTACAGTCAAACCATCCATACAGAACCCACATGTATGATTAGATAAGAGATTAGATACCAGATTGTGAGGTCACTTACCCAGACCTGCAGGTCCAGCTAGACTTCACAATCCAACCATCAGCAACATCATGACCTTGACCCTATACTCGAGTTTTATGATTGATCGTTCAAGCCTGTTCCCACAATCACACAATTTTAATTAATTAATTCAATGTTCTTTTAGCGCTACGATAAAGTAAATAAGAAGCTGCAAGGGATACTCCCAAAGCTGGAGGTTGGCGCATGGAGAGGGGTCTAGCTCTTGATATCTGTGGTCTGCTCGGTTTTGGTTGTGATATGGTTCGGGGTATTTGCCTAAACCATCTCGTTAGCCGGTCTGTAGAAGTGCGGAGCAAATGGCGAGTTACGAGAGAAAGGACGTACCAATTTGAGCATTCCGCTGTGCCAGTCCTATGCCGTTCCCCATTGCTTGCTGCACTTGGTCTTCGGTGAAGGAATCCCCTTGGCAGTACCAGTCGGCAAGTGCGCGGTTGCACAGCACGAGGCTCAGACCGATCGACTTGAGAGAAGGCATTTGAGTGGTGAATCGAGGATATATGAGGCAAGGGTGCTAGTTGGGATAGACGTGATGGAATAGGTCGCCAGGAACACATCTCGTCGACTTGAAGACGGCGTGAGTTGGCATCTTATAGCGAACGGCACGCAGACGCCGTTGAGGCGCGGTCCTCGCAGCCCAGTCAAGGTGATCTCACACTGCTGGATAGAGTGACCATCGGGTCTGTCTTGAAGGATGAAGATGGATCATTCTGCCCCTACATCCACCGCGTCAGAGTAGCTGTCCATCTGTTACCCTGTGCGGCAACGCGTACCCTATGCTGCGAGTGTAACTTGGCATCAGAACGTCATGAAGACACTTGCATACATCGCTTCTGGTGATCTTCGCTTCCCCTGTTGATCAAGCATGCTATTCTCGGCTTCGCGGGTTATTTTGGGCGTCTGATGGTAGAGCTGAACATGCTGTGTTGGTCATACCTAGCAAGTCTTGGTCGCATATGCACTTGGTATCCTCCAAGAACCATCCTCCTGATGCATGTGCAAGGCCTGTACCAAGAAGTGCGCATTGCTGGGGCACAGTCCCTCAGACCAAGCAACTGTATGTACCGTGATCTGCGGTCACTACACCTGCATGGATGACGGGTACCTTCAGCTCGTCCTTCATTTCGTTGAGTCGCACAACGGTGAGGCGCAACCAACAGCAGTGAGGCTCAACCAACTGCATGGACCAATCCATCTTCGCCCCCAATGCCACTGAACCAGTAAGCCTGTCAGCTCTGCCGGGTGACTGATCGGCAACGAAGCCTTTTGAGCCAACCAAATGATATGCGCGATCGGCAGCCTGATTGTGTCCGCGCATAACACATAGGTACTTGGGATGACGTTGTAGAGCACGACCGTCCGGTCGTCATTTTCCTGATCAGAAGAAACCCCGAATAGGATTTGAATCAATGTTTCCCTCTTTTTCTTCCACGACCCAGAGCGCCGCTTCAATACCTCTCTTCATTTCTCGCGGGACTGTTTGAGTATTTGTGCTCCTGTAACCTGCTCAACACCACTTGTTCATATCCCCAACTGCAACCACCCGCCATCCAGCCATGTCTTCGGATTGGGAGACCAAAGCGCGCGATTACATCAGAGAGCAGGCCCTCACAATCAGAGAACACTTAGGCATAGCCAAGAGCACAGATGCGTCTCCGTTCCAAGAGTTCATCATACCCCTACTCGGCGGACTGATGGACGGCTCCGCCGACGTGGGCCCGACAACGAGCCATGAAGTCATCAGTCGGATGACCGCCTCCCAACAAGAAGATGCGGACGAATGGGCCGAGTTCCTCTGGATGTTCTTCTTGGCAATTGAACACACTTCGGCAGACGAGGCCCACAGCCGACTTGCAGCGCTCCTGCGAGCCGTGGCCCAGCCTCCGCCCATCGATTCACTACCCGGACCCGAGGCAAAGAAGATCGCATTGATTCCTCGACTGTCTTCACTGGAAACATTCGGGATCATATCTCGGGACTGCTGGAATGGTGGGTAACCCCTTGCCCCAGAACTAAGTCGTGTTTCTCACGAGACCACAGGCCCCTCCAGGCATACCCAGCCTCCAGCAGCAGCCCTTGCGGCATGGGTCAATCTCAACAGGTTCTACGCGCACCTCAGCCGGCAGCAACGCCGGGAGCCCCTGGACTCGCTGAAGGATTGGGTGGAGGTATTTGGAAAGTACACCATCAGCTGCGGACTGGAGCGCGAAAGCGACAATGATGTCCGCGACTACGCATGGCCTGCGGCCGTGTGGCTCGAGATCGCCGGCTCTGATATCTACAACGACCCGCACTGGGGCGGCCGCGACAACACTCTCCCGGAAGGTGCGCCGCGGGACTTACGCTGGGATGTGTGGGCGCAAAGGTTGCAGGAAATCGCGGCAAGCGACCGCTTCGATGCTCAGCAGCCGCAGCTGAAGGAGGTGGCGGGTCGCGTGGCAGACATGATGCGTGAGAGCAAGGCAAAGGGGATGGACGCGTAGAAAGCTTAGAGTACTTGAAGCAATTGAAACCTCCCCTCATCTCCCACTACTCGACTTGCAGTGTACGTGCTTCGGTGTAGATACCGCACCAGAAGTTCGTGCGCCACCCCTATTGCCTGTCGCTGCGTGAACAGTGACGGTCCATTCAGCTGGCCCCACCTGGTGATCAGGCACTAGGCTCAGTATGGCTAGGCTGGTCGGCTGGCTGCGCACGGATCATACCCCTTTTAACCTAAGCCTGCGTAGGCTCGTCGGCGCAGTGAAAGGCAATCACGATCGTTGATCTGTGATAGCATAAAGTAAGGTAGGTATGAATCTGGCTGCTTTGATACTACCGAGCCTTGGGCCCTATTCGCAATTGCCATCGTGATTCCACCTGGCCAGCTCGTCGGCATCTACCTTACTCAATACATCGACCGCCCAGTTTTGAGTGTACCATCCCCCACCCCCTAACGGGACACACCCCCCACCGGGACAGCCAAACCCCACAACCACCACCAAAAGTCCCCTACCTCACTTACACGGATTACAGCCCGCTTTGAGGCTATCTATACGCTCTTTAGATAGTTAGATAGCCCTTTTCTTGGTATTTAGTCGGATATAGATTAGTAAAGTTTCAGCCATCGGCATCAGTAATTAGGAGCCTCCGTGCCCCGCCCCTAAATGCAAATTTGCTATAGAATTCTCTCTCTGAACCCCTGACCCTTATGCCACCACAGCATCGTGAAGCCAGCCACGATGCCTCTGCCCACGTACACTGAAGATAATGTGGCGGATGCCTGGCTAGATGTGACAGATAACGGCATATCTATGAAAAAAGCCGCCCAAAAACACGGCATCCCTAAGCAAACGCTGTCAGCACGCATTAATGGCAGAGTCACCCGAGCCGAGGCCCAGGTTAGCAAGCAGAGACTCTCCCCTCAATAAGAGAGTAAGGTGGCTCAATAGATATTGCGCCAGGAGTCCCTAGGGCTTGCCCCTTCTCACACAGCCGTGCGGGAGATTATTATATAACTGCTGAAAAAGGGGGAGGGATTTTGTACCACTGGACCCGAATTATATGGAGGGCTATAAACGCCGTAACCTCATTATCCAGACTAAAATCGGTAAGCGGATGGAATCCGCTCGGTTTAAGGGGTTCACCCCTAAGTCTGTCAACTGGTTATTTGACATATTAGGGGATTATCAATGGGTGAAGCCAGAAAATACGTACATTGTCGATAAGGGCGGCATCATGTCGGGTTTTGGTTAGTCTTTTAACCCCCTATTCACCCCTATCCTGTCAGTTAACTAGCTAACCCTTATAGAAGTTCTGACACTACGAAAGCCTTCCTAAAGAGTCCCCAGGGGCGTGGCTGGACCTCCTTTATCGAAGCCATCTCAGGCACGGGAAAAGTTCTCAAACCAGGCATAATTTTCAAAGGAAAAGATCTCCAGGCCTAATGGTTCATTAAAGAATTCCGCAAAATCGCGGGTTGGTACTACATACCGTCAGATAACGGCTGGACCAGTAACGAGATTGCGTGCCTATGATTAGACCACGTTTTCCTACCCCAGGTGGATGCTGTACGAGGGGAAGACCAGGCAGAGCCAATCCTTTTGATATTAGATGGCCATGGTAGCCATACTTCCGTACGTTATTTATTTTTTAGGGGTTGTTTAATTAGTTAACTAACTGTATAACTAACAGGACGAGTTCATGTTGTGGTGTTATTTTGCCAACATCTTGCTTTGTTTTTTCCCAGCCCATACCAGCCACGGCATGCAACCACTAGATAACAGACCATATAACGCGCTCAAAGCCTACGACCAGAGATTTCTTTCGCAATTAAATTCTCTCATAGATGCCTCGCCCGTGGATAAGATCAACTTCATCCGCTGTTATTCTCAGGCTAGGGACAAGGCTTTTTCTAAGCCGAATATCCTCTCGGGCTTCTGAGTGACGGGGTGTTACCCAGTTAGCCGCAGGAAGTGTTTGAAACACCCAGAAATCCAGGAGGATAAAAGAAAAACCCTGGAGCCAGAAGAAGTTAAAGACTCGGAGCCAGAAGACCAGCGGACCCCTACCACAAGCCGACAGATCATAGATTTCGCAAAGAACCGCTCCCCAGCCACTCGGCTGAAATTCAGGAAGATCTCCCACGCCTTCGAGAACCAGGAGACAGAGCTGGCCCTAAAAGATCATAAGATCAAGGCCCTGGAGGCTGAATTAGAGCGGTTACGGCCCAAGAAGAGGAAGAAGGTCCCAAATCCGAACCGGAAGTTCATGAATATGACCGAGATATTGGCCCAGGGGGGTGACCCGTTAAGGGCCGTGATTATAGAGTCTTCAGAGTCAGAAGCAGAGCCAGAGGTTGTTGAAGATAAGGGTGAGGAGGCTGAGGAAGGTGAAGAAGCCCCTGTTGTAGAGCCCCAGGTGACGAGAAGCGGTCGGTCAATTAGGGCGCCGACTAGATACGTGGATTGAGGAGCCTCAACACCACAGAATGATAATTTTGTTGATTTCTTTGGGCATCTACAGCCTCAATTGCGTGTAAGTGAGTAAGGGGGTATTTTGGTGGTGATGGTGGGGTTTGGCTGTCCCGATGGGGGATGTGTCCCGTTAGGGGGTGGGGCATGGTAGTTGGAAAGTGACACGCTCTCATACCTTTCTCGACCAGTTCAGCAAGAATCATATCGGCTCCTATGAGCAGAGGTCAACATTCGGCACGTATAATGAAAGGTCATGTGTGATAGAGTTACCTGGCGGTCCTATTACTAACGCTCCTATAAGCAGCGGCTCTTCCCTCTTCGTCACGACGGAATCGTACGACATTTCACCAACTATTCTTACATGTGAGAACATCACTGCATATCTTGGGGATGGACTTACTCAAGGTAGTGAGCTCGGGTGCGCGAAGCATTGGCGACATATTCAAGGACGCATACCCGCTGAGTATAGAGAACGGCCTAGAAATGTCATCAGCATGCTAATTCATACGGAAATTCAGTAAACCACAAACGGGAGCTCAGCGTCGCGATAATTTGGTTTCCCAACTTCAATGGGGAAAACCATGATGGTAATGGAATCTTTGGAATCGGCCTTGAAGACCCTGTCTAGCAGCCAATGACGGTAGATCTCGGAGCGACGCCAATAAAAGTCGTGTTCCTCAATAGAAATCGTTTTAGCAACATCCCTAAGTCGATGTAATCAGTGCTTAAATTATATAGTCTTTAAGATGCAGCCGACTTACCACTGCCACTGCATAGCTCTGTGGATGAAGGGCGGTTTCCCATGCTTTACCGCGTACTGTTCTCGAAAACCCGGCAAATCGTAGTACGCGTCCCGATAGTATGGATAGCCTCCAGCCTTGGCCAACTCAGCAACATGGTAATCCAACTTGCGAACAGCAGGTGCTTACCAGTCTCAGGTATTCTTCAATGTCAGAGTCAAGGGTCAAATCAATTACACGCTAGTCCACTGGTGTACACGCTAGTGGAGCACTTTGGCGTACATCCACTGGAGCTGAAGGGGTCATCCATTACATTCAAGGCTTAGTGTAATTGACGTAATGGACGAGTGTATGACAGTGGATGAAATATGGGCTCTGATTGGTCCAAAAATCTAAGAGCCCCGTTTTTTACAACAACAAAAAATCCCGAGCTTCCTATAGGATCTGAACGTAGCCTTTTCCGCAAGGCAAACTTTGCGCTACCATACCACTATACCAAGATGATGCGCATTTAATCAAGAGTTGGGCATTATATCACTAGTAGAAACATTGACATATGATTTCAACCACCTAGCTAGCTAGCATGAAATTCTGAATGCAGCCACCAAATGGCACAAACAACATTCAGACCACGCAAACCACTCCAAAGCAGGCAAATCATTCAGATTCACTCGAATACGACCCAACCACTCGAACTCACCTGTTCATTCAATTTTTTCGCCTCGAATTGCAAGCAGTACCCTCAGCACGCTTCACCATGGCCGGTACACCCGAATCCTCGATACACGGTGGCTCCGAGCCTCCCAACGACGTCCCTTTGTCCGTAACCCCCTCGCCAGCACCCCAATCATCTCGACGAGAATCCCTCCGCCACGGCATCTCTCAGGGCAACGAAGCCTTCCTTTTTGCGTGTTTTCGTGGCTACACGTGGGCTCAGTGGAAGCGAGGTCTCAACTCCTGGGCCTGGGATCACGGATATGACATCCAGAAGGGTAGGACCTTCAAATGGGTGTGCCGATACTGTATCACTCGCCGCAATCCCGTACCCGATTCTTTCACATCTGCAGGCCTTCAGAACGCCATACAGCACCTGTATCTAGTCGAATCGATCTCTGCCCCTGGGGGTGAAAAGACCAGATCCAAGGCACAATTACGAGCCGAAACAATCAACGATACGAGCCAACAACGGCTTCACTGATATCTCTCCGTCAACCCAGAGAACCCTCGAGACCAAGCAATAACCAATAGCATGCTGAAGAACTTCGATTGAGATACCTTTCACCGCCTCCTTATGGAATGGATCGTCGAAGAGAACCTTCCTTTTGCTACTGTGAATCATCACAAATTACGCCTTGCACACGAATACCTCAACCCGTGTATCACAGACCAAAGCGGGCACATCTCCTCGACCGGGCTACGCAAAAAAATCATACGCGAATTCCAACGGCACAAGGGAGCCATCATCGAGGCGTTGAGGGCTTCACCTGGCAAGATACACGTATCCTTTGATGGCTGGCGGTCAGGTAATCATCGCGCTTTGTATGGCGTAGTCGTCTTTTTCAGAGATGAATACAACAAGCCTTGCAAGCTAGTTCTCGGCATCCCCGAGGTCTCCATTCGTCACACAGGTCAAAATATTGCCACGCAAATCGTCCAAGTCTTGAAGATGTTTGGTATTGACCATAAGATCGGCTTTCTTATTCTCGATAACGCTGCCAATATGGATACGGCATCAACCGAGATAGGGCTAGCCCTAGGCTTCGAGGGCAAGAAACGGCGTGGCTGGTGCTTCGGGCATCAGTTGAATCTCTCTGCCAAATCCTTATTGTTTGGTACTGATGTTGAAGCATTCGAAACAGAGATCAGCAAGGTCGAATCTCTTTCGGTTGCTAAACACGCGTTGTATCACCGATTAGGCCCTGTTGACAAGGCTCACAACCTCGTCGTTGATATCTGGCGATCTGACCGCTTGCATTACATCCTTCTTGACGTCCAACGGCAAGATGTCCTCGATTTCACAGTTCCTCACACCAGGGCACTGTGTGTCATCCTCGATAACGACACTAGATGGCTTTCACAGTTATATATGATCCGCCGTCTCATCAAGCTTCGCCCGTATCTCCCTCGAATGATAGCCCAATTTAATCAGGAATGGGAAGACCAACACAGATCCAAGAGGACTGGCCTCGTTAGTGGCAGGGCCATGGCAAGGCGGCCCCAAATCCTCAAAGAAGAGAATCATCTAAATGATCACGATTGGACCGTTCTTGAGCACACTGCCGCTATCCTTACTGACTATGAACACACCGTGAAATTACTCGAAGGGGATGGCATGCAACGCAAGTAGAAAGGATGGACCGGTTCGTATGGTAACATCTGGGATGTTATCTTTGGATTTGAATTCCTTCTCGGCAAGCTTGAGGGTTATAAAATTACTGCTAACAAGCTTCCTGACAGTGAACACTTCGTAGCTAACATCAACCTTGGTTGGATGAAGCTAGACGAATATTATCAGAAGCTCGACGAGACCCCCCTCTATTACGCGGCTATAGCCCTTCACCCCCGATTCCGATGGCACTGGTTCGAACAGAAATGGAATGATTGGCCTGAATGGATTCAGAAGGCAAAAGATTTGGTCCAAGAGCTGTGGGATACCGAATACCGTGATCTCGAGATACAGAACACCCTTAATGACGACGAGCCTGCCCAAAAGCGCCGTAAAATCGATCTGAACCCTCTCGAGGAATTCATCCATCAACAAGCAAGCTCGGCCCCGATTTCATCCACTCTGGGAGATGAATACGAGATCTGGCAGTCTCACGAGACTGTGAATAACGCAATATTCGATCCTTTAGCCTACTGGCACGAACGACGTCACCAATACCCTCGTCTCTCACAAATGGCGCTTGACATCCTCACAGTTCAACCGATGTCTGCCGAATGTGAGAGGGTTTTTTCGGCAGCAGGGCGGATGACGACTAGCTTTTCGCGGCGCCCTAGATGCTATGATCATCAGTCTCTGCCAGGTACTGCGTTCGTGGCTACGAGCTGGTGTTATACACGAGTTAGACCCCGTATTGCTGTCACCCGACGAGAAGGATGAAGTTGATTACATCGAAAGGATGTCCTCTGACGAGCTCGCAAAGTGGGCAACTGCGTGGATAGCAGTTAGCGAAAGGACACGTGAAGCAGACGACGAAGAATACTGCTAGCAGTTGAACGAGAGGCTATTACACCCTTTCGGGCAAAGGGACAAATATTACGGCTTTAGCACGAATATGGGGGTGTCAGGGCCATCCCAGATGAGGAATTCAGCTTTACCACCAAAAATATGTACATCCACCATCAATTACATCCATTTGGGGCTTCAGTGGACCACTATTTCGTGGATTTGGTGTAAATCCTTACATCCACGCGAATCCGTGGCTTCGTGGATGTAATGTAATTGATTTGGGCCCTGGTCAGAGTTATCCGGGCCGTTAGGAGAATCGGACTTCCATAACTCAGCAAGGCTTATGTAATCCCGCTTGGCGTTTAAGGCTGATTCGAGGCCCTCAACAAACTTGTCAATGAGGCTAGACTGCGCTGCATTGGTAGTAGGCAAGTAGTCCAGAGGATAGAGGATCTTGACCGGTAGCTGAGCTAGTGATTGAAGACAGACAGCTGAGAAAGGGATTCGAACCTTGGAAGGAACCCGGAGCATTGGGGAATCGCCGTACCACATCGAGATGAACTCCGAGAACCTAGAAAGATCTCTCCCGAAGAATACAGGCATATCAAACTGCCTACACAGGAGCCACAGAGTCAGTAAGATTCATGTGAAAGGCTGGACAGGGGCTCCTCACGCGAATTGCCCAATGACTCCGTCCGTGTTCATGATGCCGGTCGATGGGCGAATCGAGAAGCAGCCGTTGTAACATCTCCTACCCCCCTGCGGACCACCCCCCCCGCGGACCAGCGCGTTCTGACCCACAAACGCGTAATTCACCAACCACCAGGATTATGGTGATCCATCATCTACACCATCACTTTTGCATCTTTTTTTTCATAAAGCACACTATTTGAATCCTTATCCACTGCTGAATCTCATGATGTCATTTTACGACCGTCAAATAAAAGCTGAAGCCGCCATTTTGGCCATCCAACGCGGAGCTCCAGTCTGCTCGTCAGCCCTCGAATGGCAAATCAGTCGCTTGTACGTCAATCGACGAATCTCTGGCACCCCAACGCGGAATGAGACCAGCGCTCTCCAACAGGCTCTCTCACCGTATCTCGAACATAAGCTGGCAAGCTGGGCCCTGGGGCAAGCACGGCTAGGGTATTCTCTGGCGGTCTCTAAGTTCCGTCTCATGGCCCAGCGGATGCTCCATGCCACCGGGGATGCTCGAGAATTAGGGAAAAATTGGGCATCCAAGTTCCTGTCTCGAAACCCGGAAGTCAAGATAATGAAGTCTCGTGTTATCGACTACAACCGAGTGAATGGTGTTACAGCGGCAAATATCAACATTTTTTTCGATCGGTGTGACGCCCCTGACGTGGTTAACCTCATGCCAGCACGCTGGTACAACGTCGACGAAATGGGAATCGCCCAGGGGGTTGGAGACTCTCATTGGGTGGTCTCTGAGGCCTCCGGCAACGTGGCTATGAAGAAAGGGGTCGAGAAGGGTGAATAGATAACTGCCCTAGAGTGTATGAGCGGATCTGGTGAGACCTTGCCGCCGCTGGTGATTCTCAAGGGGGTTAATGTACAAGCCCAGTGATTTAGCAACCAAAACGAGGGCAAATTCACCGACTGGAGGTTTACTACGTCGCCCAATGGATGGACCTTGAATCCCATTGTGTTAGAATGGCTTCAACGTATCTTTATTCCTCACATTTGGGAGGTCCACGGCAACACATGGGTGGTTTTGGTATGTGATGGCCACGACTCCCACACGAATGACGAGTTCCTAGCCACCTGCTTAAGAAATAAAGTATGGTTGATCTTTTATGAACCTCACTGCTCCCATGTAGTCCAGGTGTTAGATGTGGGAGTCTTCAATTTGGTAAAGAAGAGGTTGAAGACCTTACTCCAGGAGACGCCCAGCGGCCGTCTGGGACTCAGGCCATCTAAGGAGGAGATTTTGGAGTGCTATGAGCAGGCCCGGAAGGACACAATGACGCTCCTCAACATCAGAATTGCCTGGAAAAAGACTGGGATTGTTCCTTGCAACAGAGCGGAGGCATTGAAGTCGAAATATGTGATTCTAGAGGACAAGGGGGTGGCCAGGGCACGCCAGAGGGACCCTAAGGCTTCCGAGCAAGCCACAACACCAGATTTTCTCGAGATGGTAGCTAAAACCATTGTCACAACACCCTCTGGAAGCCGGGCTTTGCGGGAGAGTGCTCGAAAGCTCGAAAGAAAGGACCCTTCCTTTGGGGAACCCTCTGAGCGCTTGTTGGTGCAGAAGGCTGGCAAGGCCATGGATGTTCAGGCTGCTATCATTATAAATCTACGGGCCAAATGTGAGCTGCTTGAGGCTCAAGTGACTAAAAAGGCTAATACCACTCGAAAAGCAATCAAACCAACACCAGGGGAACGATTCATCACAATGGCTAACATAAGGGAGGCCAAAATGGAGCTGAGGAACAGGAGGGTCTATAGGGACTCCACTACAGGCAAAGAGGTCCCATAAGAGGTCCCTGGTAAAGATTTAGGGTCGGAATCGGATTCTGGGAGCTGTATTATGGTTAGAACACCACGACCTTAGTGTATTTAGCAACTGTGGTGGTTGTAGATGGCTTCATCTGAATGAGAGTGGTGTGGTGTGGAGTGGTCCGTGGGGGGGTGGTCCGCAGGGGGGGGTGAGATGTTAGTGCGCAGGCTTGCGTCCACTCCCGTTGGCTGTCTCTTGCGTCAGTGTATGGACCATAGGGACAAGCATTCGAGCAACTTACTGTCAGATCCGATGGAGAAGTCAAGCCAGTCGTATGATGCCATACCAGCAGCACTGCCATGGCTGCTTCCAGACGGTACCTGGTATCCATCACCTCGTGGATTGAACGGTGCGGTGAACTCGACTGCCTCAAGTGGCTCCTCTCGCATGATCATGGCTTGAAGCTTCACTTTCCCTACAATGATACCTCCCGCGTCTATGAGAACCTGGATACAAGCCGCATGTTCGGTCTTGGCCGGGTAGAAGTCTATCCATGCTCGATTGCAAAGGGTGGTTTTGTGGCCTGCGATGTCAATGTTGTCTTTGACACTGATCCGAGCTCCATCAAGAGGGCGTTCCTCGGATGGCTTGTAATAGCAGCGAGGCGGTACGATGACTCTACCATTGATGCCAGCCATGGGGGAGTCAAGCGACACTAGAGTAGGACACAGTTAGTCGCAGCCCACAGTACGCCTGGGGCTGGAACACTCATCTTCCGGAGCTATCTGGCGAAGGCTTGAATGCGGTCATGAAGGCTGCGTTGAAGTCGTAGTAGACCCTCCACGGTTGCCAAGTCTTCCCTTTGGCGAAAATGTACGGCCCTGGAGCAACTTTGGCTGCTGGGTGGCCTTCAACATATGTCGATGTCTTGGTGTTCCACGCAGCCAGCTCTTCAAGAACATCAGGGTCGATATGAAGGTCATCTTTCTTGCTTCCGTAGAAGACGACATTGCAGAAAAACTCGGGTTGGAAGACGTCATCCGGATCGAGAGTGGTGGTACGGAAGTCGCGGAGTGTGGATTTGGAGATGGTCTGGCCTGGCTCAGTCACGTACACCAGAAGCAGCACCGGAGCATTGCCATCGTCGAAGCTGAGAAAGTTCTGCGAGCAGTCAGCAATTGTTCGTAGGGCTAGCTTGAGCACGGATCGAGCTTGCAACCTTACCTCTGGGTTTGGGATCAAGAGATACTCGACACCGCCAACTTTGATTTGGACCTCTTCCACGAGGCCACTGGCTGACTGAACCAGGCTGCTTGACGACATCGCGCAGTCAGCACCAGACATTTCCAGCGTTCGGAGTTGCATCGTTGTCTAATGTTCTGGCTACATGTAGGTAGGTCAGTCGCGCGGATGGGTAAAAAAGAAGACATGGAGATCCTACGGCTCCAGGTGGCACAATGACACAATTTTCGGAACATTGATTGCCTGCCCCGGTGAGTCGCATGGATTACTCACAGTGAATGCAGCTTCCACGCAAGGGATGTGGTTTCCATGCAAACAGAATGCACGTTTGTGGCCCTCATGTAGCCATCAGGTGCCTCAGTGCACACACCGCCTTACATCATCTGCAACAGCTGACCTCAGACGCTGTTTGAAGGCGATCATGATTTCTGATAGGCTAACGGAGTACATCACCTTCAATTTACATGTTTGCTACCAATCACACAGCACTAATCTAGCTCATCTGTTTTTCAAAGGGCAAGAACACAGTTGGAATCTAGATACCCGTACTTACAACAGGTCGTCCACGAACCCAAGGCTATGCCGACTCTCATCACAAACTCGTGCGAACTCGAGGAGCAGCCTCCAAACATAAAGCAGCATATCCTCATGCCTCAGCACCTTCTCAGCCCATCGCCTGCCAGTCTCCGCAATCATCCGGGCCGCCGCATCGCTCTTTTCTCCCTGCAAAAAGTAGTCCAGCACACCGAAGAGATCCAAGAGAGCGTTATCCAGCGGGACGAAATGGACCCAGGGCGCCAAGCGATCGTCGTGCCATTCGGCGAATATGGTGCTCTTGAGCGGCAGCGAGGTCGACAGCAGCAGACTCCTGAACCGCGCACTGAACGAGTTGCCGTCTATATCGGGTATGTATTTCCACTGGAACTGGTCCGGCATTGAAATGGAGTCCACCTCGCTGAAATACGGCTCTAGGTATCCGCAGTCGTTCTCCGGATCGCATTGCATGTAGGTAAACCCCGCATCGGAATGGCCCTGCAGCCACTCCTCCAGCGTGAGGTCCGGACAGGAGAAGTTGCGCACCCCGTCAGGCATATTTTCAAAGGTCAGGGCCGCAGACGGATGCCCCTGTTCCAACTCCGACACCGTCGTGCCGTTGAGCATCTGGACCAGTCGAAAGCGCTGGAAATGGAACCAATTGTCTTCCTGGAGCCTCCCACCGGAGCCAACGCCGCGCCAGATTACCCCCTCCTTCTTCTGCTCCCAGGGCGGTCCGTGATTCCACCCACCGCTGTAGCGCAGCTCGCCGGACAGGTACATGGCCCCGGGGATCAGGATGTCATTGTTCATCGTGAGCTTGGACCCGCCAAACATGGGCACGAGCTCCTGCGTCACCTGGATCCGGGCCCATTGCACGAATGCGCCGCTCATGTCCCTGAGGTGAGGTTGCAGACAGGGGTCCATCGATGCCGTGTAGTTCTTCACATATCTGTTCTCGGAGAAGGGCGGTCTCCATTCGTCAGGGAAGCTAGGTGGTGCCGAGAAGTCCTCGATGGCCGAGACGTTGTGTCCCGGTGTGTCCGGTGGGCACGTCTTTTGTGCGAGATCCCACAGTTTCGAGGCACCGGTTGTGATCCATTCCGGCTCTCTGATCTCTACTTCTTCGCCGGCGAGGTGCGCTAGCTTCGTGAACTCTCGTACGGTGCCCTCGGTCGGCGTGATCCGTTTGTTTCGCTCCGCTTCGGTCACCAAGAAATTGATCTCGTCCCAGGGGGCTAGGATTCTGCTTTCGTCCCAGTAGTTGATGGGCATGTCCACGTCAGGCAGCCAGGTTGCGGCTTCAGATACCAGACCGGTCCATAGCTGCAGCCAAGGCACGCGCCCGGTGGTATTCCCAAAGCCGTGGGCGGCACCATCACGGACCCTCACGACGTGTTCCCCATGGGCGGCATGTTTCGATATGACCCTCGGGTCCTGAGCCCAGAAGGGACGGATATCATGCTCAATGCGGTCGAAAAAACTCTCGATTATGATGGCATCATGCTTGGATGCATATTCGAACCACTTATCAAAGCCTGGCGGAGGATGTCTCCCTCTACGACTTCGATATCTGGCCGCGGCAGTACCGACATCATGCGAACGCTCAAGGAGAAGGCGGTCCTGAGCCTTTTTGGCATCCAGGATGAGATCATCTATTGCATGGCGCGTGGAGGAGCCGTCGCTGAGTAGTTCATAGTAGCTATGGAACACGGGTTGAGAGCGATGATATGAATGTTGCAAGGCGCTGGGACCATAGGAAGAGAAGAAAAAAAGATAATAGAGCACGACGAGGACCAGTAACAGGCCGTAACATGCGAGATTCCCCAGTGCGAATGGGGCCTTTCGTGGTACACGTCGTGAAAAGCCGTACGCAGAAAGCATCTCGCTCCGGGGGTATGCGAAGAGGAGAGGTCAGGAGGAAACACGAAACCAACGGCGCATGTGCAGTACTCGGCAAAATAAACATCCCCTCGAGGTTCTTACCCAAGGTACTACCCTACATGTGCTGTGCGGCACATTGAGACGAGCGTCGCACGAACCATGCTTACGTTCTTGCTAATAATATCCTCCCTACTGTGTACTGCGCCGTGATGCTGCACCGTGATTGCGACTCTGAGCACAGCAACCTAACGATCAACAGCCAAGAGCCAAGAGCCAAGACCTGCCAGAAGCCACCACCTGCAGCCAACACCAACAGAGAACAGCCAATAGCCAATAGACGGCAGTCATAAGTGGGACAACCAGTGTCACAACGAGAACGTGCATGAGAAGTGCTGCCATTGGAACGAGCCGCCTCCATCTAGGGCCCCACTCCGAATCAGCCTGAGCTGGAAGTCCTGAGGATCATTTGCAAGGTTGCGGTTGCATGTCAACAGGCACGTACACTGCATATGCAGCGTATCATCTCGTGCACAGGGCATTTTGGACCAGTTCTCCCATCAACGCAATGCTGGATCTGGTGGAAGGCGTCTTGCGTAGGCCTAGGTACAGTGGAGACGGTATGCGACATATCACACTCTTGAAATGGTCCATGAAGACAGTACCACCACGTCGGATCCAACGTCTTTGACAACTTAATTAATTATAACCGTTATAATTTATCAGATGTGAGGGTTCAAGGTGGTTGTGGTCAAGGTGATCTGTGCGCAGCTAAGGTGGGACTTGACGTGGTCCGAGCGCCTTGGAAACGGTTGGACGCTATAAAACTAAAAAAGGGAGCAGTGCTTTATCTTAGCATTAGATTAAAGACTAGCTAATGAAAAAGGGCTATTATAAAGCAGGTTAAGTAATAGCTAATCTCTGGTTTAAGCTTACGATACGGTCCCTTTATTATATTAAGACTATTCGTTATTTGAATACTTGTTTTTATCTCAATACTTTTTAAAGAATAATAATAATATTATTATCAAGATTATTAATGCTTATTACGTGCAAGCTATAGCCGTTAATAGCTAAAAGAGATAAAAGGAACTTAAAAAGGTAAAAAGGTGATTATTTTAAAAATGTTTAAAAGGTTTATTATTTACTATTATACACCTTAGGTATGGCTTAAAACTGCCTTGTTATATGATTTTTTAATAGGTGTATTACGGGTTTAGAATAGTCGTTAGTCGACTATTAATCAAACTAATATACGGCTAAATATTTTTTTAATTAGAACGTGAACGCTAACTTCGATAATAATCGCTGTTACGGCCTGCACAGACCTTCCCACATGACAAGCGGATGCTTCCTAATAGGGGAAGGATCTGACCAGAGGATCCCCTTAAAGGGGCAACCTCTCACTGTACCTATCTCTCTCTCTCTTCCTTTCCTCTCTAGTCTTGATATTCTCGTCAATAGAGTAATAGCTGCTTGCTGCTGGCCATGTCCCAGCTCCTCAATACGCTTGCCGTGACAGTATATAAGCTAGCGTTAAAGTTAACATTATATTTGCTTTTTTATATCGTTAATAAAAACTAAGTAGTACAACAGTTACCGTAGTCATTCAGTATTAATATCCGATTTTCCCTCAAATCTTTCAACCATAATACTTCTTTTTAATAATGAAATTAATTAAAAGCTAAATAATTATTAATGTAGTTAAAAAGAGTTATTATTAAATACGTTTTATTTACTAAACGATTATTTAGGTGCAGTTTTTAAGAACTTGATTCATATGATGATAAAAAAGAAAATAATATAACCACTTTTTGAAATGGCGTTTATAACAATACTAAAACTATGAAAATCTAGATTTTTTTTTAAGCGAAATATGTTAACATAAATTTAAGAAAATAATTCGATAATTAGTATATTATAGTAGAATTACGACTCGATATCGTTTTGGATAACTTTTATACTAATATCATATTAATATATAAACCTTAAATAACATTTAAACCCTTTTTGAAAAGTATTACTAACATATGGAATAATATAAATAAAAGTAAGTAATTTCATTTTAAAGTAAAAAAAATTTTTTATGACCATTTATATATCGCTATGCTTATTATAAATATGCCGTTTTATTACGCCTGTTCGCTTTCATTAGTTAAATATTTACTTTGATAAACTTTTTATGAATTATTTAAAAACAAATAAATATTTAGAAGTTAAATTAAACGTTAAAGGTTAAGTTTCTTCTCATAATAATACGTTATAGTTATTATTTTTAAACTTAAGCTTCATGACTTTAAACTATGTGTGAAAAAACTATAAATTTAAGCCGAAAAACTTCTTATAAAGCTTTTTTAAAATAAAATAATTATTTTTTTCTTATTTAACGATAATAAGTTTTACGGGTCATAGTTTTAAAAGGCTTAAAGTATCGGAGTTTATAATAAAGTAATTAAGTACGATAATTAAAACTTATCGTAATATTCGTAACACTCGGTAATTTAGAATTTACGATATAAGAAAAAAATCGATTCAACGTAAAAAATCTTTTTTTTCGTTACAATTAAGTTTTTAAAAACGATTCAAATATAACTATGCAGAAATGTATTATTATAAGCTTTTAAAAATGATATTAAGGGCTTAAGTCACGTTTTTAAGGCGTTTTTTTTAAAGAGTAACGTACGTCACAAGCGAGCGAGGCACACTAGCGAGCGAGACACTTTTACCAACTTGCCAAACTTTTAATTTCTAACCTGTATTTCCCTACCCACAACAATGGCACCGTATTATAACTAATCAGATATGCAGGTAGCTGTCCAAAAAAAAAAAAAAAAAAAAAAAAAAGACCTTTACATTTTTGTTCAAAAACTTGCTAAAATTTTCTACCTTCCAATCTCTACACTGACTGAAAGAATTGCCGGCCGACCATCACAATGCGACAGTATGCCTAATTCTTTGGAACTTACAGTTTCTGAAAAGAATGCTATTTGTTCCTTTATAATTGACCTAAATGCGCAAACCTTTCTTCCTTAGTATATCAGTATTAAAGATATAACAAATCAATTATTAGCGGCATGTTGGGCCAGACGCGTCAGAAAGGACTGGACGGCAAAGTTCATTAAACGTATACCAGGCCTCCAAACGCGTTTTCATCAAAGGATGAACTACTCAAGGATCTTAAACAAAGATCCAGATATATACCGCGCGTGGTTTCACCAGGTTATGGTGACAGTCGCAAAATATAGTATCTAAGACACGGATATTTATAACTTTGACAAGACTGTTCGCGATGGTAACGATCTCGGACCGAGTCTTTCACCTCGTTGTTGAGCTGTATACTGGGAGGCAACGATGATTTCTGGGCCGTGCTAACTGGGCTGATGTGTTCAGAATCTCTGCCGCCTAGCTTGACAAATAACGTTGCGCATTTGTTTGCCCGTTAGATTTGCTTATTTTCAGCATACGAACATCGAGCGCCTTAGACGTCCCAACCGAGAGGGAGTACGTCGCATGCCGCACAGCGACGAACATCGCACGGTTGGCTGCCCAGGCGAGTGGCTTCTAGCTTGCCCATCAGGGCCTTATTGTCTTGAGGTCTGACATGTATGATGACTATAGAGCCACGTATCTAACGGTAGCCCTATGGCTGACCGCTTGCCTTTACCCGTCCTGTCGGTATTGGCCAACCCCCCCAATCTATCAGCCCAGCTCCGTAACCTGTATGCCTTCTATCATGCCCGACACCAAACGCTTGACCAAAACATCATATCCACTTCACTGTCTAATATCAAGGCCAATCGAGTAAAAATACTCGCAACGCCTCCTCGTCGTGTCGTCCACTAACTCCATCCGCGTCTTCCCACCCGTCTCAAACAGCAGCCTGTCCTGCGCGCGCTCGCTCCACACCTCCCAGATCGCCGAGCCCGGGTACCTATACCGATTCGGGTCGAAACTGCGTATGAAGCTCGTCCAGTATGCCTGTATCACAGGCACCACAGCCGCATTTGTGCCATTCCGATAATAACTCGCCGGGGCAGATCCCGCATACCCCAGGTTCTCGGGCCCGAAAATGGCGTTCAGCTCGACCGTGTGCGGCACGCCGAGGCCCTGCGCCACCTGCGCTGGGTCCTCGACGTCGTAGCGGTAGCTGTACGACCGCGCAACGCCGTGCCGCGTCATCGCCGATGAGATGTACAGCCCCGGACACATGTACCGCATCTGGCCGTAGACGTCCGAGACCTGGCGCCAGTAGCAGCCCGCGCTGGGGCACGTGTCGTTCTGTTTGGGATAGAGGTCGTTGATCTTGCCCAATTGCTCGAGCGACAGGTAGGGAAATTGCGACTTGAGGAACGAGTCGCTCTCGGCGAGGGTGGACGTGTCGCGCGGCGTGAAGATGGTGCCGCCGTTGGTGTCGTCGCCGAAGATCGCGGGGACCTTGACGAACTTGCCCTCGTCGAAGGCCTTGTATGTGTAGTCTCTGATGATATCGTTGTCGATGACGGGGTTCCACATGTACAGGGGTGCTTGCGCCGCGCCTGGGTATGGTATCGGTGAGTTCACCGTCTGTAGCTCCTCGGCCGTCTTCGATTTGAGGCATGCTAGCGAATTGGCTGCTACGCAGCCGGCCTGGATGGCGAGGTTGTCGTACTGGTATTGAGACTCTTTGATTGTCAAAACGGTTGCAAAGGACACTGACTCCGCTGCAGCTGCGTCAAACAGGTGGTCATCCCTGCCTCCGAATGCTGCCATTTGCAAACTGATGCTCGCTGCGCCGGCCGAGTCACCGCCCAGCACGACATGGTCCGGATCGCCTCCGAAGCGCGAGATGTACTTCTGCACCCACTCCAGCGCCTTCCTCTGATCCCTCAGCCCGTTATTCGGAGTGATGGCGTCTCCATCGGTGATGAAACCGTACGGCCCTACGCGGTAGTTGAACGTCACCACGATGATGGAATGCCCACTGGCGGTAATCAGACCCCGTCCGTCGAGGTCCGGATTGGAATTCGAGTTGAATCCCCCGCCTTGGATGAAGAAGAACACAGGCAGCTTGGCGTGGCTAGTAGCGTTGGTTGGCGCGTACACGTCGAGGAACAGGCAATCCTCCGACGTCCTGTTGTCGGCCGGGTCACCCTGTGTCTCGAGACATATCTTGCCGTGCTGTCGAACGGTCAGTACCAGTCGATGATAATGAGAGCTCGCGCTTCGAGCCACGCACTTACGGTGTCTGCTACCTGCAACGCGCCATTACATGAGGTATCTTCTGGGGGCATGAACCGGAGTTGTCCGACCGGCGGTGCAGCATATCGCATCCCCAGCCATTGAGTGATCCCATATGGCTTCGCAACCCCGGTGTACTTGTTGCAACCCAGCTCGACCGTAGGACTGACCGCTGCACCGACGGAGAAGAGTAGGCATAGCGCAGCACGAACCAAGTATTGCAGCGCCATGGGCATATCGGAGGCATCAACGTCGTCCTGTTCAGGACGCTACTGCTAGGAATACCGAAACCCAGGAAACCATCTCGTCTCGAGGAGCTGGTTTCGTGGGCTTGATATACCCCCGAATGAAATGAACAAGTCACCGGGATGTTTGTCACACTCACCGCCATTATCATCCTACGTCGACATCACCCGCAGTATGTAGGCCCCCTTCTCCTGCGACCAAATGTGCCGTGTGATAAAAATCTCGACAGACGCAGGCCGCTGCATGACATCCAAAGGGGCTCGCTCGCCACCACGTGGCGGGCGTGTGTCGAGTGTGCCACAAGCACATGCCGGTCGGTCGGGGTCGCGGCGTGCATGATTCATGTACATGGTGCGAGTGGGCCAATCTGCGAGGCGGATTTCGGTTGCTGGGAGTTGGGGATACGCGGGCGGTGACTGTGGCCCCCGGGTTATTGCGGCTCGACTTGCATCGAGGGTGCAGCTTAATGTTACCTCGCATCAGACGTGAATGTCACCACTCACTCCGACATAACTAGATCGAGGAGTGTGGGTGGGGCGGACCATCTTACTCTAATTTATGAGGTATGAGCCGTGCTATAGCTGAGAACCATCTCCGGGGGTGGCATGTCAAATCAAGCTTTGAGCCCTGTCGATATTCCCTAGGAGAAGATGCCACATAATCGTATCTCTGCCTCGATGCTGTGGTTGGTCGACAATTCCTGGAATACAAACAGGTCTGAGTTGGGGTAGGTAGTCTGACTCCGTCATGCGTGTATGTCATCAACCACACATCTTTCCATCGTAGCATTCAGGTAGAGCATCCCTAATAACGCGTTGTTTACCATGCACGCGCAATGAGCTCGACACCCTCAAGGCAAATGTTCAGAACCCCCTTACACTTTGGGGTAGATGATGGAACCCGTTGGACGGCGTGTGACACATGGTAGTAGTGAGAGTATATCGCCGATTAGGTTCAGTTCCTTACACTGGTGGCCGTTGCCGGCTTGGCAGTACCCATCAGGCGCCCCTATTCCGAACGCCATGTGTCTCAAGTCATCTAGCGATGTCCGTACGTGTCCGGTTTGAGGATGATAGAGTCCAAAGTTCCAGGCCCTTGGTTGCCGAGAAGTTCATGACGGCCGCTGCCATGCGAGCATAGACTCAGCCCTTTACACTTCTAGAGACCAGCACAATTGCATGGAACGCAAGCAGGAGCCTCGCGCAGTACTCTCCCACCAGGAATGCCGTGCGTGGAGAAATCCAGAAGAATGCCCTCTGAAAAACCGCTGGAAGGGAGACCCATCCAAAAAGCCAGAAACCGTCTGCAACATGGCCACGCGCCGTAGCCGACAGTCGTCCTGGGCCGTGCATTAGACCCTGCCCTGCGGCACCCCGTTGCAGAAATGACGTAGCGACTTCGACTTGATAGAAATGTGCTCGTGAAGAGAACGACGCGATCTTCGCATCGCCCTATACCCCGTTTTGTCCCCCAAGGCCGCGGTGTACTAATGCGGAGCTCGTTGTCGAGCATTTCGAAAGAAAAAACACGCTGAAGGATGATAAGTTTGTCAGGGCGACTAGGCAAGAGGTCGTCGAACTTCAACATCGCCAGGTCTGAGAAATGACAAGGATTCCTCCAGGTGCCACATCGACTTGGGTATTGGCGGTGTCCAGATGGACCCTGTGTTGCGTGCCATCACGTCCTCTCAGCAGAGTACATACTCCTTCAGAGGTAGCTCGAAACCGGTCCAAAGCTCGTGCAGCTCGTACTCCATAATATTTGGGACTGACACGAATCCTCGAAATTCCCAATGCTTTCCACTCTTGCGGAGCATCAGCGGCAACCTTGCTCTTTCAATCAAGACGATCCTGTCTCCTGGTTCTGGTAGCCCTCGAGCCAAACCGATGAATCCATTCTCTGTCGCGAAGAACGATGCTTCTCCAGTCATCGGCCGAAACCCAGTCGGCTCGATACCTTGACCATCTAGGCAGTATCTGGTGTGGTTCGTGTAGTCAACGTGAGGTGGCATCTCCGTAAGCTTCTGGGCTGCAAGACGGTGAGGGCTTCCAGCCAACACGACTCTAGTAGCCTTTTCCCAACTCTCCAAATAAGCAACAATTGATTGATCAGTCGCGTAGCCGGCCTTGGCCTCTCCTAAAGGGGGCATCACAAGCCCATAGCCAGAAGGAACCACCCGGACACGATGAGGATCTATACTTGTTGCGCCAGCTTCAGATGGCCTTATATTCGTCAAAAGCGAGCTATATGTCTCTTCCATGAGGGCGACTACAGCATCGAATCCCCCTGAGAACCGCCACTTCTCCCCTGTTAGGTAACCCTCGAGCTTGTGAGCACAGGTGACTGAAGCCAAATCGATATCCCAACATGTCAAGAAGGAACAGTCGGCGCTCATCGTGGGGTCTGTTCTATGTTCGAACTCGGATAGTGACCAGAGGATGTATTCATCCAACGGCTTGAAACGTAAAGATGATTCTCTCGAGAAGAGCGTTGCCCATGAAGGCAGCAGATCCAAGTTGTTGAAAGCCGCAAACGACTCGGCACCACGCTCTCCGGGATTGGCCAACGCAGATAGCTGCAAGATGTCTAGACTCCGCGTAGCAGTAATCGCAACAGAAGTCGCAGCTGCGAAAACTTTCCATGTGGGCGCTTCATAGTCCACCCCAACCTGCTCAGATTCTCTAGGATCGACAAGTCCAAGGAGAGAGTAGACTCGATCCCTGACGTCGGTAGCCGCAGCGCCGCAGGTTGCATGAACAAGTTCAAACAGGGTCGGATACATCGTGGGAATGAGTGTTAATCTATCCCCAGAATGTCCGTGTTTGAGTATCTCGAGGTCCTTGAGTCTTTCCAAGAGGGTCGCCACGTTTTCAAGAGGCCACAAGAATGGTTTGGGGCAAGGCTGCGGAGCGAGCATCGCCACGGTTCGAAGGTCGAACTGTTCCACTCAAGCTGCGAACGACCGAAGCAGAGATAGATCTTTTGCGCCAACATGTATTCCTGGATCACCCAGCCCCTCTCATACCAGATAGGCTCCGTCCTGGCCATTGCTTCGCTCAACTGTAGTAAAGGTTCAGACATGAGGTTGCTGCACAGCATGCGCAAAGATTGTGAATGTTCAAACCTGAGCTTGCTGCATAAATTGCGCAGAGATTGTGAATCATAAACCGCACTTCGCATCTCATAATCCTTCGATATCTCGTCAAAGAGATGAGGCTTCGCGCAAAACCGGATTAACAGTTCTGGAATAGCAACGGCACGTTGAACAACTCGCACAATCGACCTGGCCATGGTGGTCTCACCGAGCCATATGTTAACATGCAACGCTGCTCGGTAGATGTCTCCCATCATGGAGACTTGTGTGCTTCGTTCAGCTAAGTCGAGCTGATTGATGCAGATTGCATCTATCCAGATTGTTCGCGACCGTCCCGTTCGTGGTCTAAGATTCCCCAATGCTCGGTACAAATTGTCAGTAACAACCATCTCGTGCTCATACACGGTGCCATTTCTGAGCTCCCTCTCGACGAGAATCTTGTGTTGATTCTTCTGAGTCCCCCATGTGTATGACAATGCTTCGTAAGGCGCCATTTCATTTTTGTATGCCGTGATAGACACAGTGCGAAGGCGGCACCTGATGTCGCTTCCGAATCTGGAGGCTCCGAAGAGGTCAAGCATGCAAATCTCCTTCTTTGCGGCATCCAGCGGTCCGTAGAGACAAACTTCCGTCTTACTTTGAGCAACCTCGAGCTGCTCCTCGGGTATAGAGCAGGACATATCGTCGTCGATATTGTTGCGTGCCGCTTGCCAGTCAAAGCTTGGTGGCACAGGAGTCGTGGTCAAACGAAGATACAGGTGCTTTCGTTCGGTCACAGCAAGTAGTCGTCGCAGGTGCGGCCGCTTTGTTGTACCATTGCCGCGACGCGATCAGGCAGTGGAATAAGATCAAGAAGGTCTGGGGCCAGACGATGAGAGGCCTCTGCTGAGGCTGGGGATGGGGCTGAGTGGATTTGAGTCCCAAAACGGCATAGTGCAATGACCTGTGACATTTGCCGCCGGCTCTTCGCCTGCAATACACCACACCGATGGTGGTGATCTGCTCAAGCCGCCGTGGCGTTCAGGGAGGTGGCTGTGCACTAACAGGGCCAATAGGGCATTTTGGGGCCACCTAGCCCACCTTCCGTTTCGGAGGCACCCATTGGAGGATGGTAGGCTGTTGTTAGCATGGCGAACTGCGAAGTATGTTGATCTGCAGGTCTAATGGAGGAGAACTCGTTATGAGAGGAAAGACGCGACCGGTTTATCTTGTCCGCCCGCAAGGAAGTCATCTTATCTGCAGGAACGTTTCAATTGCCGCAGCTGTTAATAGTATCCGGCAACGGCCCATCTGATAGTCTTGCTCTTGTACCATCGTCTGCCCGGCTGAGTATTGGGGTTCTGCTGCGGTGGGCGGGCGCGCGAGGTGGTCGATTCGAGGGATGTGTCGGTCGCGTCGTTGATTTCGAAGACCTGGAGGGAGAAACGGCGTGTGTCTTGTCGGTCCATTGGTGGGTTTTGGATGGTGTCGGTTGATGCCAGGCTGGCTCGGGGAGGAGGAGATGTTCGAGATGCTCGGACAGCATGGTGACGTTCTCTTTTGCGACGAGTGGAGGAGGGACGGGATGGACGTAGGGCGGTTCGTGGGGGGATCTCAACTTCCATTGATCTTGGGGTAGACGTCCTAATATAGGCAAGTCTATCAGGTACAAAACTTAGCCTTCGGAAACTGTCGATTGACATTCGGATGCTAGGTAAACTTTCAATCTGTCAGCAGTCCCAACCACAGTGCAACATTCAACCATTCACGAATAGAAACCAACCTTACAAGCCATGACCTGAATTATCATCTAGGGTAGACACAGCTAAGACACAGGGCAATTCAGTTTAAGCTGATGGTAGCACTGCAATATGAACTTCTCCAGCCTTTTCATTGCAATCAACCCCGTTCTTACATAGGACAACGCCAGTTTTGGATATATAGTAACAACAGTTGTCTACCTGTCCATAGGTCCTCACGCCAGCTTTGGGTATCATAGGTGGTCCTTGTGCCGGGCCATCAGTCCATCAATCATACAATTATACAATCCTCCGTGCCAATTCCTTGTGCGCCAGCCGGTCCGTAATCCTTCACACCGACCAAACCTGCGCGATTCTCTTCGCGAAAGCATGAAAGCGTGAAACGAGCAACCGGTCCGTAACGCCACGCTTTGTCAAGTCGAAACCAAGCCATTATTCCCAAACAACAATCAGTGCAGCACGTCGGTGTTCTTCTTTGGGAGTGATCGTGAGCGTATTGGATCGAGGGCCTGCTCATAGTATCGTTCTTCCCGAGGCTCAAGGTGTCCTTCATGGAGTTCCGTGTGAAGTTGTTCGAGCAATATCTGCAGCCCGTACTCGTTGCTCTCGACGCTCCCGGCAACCAATACAGACATGATGAAATGGCATTTCCAGCGTTGGTTCCCAATCCTCCCGCAAGTCTAGGCATATCATAAGTCTGCCTTGCCAAACCGGTCGCCCGGACCCAAACTCTGCACCCAGGGCCTTGGAGTGAGTAATGGCCTGGTCGAATCTCTTCTCGGACACCTCGAAAGCATTATCGAGAAAGACCCGTAGCGGCGATTTCTTATTTCTGGCATCCTCTGCACTGATATCTGCGCCTTTCGATGTGAGCAGACTGAGGGCCGTTTTGAACCAATCAATGTTGAAAGCCCAGATCTTCCTGAATCCATTACTATTGTCAATCTCGTTCGAAATAGTACGGGCCAGAACATGCAGTGCGGTTTCGCCTGCATCGTCTCGGTGGTTCATATCGAGGCCAGGTCTTGACACAGCCTCGATCCATTCGCAACGCTACTTTATGTCCATTATGGCGCTGCGCTGGTCTGCCAGCCAGTGCAGACATGTTCTGCCATCAGGACCTTTGATGTTGATATCACCACCGCACCGCACGAACCATGAGACAAGGCGGCCTTTCTCTGCCTTAGTGGCGGATCGTATGTATCTCCAGCCTCTTCCTTTCAGTGCCAGCCACAGCATCGGTGTCATGGTGTCGTTCAAGATACTCGGATCGGTTCCAGCAGGCAAGAAGTCGTCTGCGACTGGAAAGAAGTCCAGTGGGTAATAAGTTTCGAAACCGGCCATGATACGATGTAGAGCTGTTTGGCCTGAAGTATCTCTCGCAGTGCGGTCAACTCCAAGACAGACCAACATCTTCGTGATGCCCCTCCACTTGTCGGTGAGATCGCGCCAGGAATGATTGATAGCATCACCGACTTCATGTAGCAGGGTGCGTCCATTTCGCACATTACTGACGTCGGCGCCCGCCAGGATCAGCCGGATCATGAGGGTCATTTGACGCTTTTTGCAGCTAGCGATGATCATCGGGACTCTTTGATTATGGTCACCTCCATGATCTCTCTTGTCGACCATGTCATTGATATCGGCACCTTTCCGGGTCAAGAGGCGTGTCATGCTCATGAAAGAGCAGCTGTACAATCCATACAGCAACGGCGTGTGATCGTCATTGTCCTTGGTTTCAAGGTTTACACCTTGATCGAGCAGGGTTTCCACAATGTCCTCGTGCCCAAAGAGGGCGGCAAGGTGGATGGGCGTCCACCCAGTGGGCTTGGAGTCATCCTTGAGATCTTGCCACTGGGTCTGAGTGCATGCTTCTATCTGAGAAAGCTGGAGGCATGAAAGGAGGCGTGACGGAATGGGTTAAGAGTAGGTCGGTGTAGGGAGTGGGTGTGGCACAGCCTCTGTGATGGTAGATTCGAGATCGCTGGGGACGGTGGCGAAGTTTGGCTGATGACGTTCCGTGCCAACTGCTACCATGTACTTCAGGATATCAAGGCGACCGTAAGCTGCTGCGTAGAGTGCTGCACCCGATCCCTCGTAGGCGATGTTGTTCTGATACAAGGCTTCGGTAGCCCAAGGACTCCAGTGTCGGTTCACCCGGGACAAGGCCAGGAGTGTCTGGTTGTCATCGCAGTATCGTGCGACATACTTGACAATCTCGGGACCCAGTGTTGCCCACTCCATCGTTTCTGATGCTTCAGGGTTAGGCTACAAATAGAGTCAGTAAAGAAAGCGCTAACTTCGCATGTAGCATAAGCAACTGTTGACGGGTTGATTCCACTGTAATCGCCCGAATACGATGGCAACCTGGTGCTTATACCACTTGTAGGACCTGGCGGTGATGGCACCAACAGACGAAGTGGTATTGTGCTTGGGATTGATGTAGATGAGAACTTACCTTCTGTGTTAGAGGTAACAAAGCGCGTCCAAAGCTGATGGCTAGACGGAGTAGTAGACTCGGATGATGACTGTGAATGCCGTAAACATTTAACGAAAGCCGCTTGTCGAAAATATGGGAGAGGGCGTGATTCTGACGATACAGCGCGTGTTGACAGCAGACAGCAACATTAACATGCGATGTGGTAGTGCTGACAACGGTCGCTGGCGCTGACATGCGATGTGGTGGTGTTGAGGTGGTGGTGTTGAAGTGCAGGCCGTGGGCAAAAACAACATCTAGGCACGAGGTACGAAGCCCAAGGCATGCGAATTGTGGTCAAGGTCAATCCAAGAGTTATGTTATCCCACACAGCGGATTCTCCACCTAAGTGGTACAGAGTACCTCAGGGGAGCTTTGAAAGGAGAGAAATTTCTCAGCCACACGCGTGGTTGACGCGTCCAGGAGTGGCCCGTGCGGGGCTACCAGCTCGTTCAGGGGAGCCGACGTTCTGGCACCTGGAGCAGGCTGGCTTCAGCGGGGGCGGGGGGAGGTAACCAATGACGCCCATTTCTTACGCCAAATATCTATATAGTAACTATCAAGGTGAACACGAAGCATATCCTGCCTATATAATGTCAGCAAGAACCAGCTCGGACTCTCGCGAGCTACCCGGTCTAAAAGATGGAACGCAGAAGCCGTGAGCCAACAACCAGTTGGTCCAGGGCAGCACCTATACCAGCTCGATATCTGGATTGTAGTCAGCATTAAAAAGGATCAAAGTTTGCGGTTGCTGGGTTTTATTGTATAATAGCATTCCATGGGAATCAAGACGACTCCTGGCCGCTCAGCAACATGACTGCTCCGACCTCTGCAGATGTTTCCTTGAGAAACGACGTCATTCCCAGGACCCGATCCTTTGTTGTGCGCCCAACATCCTCTTAAGAAATCCCTTGAAAGTGTAGCACCAAGCAAGTTGATGTACTGACTAGAACAAATTGTGCCTCTTCGGGTCAGGCCGGCTTATGAGGTCGATCATCCTTAGACAGGCGCAAACCCGGTGCTGAAAGGTAGACGGCACAAAGCGAAAGCTTAGATAACGAGTTGGTTGCAAGAATGATAGTAAGATGATGTGACAGTGCGGTTGCGGGACTCCCTGTCGACTAGCCTCCGTGGAATTTGCAACTGCCGGCCTGCCAAACAATGTCTGTTTGGGGGGTCGGAAGCCAGGTGTGTGAGGCTGCATGCCTCCAACGGCGGTCGAAGCTAAATAGAAGCTCTTGTCAGCAAAATAAGGTTGAGTGGTGCCGCATAGTCTGGCAGTCAGGACGCTACTGACTCATGGGAGTATCGGGATATTTCCTAGCAATAGAGTTCGAAAATGTCCCGAAGCCCGCTTGATAAGTAAGCGGTCTGAATCGTGTTGTGCCTTCGTCTTCTCCTGGCTGTGTATATGATTTGGGCTGTTCGTCCACAACAAGATCATGCTGGCGATTGTCGTTGTGCTACAGCCTTTCTTTTGTTAGTGCTCACCACTTTCTTTTCCTGGACACCGAGGAACATAGGCCTAGCAGGGTACCAGCCCTCGCAACCGGTGTTCAAACCTGTGATCCAGGCCTTTTCAGATACTGCGGCAGCTCCTGTAGTCGCCTAGGTCTGCAGCATGGCAGGGAACGAGGGTTTGTTCGTGCCGCCATGGTACCAGGCCCACGAGGTGTACCGGCTCGACATGAACGTTGCAAGCATCTTCTGGGGTATCTCGCTTGCGACCGCGATATTCTCAGCAGCAAAAGCCAGCCGGCAAACCTGGCGGACTTGGACGCAGATGCATCGGGTCACCGCCTACATCGTTATGGTATGGGGCGAATGGGTGGCCTGCGTGGCCATGAGCTTCTTGAGTTGGTTCCATCTCTGGGGAGATATTGAACCGGGGTTCTGGCTCTGGTTCTGGATTGGTGAGTGCGCCAAGAACTTGACCAGGAATGCACACGCTGACAACATCTCTTCCAGCTTTTATATGGTGCTTTCAGGTCCAGTTTCTGAGTGAGTGAAGCACAAACCCTCCATCAAATGTGGCCGACAATCGTGGCTGTCGGGTCACCCAGCGGTAGCTTCTTCTGACATTTCGTCATGTAGTGCAGATCATCATCGACCGAATCGCAGTCTTGATGATTTTACCAAGGCGCGCACGCATGTTGAGGTGGACCGTCTTTGCTATGATCTTCATGATAAACATAGCTGTGTTCATCGTCTGGATACCGTGTCGGCTTCAATGGCCGGGATGGGTTATGGTGAATAGGGTGTGGGACCGCATCGAAAAGTCGATATTCCTGATCATCGATGCTTGTCTGAACCTGCTCTTTATCCACCTGGTGCGAACCCAATTATTGGCAATTGGCTTGGTCAAGTACTATCCGCTGTTTCGCTGCAATATCGCCATGATCTTCCTCTCTGTGTCGTTGGATGTAGGTCTTTCTACAGTCACAACTGTGTTGGCATCGCTAAAAGCTTGTAGGTTGCCTTAATAGGCCTCATGTCCTTGCCGACTCCGACGACGTACATCCAGTTCCAGTCACTAGCGTATCTGGTGAAACTGCACGTCAACATGCACATGGCCGACTTGATCCGAAAGATAGTGCGCGCCTCCAACGAAAGGCACAAGGCTGCCCGCGGGATGGGATGCAGTGGCGGAGCTTTCCAATCCAAACCCTTAACCCCGCCAACCATCTACTCGGGTCAGCAGCAGGTCATGACATCGGTCAGATCCTCCGGTGCCAGCGTCATGGAGGAGCATGTACCAAACCACTCGGCCTATGCTGAACATTGTGTCCAAGATGTTGAGCAAAGTGAGAGCGGCGCTGTGTCACTTCCTCCCCCAGGAGCAATACAAAAAACAGTTGTCACCACAGTGGCGCATCATCGCCTTGTTGAAGAGGATATCACCGAAGCCAGTGATGCTGGTTCGACAAGATGGCTGACGTACCCGGCTGATGATCTTTTCGGCTTCGTTGGTTTGGACGAGCGTGGTGAAGGCAGCAGCCGGAGACCGAGTCTGAAGGGCAGCAACCGGAGACCGAGCTTGTATCCAATCACTGGATAGATATTAACCTAGAATAAGTACCATGGTATAGACGATACGGTTGTTTGAGCCGCCCCGGCGAAATGATCAGGCCTGGGGGCAAGAGGCGGACTGGTCTTTCCGCACCAGGGTCATTCCACTGTTGCACCTTTCTCACGCCATGATGTTAACATGGGGAGACGCTTTCCTAGTTCAATGGCATAAACGCTCTTCGTAGTCAAGCGTAGAAGCTAATATGGGAGACTGATGTTGTGTTAGAAAGGAGGCGATTGTGCGTAAGGAATCTGTCGCGGCCCGCATCGTGACATGTCAGTTGTGGCTGGTGAATACGGCTTGTTGTGGCTCAGCGCAGACCTCTTCTCACGGTATTTGCTGTAGGTATGTACACAGTGGTCATCCCCCTGAGCATCACATATGTCCGACATTCTAAATTTCGGCGACTGGGAGCACTCAGTGAGCACTTTCCGATGCATCTTGAATTCAACCTCCGAAGAGCGCGCCCTGAATCCACAGGACTCTGCAAGGCTCTAGGAGGCGCTAATGGGCCCTGTAAATAGAGGGGCAATGGGGCAATGGGGCAATGAGCCGATGGCGGGGGTAGAGACCGGTAACAGATACGATTCCCGTCGCCCGATATCCATATGGGTCAGCCGATGACCCACCACCTAATTCTGACCTTAGAGATCGTCTTGTTGCTGTGACCAGAGGCTGGCAGCTGGGCTGGACCTGTTGGTAGAGATGGCTTGGTGGTTAACCCGCTGTCAGGTGGCTGTCAGGTGGCTGACTAAGGTAAGGTGCAAATAGGAAGACTCTTAATAATACACACATCCACTGGGACCTTCAATGGATGGATGTACAGGTGTTGATGGCAGGGTACTTGTACCAAGACAATTCAGAACCACATGACATCAATACAACCGGGCTGGTTGATTCAAGTTTGCACTGTGGTGTCTAGGACTCACGTGTATCTGCAATGGTGATAGGTAGAACTTTACGCGATGGGAACTTTTTTATTTGTAAGAACAGGCATCATATTGGTTACAAATCAATACCCCTAGCATTTGGAACCGTTAATCATTACCATCCTTGCTACCTGTAGTGTAATTGGTTCCTGTAGGAACTAGCTAATCAATCTTGGAGATTCACCTCGAACAGATGCCTCGAACAGATGCCTACCATTTCATGGGAAATTCGTCCAATCAATATTTGGTCTTCTCGATACTTAGCCCAAAAAGCTTGTGACCGTTTTATTGTTCCTTGTACATAACCCTGTTGCATCCACTCAGGGATGGCGAACTTGCCAGTGTCCCCGAAGGCCGGGGACAGGGGCCGTTGTGAGCCGGTCATGTGGTACCTGATGGTACACAACGCTGGCCCTTCTATCTCCGTTCAGGGGCCAAGATAAAGTGCAGCCGGCTTAGCCGGCTGCTCGGCAAACTTGTCTTCTTGTCCCATGAGTTATACATAGAATACATGTGCAATCTTTAGCCGCGGAGATCGCACTTAGCTACATATATCACTATTTTCACTGTGTTGTGCTGTGGGGGCTATACATGTCCTGTTGCTATGAAACGATCACCACGTATTCTTCCCATTCCATCGCAATGGAGCCACACGTCCGTATTTACTAAGTACTCACACTGCACCTTCTTAACGACTTGTCTTTAAATAACTCCAGAAGTGTCTCCTTGTCGTCACGGGAACAGCTCACAGGGAGTGCCACCCCCCTTGTGCGCGGCATGGTAACAATCCTATGTGTCACTTCCAACACGAGCTCTCATGATGTTTCTCTAGCAACGTCATTGAGGTTGAATCTGGCGATGGGAGGCCAGATTTAGAAACAAACCCATGCCCCGAATACAAAAGTGGCAATCTATATTTGTACTATGGCGGTTGATCCGTGAGAGTAGTTCCACTCGAGTGAGCAGGTTTGGACTCCAACGATGAGAAGAAGCCAGATAGGAGTTCTACGGACCAGCTTCACAGCAGTGTCTGACGTTCGTGGCGACTTGCCACCCGGTGTTGGCCAATACATGTGACGATGTTCGACCAAGCCTACAGGCCGCCCTTGAAGAGGATTGGATTAGACTCGGTATAGGACGACTGTGCCCTAAGTCAAAAGATGGATGACATTCGTGACGTAAGGGCGGTAAGTACGGGCTAGAGTTCCCCCATACTCACAGGCTTCAACATAAAAGCTGGACGGTTCCCCCGTGGAGATAGCTTGTCGAACAGAAACACACAGAAACACACAGACAGCAATACTCGCACCCACACCAATACTCGCATTCACATCAATACACACACACACACACACACACACACACCGATTCGCACACACAGACCGCTAGCGCAAAGAAATTAGCACGGCAACAACGTACATCTGCAACTATCCTTCATATCAACCAGTATCACCAAGACCATTAAGATGAAGTCCTCATTCACTGCCGCCGTTGTCGCCATCCTGGCCATTACTGCCCACGCTCTGCCCAAGCATATGGGAGGAGATGATGGAGATCTCGTAAGTGTTCCTACCCAGCGACCAGGGAGTCTAGACGTTGCTGACCCTTTGTCAGAAGGCGAACCATATAGGGGGGGGGGGGGGTAAAGATGTGTGTTGTTATGCAGAGGGCTACAGTACTAATCAGGCCTAGAGGCCATATATATGTACATGTATGATTCCTTTGTTCCCAGAATATGCTTCCTGACACCCTTCCCAAGACCCCGGGCCAGGAGGCAGCCATCGTGAAAGCGGCGGGCCATCTGAAAAATGAAGGAGGGCGACGGCGTTGAGGTCAGCTACAATCACAACAAGCTGCAGGAGATCAACCCGGAGCACCCAACACACGTCGTCGATGAGACCGACCTCGACTCGGACTTTGACGACCGCAATAAGAGAGACGTAGAAGATCGCGAGGACCTCGAGGCAAGGGCAGACGTCGGCAGCACTCCAAACCGCCCGCGAGACCTGCTGGTCCCGAGGGGCGTGTGTCCTTATGGTTCGTGCAATTACGACAGCGACTGTGAAGGCATTTACGCGATGGGGTACTGGGAAGACCGTTTGTTCATCTACTGTCACACTTGCGATCCACGGGAAAGAGTATGCAAGCCCGCATGATTGGGTGCGATGTAAGGCCTACCTTAATGGGAGCCGAACGTTGATAGGGGGGTTGGGGGAGCCTGCGAGAACTAGAGGCTTGTCACTCATTGATTACATGGTGTTGTGTTTAGAACAGACCGTCGTTGCCTCCAAAGCCAAAGGGCTGCCACACCTTATAACTGTACAATTAGCTAGACTCATGTTGGATATCTGCGAATAAAATCTCCACTGGTGTTGAGTACAGCAAAGGGTTTCATGCGTGAACTCTTAACGGCGGGGGCATGAAGTTGGGACAGCCCCCAAGTTGTGACAGTTTCCCCACCAAAAGGCCACACTTGTACCCCCAGATAACTGTATCTGTATTGAAGCTATAAATTATATAATAAATGACTTAGAACCGCCTTTTCTTGGTATTTTCAGCAATATTAGTTGTTCACGCGGTAGCGCGCTGGCTGGCGGATCGCGCGGTGTGAAGATCGCATCAAAATGGGCTCGTCGGACTCCTTATCTGTGCCATCACCCTCTTCGTCAATGGCAACCCCTTGATCCTCAGAGGGCTCCAATTCCTCTAAATCTTCTGAATATGACTCCTTAGATTCCTTAGAAAGAGATCTCTCTGATTCATCAGTATGTAAGTTCTACAATTCACGCAAAACTCGTCGTCTCTCCTCCCGCTGTTCTATAACAGCTTGTGTGGCCTCTATATGCTCGATTTGCTCTGTAATAACGTTTTTAATCTTTTATAGCTATTGGTCTGGCTCTTCCTGAGGGGCCTTATAGCGCTTTTTTGGTTATATATGCTCAATTTTAGCAGAACACCAAAACAAAAACAACTATTTTTCTTGGCGCCCCGCTGTTAGGGCGCAACCTTAATATTTGTACTAAAGCAGGCACTTCTCTCAGTAACTGACTATCTCTGTTAAGGCACAAGAGAATTTTTCTCACAAGCCGGATGGCGCCCTTCTACGACGGGCCCTCAAACACGCCCATGGCAGTCCTAAAGACGACTACCGGCGTGCTCAAATCCCCGGCCCCTAGAAAGACATACGGCCCAGCAACTCCGAGCAGCCGCTGCTTGACGACATCAGCAGCAGCCTATCACAGGTCTCTGAGGCTGACTTCACCGTTATTTCCCCTCTGAAAGGAAAATCCCGAAATATCAATGACAGCAGCATCACCGGAATGAAACGACCTCAATTGAACAAAATCTCGACAGACCAAGCCATTACACGCGATATAGGGAATAAAACCTCTTCCTCAGAGTGCCAGGACCAAGTTGCCAGAATACTGGCTAAAGACAAGCACCTTTATAAAGCAAGGATAACAATGTTTTAAGAGTGTGCTGCAGCGATTAATAAGACACTTGAGAAAGCTGGAACCGAACTATACTCTCATGCCAAGGAGTTCAGCGCTTTCTTCTCTAAATGTCTGAGCAAGTGGATAGAAACCCAAGATCCGCCCAAAAGGAAGACCATCCCTGGGGGGATAGGGATAGTAAAGCCCACCATGACCTTCGCCCAAGCTGTCTCCTCTAGCCAACGACAGCATCCACGGACAGTCAACACTACCATAAAGAAAACACAGCCTGGCGCCCGCATCACTATCAACCAACTAAAAAAGAAACAGGATGATCTCCGGGTCTTTGTCCGCATGGATAATAGCCACCTAGAGCCTTACAGAATAAAGTCTACACTAAACAGAAGACTTAAGCTCCACCCTCAAGAGCTTAGAGAAGTGACCCGGTGCCCCTCTTGATTTACCTTACACCCAAGGGACAAGCCAACTCAGGCTAAGCTCCTGGCCTTCCAAGAAGAAATCACCGATATTCTCAAGGCAGAAAAGATCGAGACCCACACGGTCTGGTACCACTACAAGGTCGATGGATGCCCAAGAAAGGCCATCAGTGCGGAAAGGTTGACAATCGACATTATTGTTTGTTTGTTTGTTTTGTATTTAACGTGGGGGGTAGCTCCTCAGTAGTGCAAACCACGCCTCCCAGAGCCATTGCATCGCAAGGTTGTAGAGGTGTCAAATTAGATACATTCAGATCCGCGCACGAGCCTATCCTCGCTGTAGCGGTACCAATCTGGAGTGTTCAGATGGTTTTAGTCAATACCCAAGCACGATTCCGTCAGAAAAACCTCCTATCTAGTGACAAAGCGACCCAGTGAACCTCAGTTCTCTGGTGTACATATCGTTCCAGTAGCCGTTCGATATATGTCGCATTGGTGGGTGGAGTAGGTGTTTGTTATCTGCTGGCGAGGGAAACCACAAGGGGGAAAACCTCGCAGGAGTGGGTATTGTGGAGACAAGCTGCTTGGCTATCGGGCTCTGCGATAAAATGGGGCCTCTCCACTGTCGTGTGCTGGTTATCGACTCGCACAAGCCGGGTCAGAAAGGGGGCCATAGCAGGATTCGAACCCACTTGTTCTCGTCGCCCACCGCACAAACGAGAACACAACCAGGCGCATTTGACCATTGCGCCATACGGCCTGACAATCGACATTACCAACATTGCTGTTGCTGATGAAGTTGAAGCTCAAACATGTGACAGACCTTTAAGGTGCATACTCTCAAGGAATACAGTTGATTCTGATCCGGAGACCATATGGGTGATCTCTCTGCCCCGTACAGCAAAGAAACCATTCACGCTTTTTGCTCACTCAATGACCTTAAGGCACATTCAATACTCCCCCAAGGTTCACCAGTGTGCGAGCTGCTTCAGATACCATGGTAGGAACTACTGATGTGAAAAGCAAGTATATGCACGTTGTGCCAGTATAGTACACCAGGGGGAGTGCAAAAAACCAATCCCAACAACTGCAAAGGACCTCATGCTGCCAACTTTGACAAATACCCTGTACGCCCCAAGGTTGTAAAAGGCATCATCCACAAGCACACATGGGAGCAAATCCAGGAAATAAGGCTGGCTGGAGAAAGAGCCAGATCCAAGGCCTTTAATGAAGCAGGCAGAAACCAAGCTGGGTCAACACCCAGCAACAATAGCGAAGACATCACAATGCAAATCGATACAACAGATACAACTCATCCCAGAGATGCCGATACCATTATTGTCAGTCAATGTTAGGTACATCAAACGAAACACATCGACACAGGCATCTAGTCATCCATTCTGTGAATACAGCAGAAGGACAAAAGAGTGCAGGCCCTACAGAGTTAGCCATCAACCTGGCTGACTACAAAGGAGAACAAGCAGACATCATTCTGATGCAAGAGCCCTGGGTTGGCATACCACCAGGCAGGAGAATGGGAGTAAAGACACACCCCAATTACAATATATACTCCCTAGTGGATTCCTGGGACAGCGACAGTACACGGCCCAGATCTCTTATTTATGTGAAAAAACACCTTTAAGCGGATCAACTTCGGCCCTATGCTACACGAGACATCACCTGGGTCAAGGTACATGGCATCACATTTGCCAGTGTCTACCGGCCATGTGACAACCCACAGGAAGTGGATGATATTCTGGAAGTATGGACTCCACCTTTTGGCTGTGTTATAGCTGGAGATTTTAATGCTGGCGACACATCCTGGGACTCGAGCAATCCAGGATATCATGGTGGTGTCATACTTGCACAGACTATGGCAGACCACAGACTGGATCTGATTTCTGAACCAGATGTCCCAACACATGATGACGGAAATGTACTAGATCTGGTGTTTTCAGATGTCCCTATGGCTGAAGCCTCAGTCAGTGATACACTTCAGTGCACCTCAGATCATAAAACATTACGAATAATTGTCCCAATTTAGGGAGATCTAGACCGAGTCCCCAAGGCCAATCATTGGATAGTACCGGACAATAAACTACAAGAGCTGGCAGACAATGTCCAAACCAGGATCCATGAACTCCCCCGGCTGGGTATATCCCCTGGCCAGGTAGATGTCTTTACACAAAGCCTGATCAACATGATCCAAGGCTGTATCAGGACAGTGGGCAAGAAGCCCCGACAATCTAGGCCCACTGCTTGATGAAATGATGACTACAAAGCAGCTGTTTAGACATACAGGGCCCTTTCTAAACAGACTACAAGCCAAGAAGGGCAGAATTCAGCCCGACAGGAATTTCGCCGCGTGGTTCGGAAAGCTAGGAGAGAGTACTGGCAGACTCTAATTGATTCAGTAACTGAGCCAAAGGACCTATACAGAATCGTCTCTTGGCACAAGCTATCAGCAGGATTGCGTTCCTCTCTAATCATCATAGGAGACCAATATTTGAGTCATTAGAGAACAAGGCAAATGCATTACGCTCAGCCACGCTTGAACGAAGTACCTCAGATAACGATATCATCGACCCCTGGTCCGCTCAGATCACACAACCCAAGCCATACATCCCCCTTGAATACCATGTCGGACTGGAAGAGGCTGAAGGGTGCACTTTAGGGACCAGGAGCAACTCCCCGGGAATAGATACCCTCACAGTACGGATTCTGAAAGCTTGCTGGCCATTCATTGGGGAACATATCAGAGCCCTTTTCCAGACCTGTCTACAGATTGGACACCACCCTAAACCATTCAAAATAGCTGAGGTAGTGATGATCCCAAAACCAGGAAAGAAAGACTACTCCAATCCAAGGGCCTACAGACTAATATCGCTATTGTCGTGTCTTGGAAAAGGCCTAGAACGACTCATCGCAAAAAGAATTACTTGGTTTGTTGTCAAACTTGGAATTCTAGCTCCACAACATTTTGGAGCTCTACCAAAGCTCTCTGCCACTGACCTGGTAGCTGCACTCATACACAATATTGAGCAGGCCCTTGACCAAGGCCTCGTTGCAACGGTAGTCACATCAGATGTGAAAGGGGCCTTTGATGCTGCCCTAATGGGACGGCTGGTGGTTCGTATGAGAGAACAGGGCTGGCCGGGCTTTCTCA